AATATTCATAAGTGTTGTCAGAATCTCGCATCGTGTTTGCGACTCAACCTAGCACAAAGAAACTCTTGTTTTAACAAACGATATAGAAATTGCTACTAATGACACCCATAAAAACATCGTACCTGTTTAATCATCTTGGTTAAAATACCGACAGTCTCTTCAAAAGAGCGGCCACAAAGCCGCCCAAGACTTCGATAAATGACACCAAGGCAGGTTAAAGCAGTTAACCGTTTGTTTATCGTCGTGGGACTATCGTCACGAATTTTGAGTGCGTCATTACAGCTGTTCAGCACCGCGTAGAGAGAAATTGAGTCGCCTGTGGTAAAAACTTTTGCTAAACATCTTCCTAGCAGTTTGCGGGATGGCGGACCTACGCCTTGAGTAACTTGGTTCATAAGTTGGTCAGTTAAAGCCTGTTGAACATTTCTAACCTCGGTTTTTGTCGATTGGGAAAGCCGTCGGTCGAGACTGCGCAGCCAGTCATAGATAAATACAGGCTTATTCTGTTCAGGCACGCGAGCAAATGCAGCATCATTAAGCAATAAGCCAGGATGTGCATCCATTTCTGATAAAAGAACAGAGATAATATTATGCAACCCTAACCCAATTAAAACTCAGAGACTCTTCTTTATAAGCGTGCCAAAGAACGCGGCGTAGGTGCCAACCCATTGAAAGTACAGGACATTGACTTTTGCAATTAAAAAATTTCGCCTACATAAATTCGAAATGAAAGCGATGAACTTAGTTTTTGGCCTTACCATATTTGATTGCTCTGTATCTACTAAAAGGGCATCAAATAAACCATTTGCCAAAATAAAGTTTTAGCCATACTTCATCACAGCAACTAGTGGATAGTCACCATCTTTAATTTGTTTCAGTTTAATTTTTTTTGACAGAATCACACATTGGAATTATCCTGGATTATTTTCTAGAACCCTCACGTCGGCTCACCCCTGAGATCCATACATATTAGCTCTATCTTGGGCAGTTAGATTGTAATCGACCTATTCTGTGTATTTAATTAACTTAAAATGTTGGAGCAGTACAACTTTCATTTTGATCAAACTTAAAAAGATTAATTCAGGAAGCTCTTGGTCAAAGTCAAGAAATATTTCATCAAATCGTTGAACGCCTTATTCTCCTTATACGTCCCCATTTCTCCTCTGACCATCCGGCATCGGGTATTGTCCCTATGATGAGGTGGTAGACAAAGAGCAAACTTCATTGCATGTGCAATGAAGGTGTCATCGATAGTTCGATGGAAGAGGTGACTTAGTGGACCAATGGCATACACTCCAGTGTCTTCTCCACCACGACCGTCGTCTTGAGAGAAATTCAACCGACTTCGTTCTGAACCAGCAGTCTAGGGGTACAAAGTATGTAAAGCTTTAGGCTGAATATTTGCCTTTTTTACAATGGATCTTGAATCCCAAAAAAGCAGGAACATTGGGGTTATGAATATATGCGCTGATTTAAATCAATAGTAGGATAAAAAAACAAGATTTTGTTTAAATAAATGTACGCTTGCCTTATCTAAGAAATGCAGATTTTTTCTAAAACGATTAAATTCATGGTAGTCTTCTATCCGTTGCGAAGGAAATGCAACAACGATGATGAGTGTCTCCCTCAGATTAACCATATCCACTGCTGCTTTTACTGCATCATCAAACGCCAAAATTTCTTCTAAAATCCTTCTGTGTTTCAAAAATAGTTGTAATAGATATCCAACTTGCCTTGAATTATCAGAAACGTAGGATTTATCAGTCGGACCACCTTCCACAAAGAGGAAATATCCCTTGCCTTGATTCATCAGAACTTCAAGAGCCACCTTTGTTAAATTGGCCAGACCCGGCTCGGTCGGCTTACGACCTATTTCAGCGGGTAAATGAGAGGGCGCCAAGAGACCTGGAGGATAAATGTTGGGTTAGCTTTTCCAAAAATAACCCACCAAGAAGGTAATCAGGTCGTGTTAGAACCTTTTCATGCAACTCTGAAATTTTCCCTGCGTATTCAGCGCTCCTACCCATGTCTCGCAGTGTAGACAGCCAAATGTCAGTTAAAAAGAGGCCATCACCACGCAAACCCCTTCGTGTGGCGTCGCTGGGCAGGGATGAGGTGTTGGGATAAAAGTTTTCTTGTCCACCGCCAAGCAGAACGTTAATCATTGGGTGCTCGAGAACCAACTGTTTGGCCAAATCCATGCTATTGAGGTCGGTTGTTTCGTCGCACTGCCTATTAACCTCGCTACAATACAGATAAAATAGGTCACTTGTGCATATCTGAGAAAGTACTTAAATGAAGTTATTTATGCATGGCTCATATTGCGGCTGATAGTTTGATCCTGATAGAAGGTTGGACCTGAAGTTATCGAAATCTCAATCACGAAACATTGTCTTCTTAAAGTTAAAATATTTCAAAACAGATCTTCTAATCGATTTCACATCCAAAGCTTTACACAAAGACAAGATTTTCCATTTAAATTGTGAACCTTACATATCATTTTCAGAACCTTGAGAAGTAGCATATCCAAAATTGGCGGCTGACGGGGCCTGCGTCAAGCGTGTGTTGGTTACAATGCCAGTAGCTAGGCCAGCTTCCACAGCGGCATTCAATATGGACATTGTTTTCTCATGTTTCGTGTACGGGTGACAGGACCCACGCTTGACGTCGCCCGTTAGTCCCAAAACCCCTGATCGTGTCTTCGTTCCTGTAAAATTTTGTATGCTTATTACTTAATAAGTAGGCATTATTATCGTCGTGGCCACATTAAAGCTAGATTAAACTATTTTATTTGCATATTGAGGACTGTTTTTGCTGGTAAAAATTACCTGTCAAGAGAGCGGTGGCAGAGCTGGCCTCATCTGCTGACATGGTCTCAAGATCGTACGTCCTGCACATGGTGCTGAAAGGCCACACCTCAAAACTCATCCGTTTCACCTCCCCCGTGCGCTTTGCCTTAAATGCTTTGTACAGCCGCCCGCTAGAAAGACCCCCAGAAGTGAGCCCCTTGCCAAGAAATAAGATGGCACTTTTGGCTCGCCTTTGAACCAAGTGAGGGAACAGGCGTGAGGCGAAGTAAAGCTGTTCTCGCGCCTGGCGCTCCCAAAAGGTGGGCTGCACCTCCCATGAAAGCACAGGATGGTCTAACACCTCATCGTCCTCGCTCATTAGTGTGGCCATAAATAGACCCACCAAAATCCACATCATTAGTCCAAACGTCATTGCTCCATTTGCACAGCAAAATTTGGTAATTTCAAAGCTTGCGCGCGGATAAAATTATTGATTGTCCGAGATTTAAATCGGATTGACATTTGACTGGTCAGTTTTTCATTTTGGTAGCTTCGTAAAAGTTGCCGTCTACTGAAATTTAATTACTCCTAAATTAACTTTTTTTATATATTTGGTGCGTTTTAGGACCGGATTTTATGGGCGTGTTCTCGTCCGCTGCAGAAAATATCCTTACTTCCGTCGGGAACAGATTATCTCAGTTTTTAGTCAGCGGTTGCTTTAAACCCTTCCTTCTCTGGAGTACTTTAGCTTTATTTAGACAATCTTCCACCAATTTTTTAAATTGATATGTATCCAGTAAAAACGGTGAAGTAATTGCAAAGTAGAATATTCCCATTAATTTGTAAATTGTGGATGCAATGTAACCTTCTCTTCATGGAATCAGATGGGCACATCGATGCGAATCAGATTTGAAGACGAAGGAAGTCTTAATACCAGGCTCGAGTATGTATCACCGACGTACGGTAGGGCTGTAGGAGGCTGGTGTTGTGGCCTGGAGGTCATCTTCCCTGCTGAGGAGCAATGGGGAGCGTTAAGTACCCGCTAAACCAAAACCAAGTGGTAAACAATCAAACTGGTGCATAGGACACTCTCGTCTTCCAAGCCTCGCCCCCTAAGCTCCCCATGGATAATCTTCCGCACCGGCCATCACAACGTAATCGGTGCTCTAAGAGATGCAGCCAACAACCAACCACGCCAGTCATTGAATTTGCCTACACTTGAGAAGATATCTGACAATTTTATTGGATCTAGAGTTTTGTCCTGTTTGTCAAATGTATTAGGGAAAGTTGGAATTAGCAGGCCTTAACTTAGTCATAAAAACACTGACCAAAGCCCTGACCCATTCAGCGAAGGACGGTGTTAAAAAATAGTTTTGTGGGGACGTGGTATTTCTTTTACGTCTTCTTGTCACTTCTTACTTCAATGCTTCCAAGCTGCACCTATCTGGGTTCTTTCCAGGTGGTAGAGTTGAAGAAGGCATCACATGTTCATCCAATTGACATCTTCATACATGTACCAAAAAGTCCTCCGCAACGAAAATTCTCAAATGGTTTGTGGCTTGTCTCGCTTCAGATGTTAATAGCCTTCCTGTAGAAAACGGGACGTCATTTTCTGCTCTTCCACTAGGAGTGGTCACAAATTCTCCCATCTGCTGCCTATGCTTCTCTTCCCTCACTCCAAGGTCAAGTAATTAGGACTGGAATTCAAAGCAGTTGTCCCTTGAGATAGGGTTGGCTTTCAGGTGCTACCACTGCAGGGCCCCGAGACTTCTCTGAAGAGGCAAGGCGACATAATGTTAGGGCTGAATATGTAATGCTGGCGTATAGAAGACCTGGACGGCTATTGTATAGATCCAGGGGCATGCCGTCCAGCGGAAGTACAAATGCGGAATCTTAAACCAATAAGCAAAGTATTACCATCACTGCCCGGGTTTTGAAGAACTTTTGACCTCTAGCGGTTATGGAAGCATTACATCCACTGTTGGAACGCGCACTGCAGACCGAGCGTTAGAATGAGTCAAAGTCTCTTAAGTCCAATTGAGGATTTTGGCCAAGTTTCTCGGCTAGGCAACTACCTGAGCGATCCTTGATCAGCGACAGACGTGAAAAATATAAGCTTAATCCTTCCAGCATGCTGGACGCCCTAGTAGCAGACACAACTGGAACAGACTGCTGTTTTTTTAGTACCCGAGTCACACCTGAAGATGTCACGAAGCCTGTCAGCCTGGAAGTGGGTGAACTTCTAATTTCCAAAAGAGTTGGAGAACTAGTTCTTCCATGGATACAAAACAGATTCCGAAATCTCGGTGGTCGGATGGAGCCGCACATTCACTATCACCCATACACATACCAACTGGGTCCTGATTTCCTCGGCTCACTCCAGCCTCACAAATGTGCTTATCAAGCGGATTAAATGACGAACTTGTGAATGTGGAATCCATGAGCCACCGTTGCACGAATCAGTTCAGTGATGCAAGCATTGGTGTCAGGTGGTAAAACGTTACACCACACGGATCTGCGAAGGCGGATTTACCCTCGAGACACCCGACGACGGATGTGTTAAATGTAGTCCTGTCGTAATTGTATAAACAACACCTCCTCATTTCTTGGCCTTAAGCTTATAGCACACATGTATGGGGTAAACGGTAAAAAAATCACCGAAATGGGTAACAGCCTCCGCCCACCAACACTTTATCGTTTTAAAAGGATCATTTAAAGCCACCGCAATCGCTCTATCTCTAGAGTGATGGAATAGTATTTGGTTAAACAAACTGCCTGTTCGGTATACTTTCGGTGTCTCCGAAAATCACCGAGACCAGTAGGGCTACGTGTCCGCGTACTACAGCCCCCTTTTTAGAGCACTTCCTTGCGCTAGTGATGTTTCTTTTTCCCAGGTAGACTAATAAAAAACACTTTTAAATCACGCTTTGAAAGTTGAATGCTCTGTCACCTTGGGTGCGATTATACCCGAGGACCTGACTTCTATAGCCTCGCACTGACCGCAATGTTGTATTTGTTTGGTGGTGGAACCAGAAAAAATAGCGCATTTCATATGTCGTACCGGCGTTTAAAGCGGGTTAATCAGATGTCTATACAGCTTCATGCCCTCGGTGAGGCAAAATAAGGACAAAAAAACCCTCAATTTAATGCTATTTTGATGCGTTGGATACACACAGCTAAATACATGCATTTTTCCACCCACTGGACCCAGACCGCCGACCTCGATTGATTGGCCTACCGAAAGAGTGAGCCTTCCAAAGCTCTTTCGATTCTACCAAACGTGCAGAGGGTCTATGAATATTCAAAGCTAATTCTTGTTGGATGGGTGAAATGGGGAGGAGCACCACTCTTTACCAAATGACCGCAAATTTTGAACAGAAGCCACCGGACATTACTCCTTTGTCTGTCACGCACTAATTGGGAAGTGCCTTTTTAAAACAGCCTCTGAGGCGGTGAAAGACCTTTGCTAATGGCAAGGGAGACTAAAAGGATCCGCATGCTCCATCTTGTCACTGAAACGAATACCTGTGCCAGAATAGTATCAGTTTTTTAGAAAAGAGCCTTTTACAAAATCTTGATGTTAGTTCTTGGCCTTCGCTTCGTTCTCACAACCGGATAAAGTAACTTCCACTTTCATGAGAAAGGGTTGTGCTATATTAGTAATGTGGACAAGAAAAATGCTTTCCTGAGTGACCTAATGTTTCATTTTGTCAATGCAACATCGAGGAAGTTGGATCTTACACAGTAAGTCTCAATTTCGGTCTTGGACCTACCGACCCATATGGTAGGTCCAAGTGCTCCTAAAGGGTCCCTCAGGAATTCGGACCTTGTAGGATCTGGCAAAGACCATCTCTTTTCTGCAAATGACCAAATGTCACCCCTCTTATCACTCAGATCTGTGCCGACTGAGTCTCGGTAGAGGGTGAAAGGCTGCCGTAACTAGGCCTAAATGAGATGCTTTGTTCCCTCTTCCTTACAGAACAGGGTTGTGAATTGAGAAGTCGAATTTTTTAGATATACGAGTATTACATATTCTGTCCTGGTGACTCACCGAGGGTGACAAATCGTAGAGATGGTGCCACCACAACGGCGGAAACCATCGTGGCCAGTGCGGTAGTAGCTTGAATTGCGGCTGGCGAATTGGTAGAGCGAAAGGAAGAATTCGTGCTTGACACGGAGCATTTCCCCCTGTATGGAGTTTAAGAAGTGGTGACCAAATTCGAATGCATTGGCAGTCATCGGAGGGCTTTGCTTTTCCTCTTGCAACCGCCTTCACAATCCTTCCTATCGTTTAAGATTGACCAATGCCTCATGGAGAAAGAGCAAATCCTTACTTCTTTTTCGTGTCACGCATATTCGAGTCATATTGAGAAAACTTAATCGCCACAACTTAATTGTTTTATCTTCTTGGTTTGATATGACTTGTCATTAATTTTCTTGATGAAATTGCAGCTATCCTGAGATTGTCACCAGAAATTTTCAAAGGACCCACGTCACCTATCTGTGACAGCGGACTTTGGACTTGGGAAAGAAGCACAGTGAATCATATGCAGGCGCCAGAGGCAGAAACTCAGCCACATGGAAAAGTGATTTAGTTGGTTTTTAAACATATGCGATTTTTTTAAATAAGGGACGGATTTATTTGTCCCTGCTTTGTAAATGTTAACCATATCTTACAATAGGTCATTTTCACCCTTTCGTTACGCACTTGCTCTGAGGCAAAGGTCGTGATTCTAGCGATGTAGGAGGATCCAACGGTATCTGGTTATTAACCATCAGGATCACCTCAGCTGTCAAAACCACTTGATTTTTGGTGGTGCATTTCCCTTTGGACCCGACATTCTGCCGTAAAACGTTGTAGACTCGGAGCCAAGTCAAACTCACTTTGAAAAGGAGGAAAGGTAAGAATATATTCTTCATTATCAACTGAATTTTAATGAGGGTACTTAAGAGTAAACGTATAAAGCATAAAATGTATCTAGTCATAAAATGAACTGCAGCAGAAAAGGTCCTCCTCCGTTTGAAGGACTTTGTGGCATTGAATCACCTCCTCCCCTCTTTGACACTTGGTGAATTAGACGAACTTTTTTTCAGGCCAACATATTTTAAATTATCTTCAGTCGCAAAATTAGTCAATTTGACATTTGTTTTCTTATATTTGCGACACCGGGTACGGATGAGAATGGGGCGTCGCATATGTGTGACGGAGAATGTGGACGTTTCTTTCATCGCTACTGTAATGAATGCATTGTAATAGTTAAGATGTGAATCTCGAGTTGCTTCACGCATGGCAGGAATGAAGAAAGGAAGCAGACGACCTACACCGTTCTGACGCGTGTAATTGCGTGCGCGCGTATGCAACCACATACGCACGAGCGAAGGTACGTACGCACGTACGCAATCCGCACAACTATAAATGCAAGATATGAACACTCGTGAAGCATTGTACAAGGCGACGGGATAACTGACAAAAATGGTGCTAGGACAGTGTTTGAGGAGTTTTACATTCTGCCTTCTCCTCTTCTTTTTCCTGGATTGTCTGTGCTCTGTGGCAGCGCTGACACCGAGGCAGAAGCAGCCCACGAGCAGTGAAGACACCTTTCCAGCTTTTTGGGAGCGTCTAGCCAGAGAAAAACTCAAACGGAGTAGTCAATTCTTCCCTGCACCCCGGGCGCGTGCAAAGAATGTCATTCTCTTTCTGGGCGATGGAATGGGCATACCGACGATTTCTGCAGGTCGATTCTTCAAGGCCGAGATGGAAGGTCGTCTCAGCGAGGCAAATCCAATTCTAGACTTTGAAGATTGGCCCTTTCATACGATGTGCAGGACGTACGATTTGCAGACGACCGTAACGGACTCGGGTGGCTCTGCTACTGCCTACCTCGGTGGTGAGTTTATTTATGACATTGCTAGCTTAGAACTTTTAAGGTGGTGATATAATCATGCGGTCTTCAAAAACAATGGTTTTTTTTCCTCGAAGGGCATACGAAAAAAGGGTAGTGACTCCTGGCAGTTCAATTCTCCTTTATCCCAAAAATAGAGGTTGTGCTGCTTTGTCAATGGTTGGGGGAATGGCTTCAATTGTTCCCTTCCCATTCTATGACACCTTCAGTATAGTTGAGAATGTTCAATCGCCTGTCATTACTCAGTTACGTTTGGACGTGCTGGCATAATTTACGTTGGTGTTTGTGTTTAAACCCCTTTTTTTTCTCCACAAATAGTAAGCACTAGTTACTTAACAAAGTGCCAAAAAATAGCGCTTCAAGGTTTCTCCTCATCTTGAGGTAGTTGTGCGCAAGAGTCGGATAATATATAAGGAGGCGTTTTAATGTCCTAATTTCCTACTTAAAGAGTCCTTTGACTGACAGTGAAATTTTTTGGCCACTAACTCACTTTTAGGTACCAAAACTGGAACCGGAATCATCGGTCTGACAGGCGCAGTGCGTCCTAAATCCTGTCGCAGGTATGCACCTGAGGAGAGAGTAGAGTCCGTTTTAGAGGCAGCAATGGAGGCTGGTATGGCAACTGGGATTGTCACCACGTCACGTGTCACTCATGCCTCCCCCGCCGGAGCATTCGCTCACACCGCCTCGCGCAATTGGGAGTCCGACAGGTAGAGCTTGTGGCCTATCCATTTGTCCTCTCACTTTAAATGTTGATGAGGGGCTACGTCATTGAAGGCCACCAGGGACGTTCCCGAGAGGGAACATCATAATTTGCGAATTAGCCATTCTCTCGAGTCCGTATACGCCGATGGTCCCGAGGCAGAGTTTAAAACTTTAGCTCAATGTGAGCTGAGTAGCCTCACCCTTATGAGTCTTCGCGGACTCTGCTGGACACATTCCACGCCTTCTGCGATGGCTTACCGATCCATTTTAACCCAATCTCTCACCAAAGTGTTGACAGACCATCCGGTAGCGTTGTGGCTATCTCTGAAGGTGGTATAATGTATGACAGTCCAGTGGCATTAATTTAGTGGTTTGGCAATGTCGAGTTATCTAAGTGCAGCCTACTTTCACTTCTTTCCACTTCGTTCCCATCTAACTCTAATCCCACTGTATAAATAGGGCACTCTCAACTTTTTGCAGCAGAGGAATGTACCACCCTGCCGTTTGAGAGCAGAGGGGTTTGTAAGAGTTAACGCGATTTTAACAACTCCCGTGGTGTGAATCCTCGCAGTTTTTGCCATCTGCAGAAGACGTCTCTCTTCACAGTAGCCTGACAATCTGCTTAGACCTCAATCTGCCTGTTTGCAACAGGGTTTGGAATAGTTGGTTTTAATATGACTTCATAAAGGGCACATCACGTGTCTGTACCTCAAAGTTCAGGTCGGATAACCGAGGTGTCATGTACATGCGGTGCTATGTAATCCAGAAAGTGTATCATTCCTTAAACTTATTTTACCATAGGCAGATAGCGAAAGATTGTTTCGGCGTCTCCGAGCCCCCAATGGATATTTCCCGACAGTTGGTGGAGGAGAATCTAAACATCAATGTAGTTTTGGGGGGCGGTTACCGCACTTTCCTTCCTCGAGAAGGTAAGGGCGAACGTATCGATGGTCGAAATCTGGCAGAGGAGTGGCTGGCCAATCAGATGAATCGAGGACGCCGTGCCAAGCTCATCACTGACGCGACCCGATTCCTGCTAACCGACTTCTCTGAGGTGGATTACCTTCTCGGTGAGTCGAGGAGTCCCGGAACCTGCTGTCAAATGCTGAACGTTCGGGTCTTTCATATACCATCTCAAGAGTCGTGAAAAGCTGAAGAAAACTTGTAAGGCAGTTCATCAGCTCAGAAGAGAGTTGAGGCTTGTAAACATCTACTCAGAGGTTTAGATTAGCTAATACCTCAAAGTTTGAGGTCACAGAACCCGCTGGCCCAGTGCTAAAAGGTCCGCTGTTTGTAGGGCTCCTGAACCCCTCCCACTTGTCCTTTGACGCTGATAGAGGGAAGGCTGAGCCGTCACTGGCTAACCTAACTACCACTGCAATAAAGATCCTCTCTCGTCAGCCAAAGGGGTTTTTCCTCTTCGTCGAGGGTGCACGCATCGACCACGCACATCATGCCAACCTCGGCAAGTAAGTAATCAAGAGGGAAACTATAAGGTATTTAGCCAGTCTCGAGATAGAAGAGAGAGGACTATAGTCAAGCCACGAATCACTGTACGCACTGTACACTCTCAAGTGACTTGTTTGACACAGGAAGGCCCTTTTGGATCTACTGGCATTTGAGGAGGCAATTCGCGTAGGCACGAAAATGGTCAATCTAAAGGAGACCTTGGTGATAGTCACTGCGGATCATTCGCACTCGATGCTGTTTGGTGGACAACCCGATCGCAAAAGAAGCCTCCTCGAGTTGAACACTGAACTTGATCGGCATGTGAGTTTTTCAACCCGCCTAAAGACGACGGTCTTCTTTAGCTTCTGTCCAGATTTTCAAGGTTATAACAGGGCATTTAAAATGCATACAGAAATTTGGTTTAGGAAAGGAATCCCACTCAGCAATAGCTATTTACAGTAGCTACTTTTACCGGAAAATTAAATGCGGATGTTTAGTATGCGCCAGAATTCAAAGGTAAATTTTGAAGGAAAATTGTAAGCAACAATAGCATTTTTAATTAAAATTAAACTTTAATTTTTATTATTTGATGATACCCAATCAAATGCTTTCAAAATTGATTGGTTGCTGAAGCTAACTAGTTTTTGATTGGACGGCTACTGGGATCAGGTTCAAAGGGAATGGGATTAAGTTTTGATGGCAGATTTGAATTACCAAAATACAATGACGTTAAAATCTTTTCCTGCCAAGTGAGTTTTTTGGTTTTTTAAATACAACAGAAGAACAGAGCCACAAAAGGCAACATGCCAATTCTGACACCTGCAACCGTTGCAAGAAACAATTGTATTTTGGAGGATTGGCTATACCAGTTTGGTTCATGCTTGAAGGTTTTAACCCCTTTCTCGATCTAGACTTTCCACCTAACTTCCATCCGATCCGAGCACAGTTCTTCCACCTGTTATTGATGGTTTAGCCGTGATGGACGAAATTCCCTGGAAATGAGACTAGGGGAAGGAGGATTTACGAGACTTTCCATTTTTGAAGACGTTATGCTGCATCAAGCCATCATCGCTTGGACTGTAAAAGTAACATTTGGCAGGCACCTCTAGTTGAAATGTTGACTGCAAAGAGAATTGAGTACACTCCGTAGTGGTCATGAAACTCATCCATCGATGGATAGAGATGTTCCGCCAAGTTCTCTGCCCAGCCTTCTTAAGTTGCATGGTAGCCGAAACAAAAACTGAGGACAGATGATCTCAGCAATAACCATTTTAAGAAATGTAGGGGAAGAATGAGCAGTGAGTATTGTCTTCTTCCCACGGGTATTCATGGGTCAGATAAACGGCATCAACCGTGTGGACTTGCTAATGGAGAAAGTATAGTGCCGTTATCTCATTAACTGATTTTGCTAGTCGAAACTGTTCCCGCAGGACTCCTAGTGCTGTCAAGTATGTAGGTCGCTGCTGTAATTTTGGTTTAATCTTAGATATGTAACAAATTCTGGTGAACAACTCCGTTTGCGGCTCACTCGAAAAACAAACTATGTGCCAAAATAAGTCAGTTGGTCAGTCAGTCAACAAACGGTTGGAAGTGCGCAGCTCATGTCGGTGGACTGCGCAAGAGAAGTGAAGAAAAGCCAGTCGGTGATATTTTGTAGTCCACGGACATTGTTGGTTTGCAGCAGGCGGACGGCAACCATTTACTCGGAAGTCTTCATCATGGTCGTCCCAGTTTATGTAGACGTAGACGAGCAGCCATTGAAGGTTGCTCGTGACATCTTGACCTCGGATTGCTTTAGCTTGTCATTAACATGGCCTCTTCATCAAAGAAGGCGACTCTTCCATCGACAATACCATCCCCAGGCAGTTCTATATGCTGCGACAGACCATCACCAGCTAACTCTATACCAAAAGGCAACAAAATTTTGTAATAGACTAGCCACTTAGCAGCATTACAAAGGTTATTATTCTGTTTAAACAGATCCTAGATGGAAAGGGCATGCTTCCTCTGATGTACACCAGTGGACCTGCCGGCGCGGTGAACACTACGCGTCTGAACCTCAGCGCTCTCTCCAACCCCACCTTGCATGGCACCAATTTCCAGCAGCCCACTTTCATTCCATTGCCCTGGGCAACTCACGGTGGCGAGGATGTGGGCGTCTACGCCACAGGTGTTTTTAGCTACCTCTTCCACTCCACTGTGGACAACACCTTTATTGGACAGTCTATGAAGTACGCCTTGTGTCTGCGGCCCTTCGAAATGGAGCCTCACTGCCCAGCCTGCGGGTTTACACCCAGCCTCTTAATACTAGTTGTCTCATTCATGTTCTCCCGATTCATGCTTTTTCAGTGGTGCTGAGCAGTGTATTAAAGCGGCTTTGCTAGTTTTCAATGCCGCTGCCTTTGCCAGTTTCCGATGCCGCTGCCTTGTTGTAGTAAACCCTCTTGGTCTGGCATGATGTACATAAATCAGCCTCTCTGAATGTGCCGATAGTAAGAGTAAACAGACTCGTGACAGAACCTGTTTATGAAAGTAGCGTTTCTGCCTATGCGATGAGATGTTTGGGTTTCACTCCAATTACAATCAAATCTATAGTGGGAGGATCCGTTGGCAGTTTAGGACTAAGGGAATCTGAATGCAGAAAAGCTTGCTGGACTAGATCAGGGAACTTGAAGCCTGTGTGTCGTTGAGTGGCGTAGTGTGGTGACTGTATAGCCACTGAAGCTATTAGCGATTAAAAGTCTACGGATGCCGGACTATATGAGAAGGCTCTGCAGCTTTGGCACCTAAATAATCCTTGCCTGTGAAGGGAGCGAGCTTGAATCACCTCCCTCAGGTTAAACCGACCCTTTAATTGAGCTTAAGTCTACGGATGACCATTAGGGTAAAATGCGGACTACCGCAGTGAAAACTGCCTGACGCTTACCTACCTGCTTTACATTCCGTGAATATAAACAATGCCATGCATAGTGTAAGGCCCCACAATCGGCGGCAAGATATCGTAATGCGCTGCGGCAAAAACGCCCCGAATGATTTCATCACCTGAGAGAAGGGCCAGAAATATAAAAGCGTGGGTAACAGTGGGTGGTTTTGGAATACCTGCATAGCATTAAAAGTTATTTCAACGGGCTTCAGCATTTCACATGTTCCCGATTTTTTGCGAGGGAGTTCTGGCGCCTCGAGTATTCCCACATTCGAAATACTTTGTCGCATCTCGACTTCACAAATAGTGATTGATGAGACTAAGCAACCGAAACATTGATTGCTGAGGGAAGTTATTCAGAAGGTGGCATACAAGATGGGCGAATTTTTAGCGTTTACTTAACTGAGCGGTACCAAATCTTCCTACTCATTGATAATAAGTAGTATGTCCATTTGAGGTTTCTTTAAGCATAAGTTCAATGGCTTTAAAATCGAACTTTTATCAAAAGAATTGTTTATAATTAAGTGAATTATGCATTTATGAAAGCGCTGCAAATGGATGTTTGATAATTCAAGTCTTTGGAAGGCTTCTAATCGAGGATAGGTGGGGGGTATCTTTGGAACGCCCTTGAGTCATTTAAAACGATGGCATAAGCTACTCGGTTATAGAGAAACAACCTGCTGAACCTAACTTCTGCTTGGATAGCATAGAAGCTTACCACTTTTGCAAAAACTAAAGCAAAACATTATTCAAGATAGTTTCATTTCAGGAGAGGCCAAGTAAAGCCAAGCGGAATGCCAAGTAATCCGCTTTGGAGACTCACAGGCAAATTAAGACGAGTTGCTAAGCAAAGCTTCAGGTTAGATGCTTCTGTAATCTGCGGTAGAATTCTGCTGATGTTACAGGCCATGAAATTGCTTGATTAGGAGAGAGCTTGAGATAAATAGGGACAGTTATGTCTGCATGTTATTCCAAGGGGGTTCTGACAAGTTCCAGCATGGTAGACAGCCTCTGATCAGTCTTGAGGTTTTCTTCGGTATTCGAAGTTATAACAATCCTAATTTAACCTGCGTGGTGGTAAAAGGATTGAATTTGAGTCCCAGATTACCTACGAACTCTTTGTAGGGTGAACCGCATCGGATGGGTTTTAATCAGTTTGGTAAAAAACTATGGCTTGCATTTGTTCAACGACGATTTCACTGACAGCAGGAATCCTCCATTCCTCAAAAAAAAGTGGGTAACTGAACCGATGAATGCATGTGAATGGAGAATGCAGGACTTTTAAGACGGACACTTCAACATGGCTTTTGCAGTGTCAATTTCGGGCCCCAGGCGATGATTTAGACGCTTCGCCGTTTCTCTTGTTGACCTCTGAATTCAGATCGGTGGAGACTATTAAAGGTTTTGCAAGCAGTTAATGGTGTATGGGAAAGAAATGAGGAGTTAGGAGTTTTTTATTTCTGAGGAAGGACTGACAGCCACGGAATCCTGAGGTTGTTTTCAGCTATCTTGCTGCACCAAAACAGGCAGTATAGAGGCGTTTTTATCGCAACATTAGCTCCCCATGCTAACATAAGTTGAAAGGGCCTCCTGCAAACAATGGAGTGAGGGTTTTGGATGAAAATCAGTCTAATGAGCCATTGACACGACTTAAGTACACATGATTATTTAACAAAAGAATTCACCGTCCAAAACACGCTCAAATTGCAAAAACCTAGCAATTACTTAAAGTTGTGGGCAGTCCTAGAAACCGATCCTTAAGAAAATCTTGCTATTAAGTGCCTCTATGCGGCTGCAACAAAAGGCAGATTTGGAAAGCGGTTTTAAGGATTACTAGTTAAGTTTCAATACTTGGATAGTTCGCTTGACCCTGCGTTTGGGTTATGCTGGCACCCAGTTGACAGGGTAGCCCAGACCATGCCAATCGCCCCCGGGCCCTTTTCAACGTCGGTGATAAACATTTTGCCCTAGTATTGTACACTCTTTCCTTTTAAGGAAGTGTCATGGCGCGACATTAGTGGGAGTGAAAAGCGAATCAAGTTATTTTTTTTCTAATGGAGCGAAAAAACTTGGCGTGAAGGAGAAATGGTATATGCTGGAGATGGGGGAATCTGTGGCAGCCCCCAAAAGAGGGGGGGAAATGACGTCCACCTTCGACAAAAGTCCCAGTTCGCCAGAAATGGCGTTAACAACTAAAGGGACACCAGCTTGGTAAGCTCTGCGGTAGACGCACTGCACACAGAGAAGTCCGCTGCTTACCACCGACACAGCAAAAAGTCCTGCGAGCGTAGTCTGAATTGGGTATCGATGCCAATCTCGCTACACGCGCTCGCTGAGGGTTCAGTCTCATTTCGCCGCAGCTCACCCTCGGCCCCGGGGGACCTCCACAGGCAAGCGGCCACGACGAAGTTCTCTCTGTTACCCTCTGCCTTCTCTCAAGGCACCTCCCTTACGGAAGACGGCGCGACGCCTCAGACCTTCCCGCGAGAAGGAGAGCTACATCAGCCTTTGATATCTCGCACTGGCCTCGTTCGCAAGGCTGCGGCGGCGTTACTAGGGTAAAGCCAAGTCGCTAAAGCGCAAGTCCCTATAATTTATTAAAAGACGTCCCTAAACTAAAAAAGTAAATAAGGCTAGTTAGCAAGATTTTTGAAGGTTAAAGCAAAATATTGTGCGAAAAAATTTTATTGATGACTCTGACTGTTAAAAATATACTAGAAATAAAGTCAGCGTTGTGGCATTTATTTTCAGTAGTATAACCAGCACCATTTAGGTATTTTAGGATAACTTGAAATCGTTCTTATATAACTCTAGTTTCGACGTCAGGATGTCAAAGTTCACTGCGGAACAATATATGTAACCTAAATAAATTAGATAAAATGCATAACACATTAAAGTAAACAAATTGGTGCACCTAGTGCCCTCACAAAGAGCATAATAAAACTAAATACATTTTGACTTTCTGGTCCTAAATGTAAATTTTACTTAATTGTTTTTTAAGTCTTACTTCCCCAGTTTATGTTATTTCGCCACTGGTTTGCCTGTGCTGCTTACGGCGGCGGCACAAACGCCTGACCGAGCAAGTGAGGAATGGGACCTGTGCGCAGGAGTAAGAAGGCTCCACCAGATGGCTGGGAAATGATTGAACCAACAATAGACGAACTTAATCGGAAAATGCGGGAGGCCGAAACTGACCCCCATGAAGGCAAGCGGAAAGTTGAAGCAGAGTGGCCAATATTTCGTATCCATCACAAACGGTCGAGGTATATTTATGACCTATACTTTAAGCGAAAAGTTATATCGAAGGTACTTCATGATTTTCCTTTCTGATTGAGCCCTTAGGAACTGTATAATTATTGCATTAAAGAGAAAATCGCGGATGCTAACTTGATAGCAAAGTGGAAGAAACAAGGATATGAGAATTTGTGTTGCCTGCGATGTATTCAACCCCGAGACACCAATTTTGGCACCAATTGTGTTTGTCGTGTTCCCAAATCAAAGCTGGAGGAGGGAAAAGTCGTTGAATGTCAGAATTGTGGGTGTCGTGGATGTTCAGGCTAAAGTTCTATGTAAATTCTTTTAAGACCGCGTACTACTTGTTTCGCTATTTTTTAAACACAATATGTATTTTTAAAAAGCCGCTTTGCCTCCTTTTTTCATATGCACTGTGATCACGACGGAAGAACATGGTTCTTACAAGTTTGCCCGGATTACTATTCATCTAGATTGCGTGGCCTACATCATCGTTTCTTTAGTCCGGCTCAAAGTGGACAATACAACTACTTACCTAGCCAGAGCTCACAGATTACTTACCTTTTGGGATGTGAATAGCTAGAATATTGTCGCCTTCACCACCTATATTCCGGCATCTTTCCTCCTTTTCTTTGACGCCAATTCCTAATTATTACTGCATTAGCTGTTTTTGTCTATTAAGGAATGCTTACGTTGCTACATCATCACTATGATTTTAAACTTATTTTATACCTTTCACTGAATCTCGACTTCCAAAAACTTGCTTTTATTTGTGAATCCCATAAACTGGACTATTACGTGATTCTGGGCCCTTATGGTGACACTGCCCATCACTGGATCGGTGTCGCGATCTTTGTGAGAAAGAGGTTGCATACGGCCAAAAATCCGCTGTATATTAACCATCGTCGTCTTTTATAGATGAGTTGAGGTACTATGAAGTATTCATTCAGATTAACCGGCACCCGTTAGTCCCAGATATTCAGAAGCTCCGTCGATTTGATCCTGTACATGAAGAGCGGTAGTGGTCTCTCAATTTGTCGGGAGCCAGCTTTCATGGTGGTGAAAGGAAAAAGAGACGGAGAAGGCTTCTCAGTTCTAATTACGGCTAATGTTGTGCAATCTACCCATCACATGCCTTAGCTCAGCTGTGAATCGCAAGGCTCAGTTGATGTTAAAAATCAGGCTCTACGTCACACCCTCTCCTCACATGCCCATTGTAACCTCAAAATTGTCATTGTTGAGAGCCGATGGCAAAATACGAACGCAACGATTTAGATAAGAAGCGACAAACATACTGAGAGTCGAATTCTCCTTTTAGAAGACGGCTTTCTTAGTAAATACTAGTTTTGTGATAGTGAAAGGACGGATAAGTGGGGATGTCCTGCTTCCGCCGATATCCTCTTTCTTCAACACGTAGCACAACCAAGTGAGGGGCTACAAATGCTTGATGTCATCTTGCATTTGAAGATTCGAAGCACTACTGTTTTGAGAAAATATCCGCTCTTCCATTGCATGCTCATGAGTTAAAATGACTCCCAGTTGGTATATAAAGAGCCAACATGTAGTGGGAAATAATAAAGATACTTTGAGTGAAGCGCGATAAATCATGAAGACTCATGAAATTACAGGCAAATTATTAGCTATCGTGGGTACTTTTTATCTAATAAGGGTAATGAATTCCACTGTCCACTTAGCAGAGCGGAGAGGTAGTCAAAATGATGCTCTCTTTGAAATTACAGGGTTCCACAGCTTATCGGCCGCGTTTTATGAGACTAAAACCTCACTGTCACATCTCTCTTCTGCTCTGGGATGGTACATAAATCAGATTTATTAAGGACTTGAAATAGACCCCCAACAGTCACCACCGCTGAGAATCGAAAGAAAGAATACAAGATAGGGAAAAAAGACAAAATTTTAGGGTAAAAAATCCATGATACAAACAATCGGAGAATGAAACGGGTGGCAAGCGGACCGACCTCAATCCTCCTCCAGGCCTTTCAACACCGCGGCGTATCGATCACGTAGGAAGGTGAGGTGATAGAGGACATCCTGTTTAGCGTCGCGTACCCTCCTCTCCTCCTCCTCCTTCTTCTGAGTAGAGGCCTCCCCGGTGGTTGACACCGAGGCGCGCTCCACACAGCGCACCACACACGCCAGCATCTGCACCTGCTGCATCAATCGGTGCGCCATTCGGTCCACACTGCTCAGCCCTCCTCCTTCCTCGCTGTCCTTGTTGTCAGGGCTGTCGGTAGCACCACCTCCTGGTATTCACACAAAGATGTAATCACAGGTGATATGTTTTTTTCTATATCTAGTTGAAAAATCAGCAGAAGCTAGCTTCTCGTAAGCTTTTTTTGCATAGCGCTGGAGATGGCAGAACATAGCGCTCAGTGTCAAATGGGCTGAGCTAACTGAGTGATTCCCGTGATGAATAACGACGGAAAATTATGTACCACTGCTGACACGATTACACAATTCGAGACTGATGAGCCAAGATCTTCGAATGATGCAATGATGCGTCCGCACCTACATCACCCCTGGGTGGAACTCGTGATGGAAGCTAAGCAGTTGGGTGCCTAATGTCCTCCACTGGCAAAAGATGATAAGAAGCCTCAAAGACTCGTCGGCTGTTCTTCACATCGCCGTACACTTGAAATTGTTTCCTGGCTGGCTGACTGATTTGCGTGTTATAAAGGTGGAACTGCTAAGCTTGTGTTTCTTTGAGAAAGGATTACAAACCAATAGTGATTATTTTAAAGAATAAAACTATGTTAGTAGACTTTCTGCGTCTTGTTCAGATTGGCTGAAATAAAATAAAAAGCTGGTGGAATTTAAATGCTGAATAAAAATTGTCAAAATAATGTGGTTTATATATAAATGAATACTCCTATGTCGCATGAATCCAGAAAAGCAGCTCTTGCCATTTTCCTGTCTGGAGCATTCACCTCCGTTTCCCTTATTCGGATGCGTCTCAGTACTTGCCCCCTTGGACGTCTGATTAGTAGGTGGCTGAGTGGGCGCCAACGGTGTCGAAGTCGGCAGCGTGGGAGTACCCTCGTCCACATCCAAATTCTGTAAAAATACCAGCCAGAAGGGATTTTGGTATCCAGAACATAATTCAATTCACTCGTTTCACAAATTAATTTGGGATCAGAGTCAATACTACCTTTGAAAAAGACATAAAATTAATATCCTTTTTTTGTCTATCATTTTATGAATCACCAAGGTCTTTGGGAGTGCCTCCTGTTCCTTGTCCTTTGTGGCGCTTGAATGCTGATCGAGAGGGGGAGTCTGGTTTCCCATCTGCTCCACTCCTCCCTCAATTTCTCTCGATGTGATCTGATGTATAACATCCTCCTCCTCCTCTTGATTCTCTTTTGAGGTCACAGGTCCAGCCCTCCGTAGCTGTTCACTTCCTGGCATTGGTGCTGGATCAACAGATGAGTTCCCAGCGATGACAACGCCTGAAGTTTTGGCGTTAGAGGTTGTCACGTCGGTTGCGGAGGTCTTTCCACTCATTAAAATATTATAGTACTTTTTTGTGATGTCGATTAGGTCGGGGTCTAGTGCGGTCAGTCCAATTTGATCAATGACTGCAAAGTGAAAAAAGCGACTGGTTATGTTTACTCCAGAAAAGCAGTTCTACATATACTCACAAATTAAAATAGACTGATTCGAGGTGTGGGTTTCTTGGGAAGATGGGTTACCACTATGGTCTATCTTAGGTTTTATTCCACTTTTACACAGTTTGGCTCTAGAATCAAACAGTCTGGCCCTAGCCATTTCCGTTTCTAATGCAGTTCTACTTCCGAATAGTCGATTTAACATGTAATTACCTGGTACCAAGGTGGTAATCGCTAGCTAGACGAAACAGGGAACAAGGATGGGGTAAGACAGGGTCCCTCTTCCCCATTCCAGAGTACTGCATGAGATCTTGTGAAAATGGAGCTTTCACCTCATTAACCAGATTTTATTAGTCCCGGTTCTAATTGACAAGCTTTAAGTCGCGTCGAGTGGGCTGATTACATTTGTAATTGATGGTTGGCATTAAATGAATCCTATCCTGAAAAAGCACTGCATTTTGTCTACAATAAATCACATCCAGCAAATGTTTGCAAATTTGATCAGATTTCCTAATTTAAACATCGCATTTGACTTTTCACATTAAACCGTCATATTGGGGTCAGTGGCTTAAAATGACTACAATTGATACAGAATAATCTCTGTCCCAACTCACCGGAATGCGTTTCCTTGCCAACACCCTTCTTTAGCCTGTAGGTGAATCGATAGAGAGTACGTTTGTCGTCGCCTTTTAATCTTCCACCTTCACCCACTGCCGGAGCCCTTCCACCTCTCGCGGGCAGTTGGAAGGACTCGTCAAATGAGGTGGACGCGACGGACCCGTCACTTGAGCTGTTAGCGCTCCTCGGTTGATGAATTCGTCGTCCACCCTGCATTGTCCCCCGTGTCTCCACCTCAAAATGACAGCTGGAATTGGAAAGAGGAGAGCCCAGTTATCGATTTCAAATTCAAAGAGTGGGTGCATTATACAAAAACCTTGATGCTTGTTTGAAGTTTTATAAAGTGAATCGAAGAGAATGCGGTACACGACATCACCTTCAACACTTGAATTTTTAAAATGGCACCGATTATAGGAGGGTGGTGGCTTGCATCCCTCAAGACTTCCCTTCTCCGAAGTAGCAATTCAACCAATCCAAATCCCTGAGACATACTGTAAAGTTGAGCTGTATGCTTTATAAACACGTGCTGCTCTTATTTTTATGTCCTGACGGAGATCGGTTTGTTTTAGTGGAGTTTAGATTGAAATGGAAGTAGAAACCGGTAGACAGTTATTTGAGTCTCTTCTCTAGTGTTGCAGAACTGAACGATCCTGCGATTCGCTCTTACTTTAGCAGTCTTGCTGTTTGGTCCGCTTTCAACTTCATTTCCGAAATACCTTTCCCGCAACGATACTTTCATTCATTTATCGTTACCTTTAGCTAATTGGTTCATGCATACGGAACTTAAGCATACATCTCGGACCCTCATGACTCAAATTGTTCATTCATCTGTCCATTCATCCATTTATCTGTTCCGTATCCATCCGCCCATTCTTCCTCCCTTCAAAGTTCCCGCCATCCATCAATCAATGCACAGACAGAGGGACACAGAGAATGGAGCATGAGAGAAGAAGGGCTCTTACATCTCGACGTTGAGGTGAACAAACTGCAGTTGGGAGAGGCTGGCATCGGAGGAGGTGAAGAAGGAGAAGGCACGCATTTTTGCCAGGGCATCGCAGATGGCGTAGCTGAGACTAAAGCAGTCCTCATCTGTTGTGCCTTTAAGTTAGCAGAAATGGAAATGGATCGTTTCAGCAACAGTCACGAAACGGACCTACATTCTGTGGTTAATCTATGAATTGTGGCTTTCTCTACTAATCTATCTTAAATTAATTTTGACATCTGGCCTCTGGAAAAATCTTCGGCAGTGTAGCGGTGTAAATAAAGGCGTTTGGGAGTCATCTGCGATTTAAAGCGAGTCAATGCAGCGCTCTGTGTTGTAAATCGCACCAACGCTCTGGTCATCTGATATAAATGACAAAGAATCCCTCAGTTTTTGTGCGACGCACAAAGTTGAGGCTATTCCCTTCTGCTTAACAACTTCAAAAACTTTTTCCTTCGAACACATTATAATCAAACTTTACAGGAAAAAAATTAACAAGTTAAGTCGGCTTAAAAATTAGCAGAAAACAATACCTCAAAACAATTGTGAATAGCTCAACAATCGGAATGGGTTATTGCCCATAAAATATTCACACAAAAACCATGAAGAAGTTTAAAATAGCGAGGCAGAAGCAAGGCTTACTTAGCCCAAGGTCATCAATCAGGACGAGAGAGTTGTCCGTCGCTGATCTGAGCATGTGACCAACCTCGCGCATCTAGTTGAATCACAATGAAGCGTCGCCTCACCTGCATAAAGCTAACCTACCTCCAGAGCGAATGCAGAGGCATTTGTGGACATGTCGTCGCGACAACCCATACGGACAAAAATTTTGTCTGTCAACCGGAATGCAGCAAATTTGGCAGGCACGAAAGAACCAATCTGAGCAAGGATTTGCATTAATGCTACTTGGGTCAGATACGTGGTCTTGCCGCTCTGAAACAGTGAGGAAGTAATGCCTGGGTTAAGATTTATCTCAGTTTAGGAAATTGAGGATATGGAGGGTTCGGAGGACCATCAACATGGCCTCCTGCTGGATGTGTGATAGCTATTTCATGCGTGCGTCCACAGCAGGTGCCTTTCTTCTGTAAGGTCAGTCCTCTTTTGAAGTGAACGCGCCGACAACACCACAAGCATGGGGTTTGGGATGCCTCTGAAGATTTCATTTGGCGTGTGACACTGGAAGTAACTACTTCTGATTAGGTCAGGAAGAGCATTAAATGTTGAAACGTGGGCGAAAAAAAGACCCCCGTATTGAGCATGGATAGCACTGTGCTATGTTGCTTTCAGTGGGTACGGAACTCACCATACTTGTGCCAAGGATGATTAAGACATTCTGTGATGCAGATGCGAACTACAAATCAACAGCAAATGGGTACAAAAAAAGAGTACAAGAAGAGAAATTGCTATAACTCCAACTTACTGTGTTATTGCTGACCGGTAGACAGCCACCGAACCGATCGTTGATCATATGCCGTCCCTCTTGAATGGCCAGTGTGTCCCCGAAAACAGGTTTCACTAGAAGTGGAGGAGAAATGTTAGATTTAATCATATTAATTCGGGACAAACCGAAACAGTGACCAGGAGGAGCAGAGATGACAATGCGAGCGAGGGAGCAGAGGAGGTCGAGACCAGAGACGGCCTCGGAGAGGCGGTAAAAGAGACTCATTTCCGGATGTAGATCGTGAATGAGCTTGCAGGCGAGACTGAAGGGAGAGGTAAAGGAGGGGAGTGAAGATGAACGTGACTTACTTGTCAGCGATCAGGTAGACCTCGTTGAGGGATCCTTTCACACGTTCTAGATGAGGGTGAGGGTAAGAGAGATGGGATAGGAGGCCCTACCGTTCAGTTTCACCTAAAATAGACGTGAGATAGTTCTAATAGGCAACTTTCAGGATTCCCATCACCTCATTCAAAAAACCGGCCATACGTAAAAAGACCTTCAATTATTTCTAATAGACTTAAAGCGTTGTACAAAATTACACCAGGTTTTATTCATGCTATTCGTAAAGGCGGAGTTAGAGCAGAAATACCATCATTTTGGGGTGCTTATAGGGATGTACCAGTGTACTTCCCATTCAGCGACTTCCATCACTGCGTCTGTCAGAGCATGTTTGGCTACAGTCTGAATTTATACCCCTCTAATCAGCTTACGCACTTTGATGCCATAAAGAGAACAACACAACGACACCCTGAAGGGGCTCACATACCAGCTCAGCCGTGGTGCAGTTTATCAATCCTCTGGCGACTTGCACCTTGATAAATACTTCAGGCAATCCATGACGCCTTGTGTGGGATTGACTGTCAAAAGACGACCCTGAAAAGTGGGAGCCGACAGACTCAGCGCAAATTTCCGACCTTGTTCGCAGTGCTGGTGGTAGATACAGCGCCTGTTCGGGAATTTGAATGAAGAAGCCACGCGCTTTGTTGTAACCCACACGAAGAGGCAGAGTGTGCTCTGAAGCAAGGCCTTTTACGTAATCTGAAAAGGGAAAAAGAAGAGGACTAGCATAATGCTAATTCTCAAACAGCAACACCGTTACTACAAACCACTTACGCGAGATATCGTCCACCTGCTCGGCGTAGGCGCGTCGAGTTAAATCGAGAAGGACATTTATTCCTGGCTGAAAAAGGAGGGGAAGGAGGAAATGGAGGAACCGTCTTTTGTACTAAAGCGTTCTTGTCAGACTGTATTTAAAAATTTGTACAAAAAAGGAATTCCGTGCATTTTTACACTTTCCCGCCATGTATTCGCATTAATCTCAGCGTTGCATTGGTGTCTGGAGGGCCGCTTTGTCATTGACTTGTCTTTGCAGGTAAACCGATCTAGAATAGCTTACTGTGCCAGTCAGGGACGAAAAACAATCAGCAAATATTCCCTATCTTTGTTCGCGCGGAATGAATCACCTCTTGCCCAACTTCGTTAAACAATAGATTGTGCGTCGATGAGAAGTCCGGGATCAGGTTAAGGCTTCTGCGCGCCAAAATATTCACAGGAATGACTTTTACGAACTGAGAACATGGTGACGTCTTCTTGGACAAACATTTGGGCATCCTTTAAATGCCTTGCTGATAAGCAGCTGGCTGGATGGACATTCCACCATTGTAAAAGCTGAGCTTAGAGTCTTCTGTAGACGCCTTCATTTGCAATCACCATGGCAGCACTGTGTTTTACCTTAACTTCCCGCACCTATGTGTGGAAAATGCGAGAAAATGAGACTAACCTTGATGGCGAAACACTTCTGTACACGCATTTGCAATGTCCCCTTGCAGACACAAGCGTCCTGATGCAGCACAGTGGTCATTTTTTCCAGTAGCTCAACGTAGCCAGCGTCCGAGAGTATCTGCATTGGAGTTAATAATGAGTGTTCAAGACCAATTTGTTACTTCACAGCTCTTTCATATTAATACATTAATAACATAGTTGCTACAAAACAAATTAAAACTCTTCTAATTAAACTTTAAGAAATGGTAATCAACCACACTAACTATGTCAGAACCAAATTAAACGGTGCTCTATCTCATATTCGTTTGAAATATCGGCTAATTCTCACTCGTGCGAACACAGCTATCATTCCATAGTTTCGACATTTGGTGGAAAACAGTACGTGAGTTCTGCGTAACTTATTCGAAACAATGAGGTGAGAAGTTTACATTATCGCTTACTTCTCGATAAGTCTTGAGAAGGGCAGAAGACGTCCCTTTCAGGGCATCATGCAGTGGTCGAATGAGATCCAACATATGCTTGATCGCAATCAGTTTGGTGATTCGTAGCTCAGCATTATTGCCAATCGTTACCGCTGATACCAGTGAGGAGGTGGCATCACTGTCACCGCCCACGCTGGACTTCCTCCCCGAAGCCATGTTGGAGGTTGGGGCAGAAGCGGCGGAGATGTTCAACCCGGAGGCAGTGCCAGTACGTAGCCTTTTTGGTCGATGATCACGCTGCACGTCCGAGCTTGGTGTGAGCAGGTCTTCCCCTGCACCAGGACCGCCAGAGGACGAGGTCAAACAGTCGCGAAAGGTGGGCGAGGTGATAGCGAAGGCGGCGGAGTTGGTGGCAGTGCCAGTAAGTAGATCAGTACGAGGCGCAGGGAACTCGGAGAGGTGGACGCACATTGAGAGGAGACTGTCGATGGCTGGGAACTTTGCCAGTACATTCTTTGAAAGTAAACAAAACCAAAAGTACTTAGTAACCCATTTTGTGGGTCAAAATCAAGTGGATTTTGCCCTACTATATACTTTGCTAAACATACTTCATTCCTGATTGGTTTTTAGGAATTTCGAAGGACTAGGGTGGTAGGGATTACTTAGGATTGTATATCTACTCATAAAACCCGATAATAAATAAATCAGATCAATTAAGATAAATGAAGTAAATTTTAACTAGGATGCTCAATTATCTCGGAATACACTTGATAATTTGATGTTTTTAATCGTGGATACTTCAATTCCCATTTGAAGAGGCGGTATAATCCTTCAGTTCCTCCGGACCGGTATGAATTATTATGACTCTAGGGAGGACTCAAGGTGCTGCATGGGAACTTGTGCCAAGTTATTACGCCATACTAATGTACTGTCAAGAGTGGCTTTTACCATTCCAACTCTCGGTTTTTCATAATTCAACTCAGGCAATGCCAAGTTTCGTTTTGTCCCAAGCCTTTAACTGGAACACAAACCTAGCGTCAATCAGAGCGCAGCCAAATGAGGCGTCATTTATGTCCTCACTGTCCAGTTTTCATCTAAAGAAGCGAATGACTTTTACGGCCCAAATAATGCTTGTATCTTCCTTCTCATTTAATATTAGCTTCAGAACGCTAAGTAGAGTTAAAACCATGGCCCTATAATGGTGCTTGCTATCAAAAGTAGGTTTATCCTAGGTTACTAGGTCATTTGACTAGAATAAAAGTTTGTGACTGAGGAAATTGGTTCTTACCGGAGCACGCCTTGACAGTTACAGGATTATGTGGGTGGTTTTTCGCATGAAAATTATCAAAATTTGACCTAAGGCTACGCAACTCCCCAATAAGGTTCTACTTATTCCGCTTGGCCATTGTATATGAAATGCACATAAAAATCAAACACTACCAATCAAATTAGTGTTGTATATATTTCATAAGGGATGGTTGTCGCTAGCAACAGTTGGGCTTTCGTTTACTGAGTGATCCCAGATTTTGCGTAGATTTGGGTTTTTAGGCGTTGGGCGTAACCTTGCTGGATTTAACTATTAGATGGCCAAAATAAGCCAGTGGGGTTGTTGATAAATCCTTCTTCATTGACTTACTGTAACCTGCAGGGACTTGTAAGATGCATGCTGCTGTCTATATGCATCTACTGTCAGCCATAGATATGCGTCAATTTATCAACGGTACTCTCCATTTGTGCCCGTTGAATTTCCATATCATTGAGCAAAGGTTGAATCTTATGGGTGTGATTCGAGCAGTTTATGTTTAGCTCGGCTTTAAAGCTGCAAAGCATAACGTCTCGTCAATTCCACAGCATGATGCTTGGAGAAGACGGTAGCAGAATGCACCATAAAGAATCAAGTGGCTCAGACGATTTGCGCAATTCTGCTCAAGTTCAGGGGGAATTGCATGTTACTACTGACAAGCTATAATAATTCGAGGCAAAGTTCTCAGGAACAACTTTTTAGTAGTACTTCAAGTTAGTATTGATTGAACAATTTAGCGAGGAAGGTCGTGATGGAAGCTACAAAGTAAATGGATGCCCTTACCTACTACGCATTGTCAACTGAAAAAATAAGCTCCAAAGGCTATCATGCATCATGTAAAAACTTTCCATGTATTTTAGATGTTTAACTGACTAAATTGCAATGAAAAATGGCTTTTAAGTTAGAAAGTTGTCAATTTAATTTTTTATTATTAAAAAAATGAGCAAATGCACATTCAAAATCAGAGAGAGAAATATGTTTTTACCCTCTTGTCTTTTGTAATGCCGTCGGAGTAATGCTTTAGCCGACACGGCAACGGAGAGGATTCACCATATAAAGCAAAACTCCCATACATTCCAACAGCAAGAATATAGATTAAGATATTATGATATGAAGTGGCACTGAGACTATTAAACTTCTTAATTATCATTCTAGTGAAATGAGAAGGACAATAATCGGAACCACTACCTGAATCTCAAGCAAAATCTGAGGTTTCGAGATGAGCTCAGCAACCGAGTCCTGCCGATAAGTGATCGTGGTCAGATCTAAGAAAAGAGAAAAAGGAGGAAATAATCTTGTCGCTGGTCACTGTATTACCAAGACCATAATATCCCTTCCACAACGCACCATTGGGCGGCTCCAGCAAACAGCCTCTGAGTCGACGTGCCCCACTGAGGGTGCAGGTGTTATTGATGGCCTTGAATAGGGTCTGGCTGTCTCGCGGTCGACCCAGACGACTCACCAGGCCCAGTCGAATCGCGCTTGTAGCGTCTGGGTAGAGATTTTATTTCCATTAAACACAATGCTTAACGATGTCTACATTTGTGAGATACGATAGCCCACACAATTGCATAAACTTACTTGTCGGCAGAATGAAGGAAACAGGATAAGGAAAAAACCATATCACAAATTTTGATTTTCTTCGTCCGTTATTAACGCATCACTTAAAGAAGAGAGCCATCAAATGCATACCCAGCATTGTCGCTTGAGTAGAGCATCCGAAATCCACTTTAAGGGACTTCGGAGCATAGTAGACCCTCTTTGCTGTCTCCAAGTAGTTAATTAACGCTGCAGCAGCGGACAGACCATAATATCTAAATTAAACATTACAGTGTTGGCAAAAGATATCGACACAAGCTAAGTAAACCAGGATTTCGCATCCATTACTTTGATCAATATGCTTAACATCATCGTAGGAATTCCATTTAATTGGTGAAGTCACGAATGACAATCAAAAATTAGACTATGAAGTTACGTTAAGGATATCCTTGATGCTCACTTCTCTTGAAAAGCGTAAATTGATGGAAGGTAGTGCGGATGACACAATGATTTGAGATATTCGAGACCTGCGAAAAAAAATGCATAAAAACAATTTTAATGAAAGCACTCCTGAAAGAGTGAGGAATGGGAACCTTGTTGATTGTTAAAAGAGTAGCGGCTAACACCAATAATGTTGCACCCAAATTCGCTTTGTTGGAGCAATTTCACAAGTCGATTCATGTTACTTGACTGCTCTAAAGCCGAGTGAGGCAGCAAAACCTAAAAATTAAATGTAATGCCAAATCTCAGTCCCAAAAACTACTGGAAACCAAATAACAGCATTGTGTTCCAATACTATTAAAACACACTACTACCAGTTTAAAAATGCATCTGCAAAATAAGGTTCATTTCTGTTTGCGATTTTATAATAAATAAGATAAACGTACCTCAGTGGGCATCCATACGAGCATTTTCATAAGAGTGCTGCCATAGCCACTGGTATCGGTGAATTGTGATACCTCGATGCCAGGTCGATTTAAGTCGATAGCCGCCATTCCAATTTGACCATTATTTGCACCGCGTCCCTCAACAATGCCTTTATTTAAAAAACATTCCTTATGCCGAATCCAATTTGCATAATATCATTTTGCGAGTTAATAGTAGGATAAATGTACCAGTCCCATTAACCAACACTATATGTGAAACAAATGTGTTTTGCAAAAGGCTTAAAAAAAAGAAAGTAGAAAGCTGAAACCGAGTACCTAAAGCCAATTTCATGCTTCTGGTATACACAATGGCTAACAAAAGAGGCCTTTACATCATAATTAACATCTTAAGCGTACTAAACGAGCACTAATTCTGCAGTCCCCTACATAAAATTGTATTTGAGAGGGTTCGTGTACTACGACAAGTCCTTGAGGAGGAACATTTCCAGTGGCAAATACTTGAGCTTTTTCTTGAATTTGGCGGTTCAGATACTTTCGTTCTTTCAAAAGCTCTCTTAGTGGAAAAGCCTGCGCGCCATTTAAAAGAATGCAATTTTCTTTTCCACCTAAGAGCAAAGTCCACTTGGCGAGAAACTAACCCTGAAGATGACATTGAATGTCCGCACGATAATATGTACAAATTTAACGTAAGCCGCCATTTTGATTACTTAAAACACAAAGATAATCTTTGCATTAAAATTTTAAAAGCTTTAAAAAGAAATTTTCTGACTATGAACTTGTAAAATCTGGTTTTAGCTTTCCATCAGGGAACGGCACAACCCTTTGTGTAGTTGAGGTGAATTTGTGCAACTATGGAACATTTGCTTATTGATTAAAGCAACGTTAACCTTTTTACTTAAAATGGATTTTTTGTTTAAACTAATTCAAAGGATTACCTGCCGCTACAAAATCATGTGTGGCATTAAAAGTTATTTCATTAGGGAAGATTCATAAAGCTAAAAACAAATTTTTTGCTAGAAGGTGTTTATCACTTTTATATGTACAATTGTCTGTATTCGGTACCCCTGCAGTATGGGGATGCTCAAATCGGTTTTGAATATCCTCAAACTGCCTCATTTACAACCCGACCTTGACACTTAAAGGTCGTAAAAGTCGGAAGTGTGTGACAACTCAGTTGGTCACTGTGACACTGTACTTTTCGCGCTTACTATTTTCCAGCTTATCCTTGTCATGGACATAGGCGAACTTCTATGATTTTCTCATTAGAAGGCCTACAGTTCGCAGAAGCGATGTACATCTGATTGAAGACTTATTTTTTTCCTCTTCTACCCTATCCAACAGTTAGAGGCATATTCTTTACGTGACTTTTTGATCAACTTTTTATGTTCTTAGTAAAAAATTTGAAACATAAACTCAGCACATTTTTCCTGCCATTATAGCTGTTTTTTACGTCATGAGTAATTTCTACACTCGAGTTGCCAACACTGAGTTAGGTACCGACATTTACCCAATTCGCTCGGACACCTTTGTCATTCGCACTCTTCTCAACCCTCTCCGCCTCACTCGTACGCTAATTCAATTAGGCCACGAGCCTCTTTCTCCTACCGCCTCCCTCTCTCCCCTCTCTCTCCTGAGCTTTTCTTCCTCCACCATCTACTGCTATCCTAATGTCTTCGTCTACACTCGTCATCTCTTTCACACCTACGGCTTCTGGCCTGTCATGACTTGCGGGTTCTTCTCCTCATTCTGCTTTGACTTCCTCACTGAGGTCTTTTATTTCATGAGCCATCGATACATCGTGGAGAGAGCCCTTTGTGCCGAGGAGTGGCTGGATGATACCGAAGTCATGGAAAAGCCAAAGTCTAGATTTGGCGAGGGGCTAGTGGATAGGATTCCACTCTCTCAATTTGCAGCTCACCTGCTTAATCTTTGTCTCCTCAAGGTTCATGAGGTCGTTATCACTCAACCCTTCTATGGTTTGTCAGTCTTATTCACCACACTTTCCTTTTAGTTATAATGGTTCGGCAGGGAGCCAGCATTATTGGCAAAGAGGTGGGGTATTCATGGTTCTATCAGGCCGTCTTATCAATCTTTAGGGATAACGGTATTATGGGATTTTTCTCTGTATGTTTGATGTCTAATTATCTGATTTTCCAATTTCCGCCTTCTTTTAATCATCTTTTTTTTTCTAGGGTATTACACCAAGGCTGATGTTTGAATTGTCTCCCATGATAATCTACCTCTGTGTGCGTCGTATGCTCCAGCAAAACATCTTCAGTTCTTTGCGGTCCTGGTCGAAGACGGTTCATAGCTGCATTCATACTCTCTCTTACGCTGTCATCAACTTCCTAGCATATCGATTGGAGGTACTTGTTCATTGAAATTACTAAATTTCATAAAGGAATGAAAAAATAGGGTTTAGCACATTTGCTATCATAGTCCGAGAAACATACACAACCAGGGTCTTGATGCGTTGCTCCTCGAATATGACATTAAATGTCACTTTCTTGAACGTTACGAATGTAACGCTGCTGGCGAATGACTCAATATGGTCGATTACTAAATTCCCAATTATCTTCTATGCAGGTTTGTCAAAAAAGATAAGTGCAATCATGTTTGAGAGGCCATATAAAGCATCCAACTCTTAAGGTAGTGTATAGCATTACGGTCGAATAGACCAACCTGACAGTTCTACAGAGTGAAGGTAATTAGTCATCACCTTATCTTGTCATTGATGTTAGCATTAGGTAAGCAAATGATCACACGGGAAGGAAGTATGCTTAGGTGCGGACGTGGCTAGGGCTGATTTGCATTATTACAAAAGGAGAATTTTCGTAAGTGGAATTTGCTTTTGTGTTCTGATTGAAGTACCCTTCATTCTGACGTCTGCTTACAATCCTTCATATATGTCATTGAAATGGGTTTGTTAAGCATATTATCACTTCCCTATTCTGCGAATTCTATATTAGTGTGCTTTTATTGAGATGAAAAGCAGGATTTGGGTTGATTTCGTTGCGCCCAAATTTATTTTAGAAGTTGTAGAAAGATATTGCGTGCGGAAGAGACTAGGACCATGCCAAAAAATATGGGTAATGATGAGCCCTGCGAGGACTCAAGAGTACGGCTGGTTAAATGACAATTAGGGAAAATGATGTATCATTTTTATCAATCATGGTATCCTTCTGTGCCGCACTTTCGCAGGGGAAACTAGCGAAAACTTCTAGGAAGGAACTCACCCTCCTCTCCTTTATCTCAGGTGGTGTCGTGTGTGATGGCGTTACACGGTTCACGCATACCGACGGCGGAGGCGGCGGTGGCAAACAGCTTCAGCGGCTGGCGCGAGTGCAGACGCACTCTTGCGATGACCGGGCAATTGCAACGGGGTTACTTCCCCTTCTGGCGTTTCTGCCCTACCCCCTCCTTCGCTCCACTCTAATCTCACTGTTAGGTAAAGTACTTATTTTTGTAGTCGCTCTTCTTTGTGTAGTAGCTATTAACAGAAGTATATTCTGTCCTTTTTCTATTCTTGTGATAAGTATTTTGTAGACATGATTGGAAGTGGTAATGTCTGTATAAATGGATCGGTCATTTGATAAACATTTATTTTGGTCAATTAATGGGGCAAAGGACATTGAAGGAGAAGTTAATCGTGGGATAAGTCGAAGCTTAATTTGCCGTTTTTACATTGAATAAGTGGATAATTGAGGTATGAAACGTCCACAACAATTTCATAGTATTGTTTCAAGTCATGTTGGCAGAGGGTTGTGATTGCACGACTGTCCAACAGGCTGGTCCGTGCAATCAAGTTCACTGTCTTGACTAATTTTAAAACCACGCCTCTCGTGTTAACCCCCAGTATAATCTGTCAAATTTTCTCATAAAAAGTGACACTTTCAAGAGTCTACGTCTTTGCGACATCCCCTCTGGTTGTTCCTTGCTATCCCATCTTACTTCTACCCGCTTGATGATGTGTGGTACTAATGCCGTGCGTTGCAGCTGGTCTGGATGTCTACTGTGATGAATTGGGGCTGAAAACCTGTAACTACACGGTAGAGGTAAGGGTAAAAATGCAGCGTTACTCAAACTGCGGCAGAATGCACGGGATAGCCAGCGAGTACTAAATCTCTCTTTGAAATCTATGCAAATCACCTCTCAGGACTGCATTAGCTTCAATTTTTTCTCCTTTAGTATAAGACTGCTATCGAGAACATAAATATCATAAAGTACACCTTCAACTTTTTACCAGCGTTTGTGTGAGCGTTTAATGGGTTAAATTCCCTCCCGTACTTTAAAAAACTGGGAAAAATCTGACCAATACGCAAACAAGGAAGTTGTTGTTGATGGAGGAAGACATGAAAAATGGCTAATGGGATGGGAGAAATAAATTGCACACCTCAAAGCATTCATTTGTTGGATAAATTAGAATCTGCAGGTAATCGCTCCTGGCAGCTCCACTGCCTTGAGGAGGCCACCCTTAGCATCCAAATGATACCCGAGAAGCTTCGGCAGAGAAAGTTTACCTAGCACAGCTGGGCGGTCACAAGATGGCATGCTGTAGGCGAGCGATCCCCATCACTGTTGTTCGTCCGACGCTTTGACTTGCTTGAAATACGCACTGCGCCACAAAACTCCACCTCTGTAGCAGCCCACTTCGTGGATGTGAAGCCAAGTATCTTTATTCTTCTTAGAACTCGCTTTTACTAAGACAATTTAATCATTTGCGAATTTGACTCCCATGTCCGAAGTTGAGTTCAAACTAGACTTTCAATGTTGTGAATTTTCTGTATTAAAAAATAAAAATTCCAATAGAAAATCAATCCCCAACACAATCCAAATCCCCAACCGTCTGACTGGAAAGAACAATGTCTTCTAGCAGACTGTGGATGCATTCCCCGCATGAGGGACAAACACTGTGGTCAATTTGAACTGGTGCTCGCAAGCTGAAATGGGGTCTTAGGCGCTCCAAAAGGTTCCTCTTTTCCGGTAAATTTTGCTGTTCTTCCGCATTCTAGACATAAGCGTTAAAAAGGCGCAAAACCTACTTTTGAAAAAATATCCCAACATTCTACAATTCTCCTTCGAATAAACGGATCTTCTTCCCACTCCGCAGAGCCCAGATCGGCACACGTTTCCATAGTGAGAAGAAAGGTTTCTGTGGTCCTCAGGTGCTCCACTACAGCCTGGCAATTAAGGCATCGGAGTAAACACGCCAATAAGACAGCCTTTAGTGTACTCGGAAAGATTTGCTCTGCGCCGATCGACGCTTTTTCGATCTGAAGGCTGGTTACTAGGTCCAATATTTGCGCGAAAATCTGGGGCGAGAATATATCACAAACTTGCGGTTCCAGCAAGGGTGTGATGAAGAAACCACGAAGCATTTCGATAATCGTCTCATTAGCTACTAATGAGGGCTCTTCAGCTATCTGTTCGGAGACAAGTTTTTGCAATTTTAGCAGCTGTGAAGCGACCGCCTCATTCAGGAAAGGGGATTGATAAATGCGCAAGAGAAGGAAGGAGTAGGAAAGGCACCCCCCGCTAGACTTTAGACGAGAGCACTCTTCGTGAGCAAGACGATAGATCTGTTGAAATATACCAAGTCCCTCTGTGCGGGTGATAGAAGGAAGGTTGGAATACAATGAGAATACACTATCCATTAGGACTGAGAATTCTGCAAGAATATGCGGCCGATTGCAGATTTGGGCGAGGAGGAATTGCAACTGTTCCCTTTTTCGTGCATCTTCTTGCAAATGACAATAGCGATTGAAAAGGAGCCAACAGTTTTTAAAAACATTATCAAATTGGTTCTGTAAAAGTAGGTTGATTGAATAATTCCAGAGATTATCGATGAATGTAGGAGGTAGGAGATCGCGAAATGCAGAATGAAGGAGAGGATTTTTTTGACAAGTTGATAATGGTGTAAGGACTTTATTAGGAGGATAAGTCTTCGACTCGTTAAAGAGATCTTCCATTTGGCTGTACCATGAGCTCACTAAGAATCGATGAAGCGGACAATCCTGAAACACCTCATTGGTAAGCAGCCTTCGTAAATAACCGCCAACTTTTGATAAAAGGTGGCCATCATTCATAGCGTCTTCAAGGATGGCTGGTTGATATGGGGCCAACAAAGTTGAAAGATACACTAACTCTTCTTTATGATCAACAACAACAGAGTTTTTATTAAGAAACTTCGCAATATTCTTTGTACAATCATTGAGGTAAACGTTGGATGGACGAGGAACTTTAATAAGTACAGTCAGAAGATCCACAAGAAAGTCAACATCATAGGAGGATAAATCCGTCGATTTTATACAGTTAGGAAATCGATCACCACCTTTGCGATTTTTGAAACCGGAAAGCGACAGCAAAATGAATAGAAGAATTATAGAACGGCGGTGATTAACATTAACCGACTTTCGGTGCAGGTTTCTTAGTGTCATAAGATGTGAATCAAAAAGTTCACCAGAGAAATGAAATAAATTCGCCTCATGTAAGCTCTTTTGATAAAATGTGTGGAGTATCGAGATCATTGAGCAATTTTTAGACATGATCAATGAACTTAATATGCGGGTTACCACCTCGAAATCTGACGGTTGACAGTAATTGCGCATTCGCCAAAAAATGGCAAATTTAATTTTGAGCTTCCCGCGGGACAATTCAGTATCTCCTAAATTATCCTCGAAAGACGTCATGAGCTTTCGGAAAGTGACATCATGAAAATTACTCCAAACCGCGTGATGCTCGTCCTCACAGTATAACGCTTGTTCGAGCCTGTTTAAAAGGGTATCATCCAAATGTTCTGCGACCCCCTCTTTTTCCTCTAAAACAAATGCAAGCAGTTCACGAGAGGTAGACATTTGAAAGACGCACCCTTTGCAACAACCACGATAATGCAAAGGTCACAGCCGAACCACTAATGTCCGAAGAAGAATGTTGGCTCCCAAAGCTGGCCTAAATTAGACAAACTAATGCTTTTTGCTTAATTATTTGGTTAAGCTAAAGAGCACCACAGCCTTTCTTTTTGTACTTCCTCCGGCACCATGGCCTCCGGGCCATGCCAGCGACTTTCAATCCTTTTGGTACAGCAGTAATGCACATTTCGCCCTAATATTATGTCTCACTTTGTGTTTAGAGATGTCTAAAAGTGCTGCGCCAACCACTTCTGGATGTCTAGTTTGTTTGATAATTCTCGTATCATGTTGCTACGACCAGTATTATGCAGACAAGTTTAAATATAAAGGTCAAAAAGTCGCTTTCTTTTTTGGTCTTAGTTTGACGTCATAATGAACGCCAGAAATAATATTGTCCATTCTTATCTTTTATAGTCGTCAAATGAAATGATACATCTTCGCATGAGCATGTTAACACAGACTGCAGTAAAATTTGATTTGGAGGCTCCTGCTACTTGGATTAATAAAAAAATGTACCATTGCATCAGTACAATGACTTATTAGTAGCGTATACAGTCGAGATGCACGACACACAACCGAAAACCTTTTTATACTGAGATTTTAAGACCAAATAAGAAGGATAAGTCCTCTGTGTCATAGCTTGAAAGGAAGAAATGTGAATGATCAGCTCAGAGAATGAACTAATGCGCTCTGCAACGGCCCTGCAAATGCTAGGTATCCTAAGCAAATATCGTTTTTTGATTTTTCAAATTTAAGGTGTAAGGAAATATGGATATTCGCATGGCATCAATTAAAAGGAACATTTTTGTCTTAAAATATGTATCTCAAATTAGTTGATAACACAGGTAAAGCGCAGGATAAAAAAGAACTAGCTAAAGGTGATGATTAGGCCAAAAAGGAAGCTTCAATGCAATGCCTACAGTATGGGCTTAAATTATTCTATAAATTGTCAATTTTTAAAATGCTTTAAGGGGCAGGGAATGGCCCGAAGTCTTTTATCCCTTATAAACTTACGTGTGATTGATCTTGGCTTAGAAATCTTTTTTTGGCAAAACTCTGCTTTGTTAACTTATCAAAAATCAGAGCGCTTGAAATTTTGTTCGTATTGTTATTTGGCCCCAAGCGCTGCGTTCAAGTGGATTGTGCTTTACATCTGTTTTTTATTTCTGGATGTAATGCGTTTTTCTCGTTAAATGTTTGCCCTGTTTGTTGCATCTGTTTGAATGAGTAAATTTCCATCATCAGAGGGCTATCCCTTAAAGGGAAAGAGCTCTGGTCCTCCCGATGTGTATCCTCAAAAACCTGATCAGCTTGAAGATGCTTTGACGGAACAATTGGTCAAAGATGGATTTAAATATCACAGACCTGTTGCTGATGAATATAAATCAGGAAGGGGCAACAGCGCGCCTCAGGATTTGGATACCGCTTGGGACTTATACTATAACATTCTTCTCCTCAAGGCCCAAACGGCTCCTCCCTATGAACCGGATAACCCACAAATCCAGGTTAAAAGTTTCTCAGGAATGGATAAAGATTGGGACCAGCTTAAAGACTGGCTTTCAGACCTTTCAGGCGCCAATTGCAACAGAAGAAGCACCGTTTTCCACGCTAGTAAAGAAAGGATTCTGGCTGAATTAGTTTCCTGCCGCTTCCCTCTTTCGCACTCCCTGCGTCTGATTAACAAACTCATCATTCACACTACCGCACCGCTAGAAAATTTAAAGAAGAAACAAAAGCTTGATCCAACAATGGAATGGACTGAGGAACTTCTACGAATGCTCAATGAGCTCTTTTCTGGTGATCTCTCAACTACTCCTCCCAACAGATACGACAGTATGTGTGCCGAATGGGATTACCTTTTTAATCTCCTAACAATTCTTTACGATAACGATTTAGTCGAGCATTGGGACGTGCTCAAATCGCTTGCAACAAAACTTGACCACCTGTACAATAACTCTCTAAGGCTCGCGTCGCAAGACTGTTCATCCTTCTGCTCGCACCACGAGAGACCACAAGCAGCGAAGTGTGATCCCTTTCGCATCCTTAAGTTCGTTCTCCCCTACTTCCAACGTTTCTGCCTCAGATTCACCGAAAGTGAGCTTCTGGCTCGTCGTATTCTCTACTGGGCCTGCTCTGCCTTCTCTGAATTTCTTCGTGCCTGCGCTCTGCGATCAAACTCGGCTGTAGTGACCTTCACAAAACCGGAGGACTACATCGATTTCTTCGTTTGTTCACATCATCGTTCCCTTCTGCTCTCTACCTCCAGCATAATTATTGCACTAACACTGCACTGTCCCTCAGCAGCAGTGTGGAATAAAATCACTTCTGAGACTAGTTATACTTATCTGACCGGGTCGCCGCTTGACCTTCTCCCCTGCCCTCTTTCCTGTCTTCCTATTTACCCTGGACCGGAGGCTTCTAACCTTCGAAAGTGTCTGGTGGAAACCGAGACCGTCCTTCTGGAACGCGGCAGATTAGCTGAGAGTGGATGGTACTTGTTTCCTTCGCGAACAATCACTTCCGATGAATGTACAGATGAAACAAAAGTAAGCAGCGTCTTTGTCCATCCCTCCCTGTAGAATCTAGCTGATCTGATTTCGGCCTGGTGATGGTTTCTTCCTTCTTTGAAAAGCATCACTGAAAGGCCTCACCGATTCTTGGCTTCGGTGATGCAAAGTATTATTTGTCTTATTAACGCTACTTTCGGGAATGGGCTCTTACAGGCTTCAAATTGAATTTATTTATTTCATCCTTATCCTTTTCGCACAACTTTCCCGTCGGCGCTTTAAGTTTTCATAAAAATAGCGTGATCTAGGTCTGCAGCTCGAGTTAGTGTTGAGCCAATAGAGTTAGTATTTGCGAATCTGATTTAAAGTAACTGGTAAATAATGCTTCATGAAGTTTATAAACTAGGTGAATTTAACGATTCATCGTTGATATTTGGGTGACTGTCAAATTCTCGGTAAGTTCACTGTAAGGATCCCGTTGCGAAATCGCCCTGATGTTTTATTATTTTAAGCCAATAAGTGCACTCATCCTCTAACCAAGAACATTCCATGTCTCTTTTATTGTACTAAAACCAACCCATCTGCTTTTGCAATCTGACACAGAACACATGTCAAACATCTGTGATGCGGTCTCCAGATAGGAATATTGGTGTGTTACATGTGTGATTACGTTAGCGGAAAAGAAACAAATCGTAGCTAGATACTAATATTCTTGGTTGTGTGACTGTTTATTTTAGACGGAAATGTTTGTTCGTGTTTTGGACGAATTGGACTCGCATGATTTCAACCAGAGCGTGGAAACACATCCAATCGACAGTCTTTTTAAGAAACTTTTCCACTCTGAACACCTCGAGTCACCACGGTCCATCACGGCGTTAGTCACTTTCCTCTGCAAATGGGCTGTCTCACCCACACGCACCGGCATTCATCGTTCCATCATTCTTGCCTGCCTCCTTGACTACCTCCACTCCAAACTGCCAAATTTCAATTTCCAGACCTGCCTTCTTGCATTCCTTGACATCCATGCCCCTCCCAGCCCAATTGTCGACGGGCCCGGTTTTCGTTCACTCGTCTGTCTCTTTGCCGAACTCATTGACCGAGGTCTCTTCAACCACGATGCTTTTGTGCGAACCTACATCGCGCGAGGTGTCTTCGATAGCTCACTTCATCCCCTTGCTAACGCCGATTCGGTTCCTCCCTCTCTCACCTCTTCATCCGCCCTTCCTCCACCTACCACCGCAGCCGGCCTCCATCCTTCCTCCCTGAATAATAACTTTTCAGTGCAATCGGAGATCTCCGAGGACAACGATCGCACCAGTATGGACAACCCTGACTCCGTACGCTCCGATCTCGGCAACGGTCTGCCTCAGCGACACTCCTGTGATCTCAACCGCCACCTCCAGTATCTCATTCACTTCCCCTTACCCCAAGACGACTCCTACGCACACGAGCAAAATCAACGTGCCCAGCTTCTCTATGGGAGCAGTGCTAGAGCCCATTCGAGAGCGCGAGAGACTCCACGGAAGGTGTCTCGAGACATTGTTAAGCTCTTTACGAGGAGTGCGCACCGTCTCGACGTAGTACATGGAGAGTTAGGCAAGAGGAAAAAGAATAAAGAGCGGGGAGTGGATGTCAGTGGCACACCGAATGGCACTCAACGTGGCAGCAGTGGTACCAAAGAAACGCGGTCATTGGAAGAACTACTTGAAGCGATAGCAACGCGGTTTCGTTGTCTCAATTATTACGACATGGAGTATGTCATCTCCAAGAGTATACCTGCATACCTGCGGTCGTTGTCTGGCACCATCTCCCCTAACACTACTACCACGAGTGGTGGTGACTCTCTTGTTGCCGACTCCAGTGGAATCGTCGCATCGTCACCATCTGCTCCCAATTCGAGTCGAGATCACATCTACTATCCGGCTCATAACAGCCTCTTTCTCTTCCTGGAGTTGATTGAAACCTCGCTTAACATCCTCAGTCTCTTGGATACGGTTGTGGAGACGCTGGAACGCCTTCAGGCCTCTTCTCTCTCCGCTCCCTATCCCTGCATGAGCTCATATCTCTCCCTTATCTGGCTACATGCTATTGGCATCCTTCGTACACATCAGGCGGTTCTGATGACTCAGCCTAACCTACAGCAGCGAATCCTCACCTGTCTGATCGAACAACTTCGTCGGGGCACGCAGGAGAAGCTGCAGAGCAAGTGGTGCATTTTGGAGTACCTAAGGAGTCTTTACCTCTCCAGTGCCTATGTAAAACGGCTCTGTACTCCTTCCGTATCCCTATCCACCTTTGAGTCGCTTCAACATCAGCTTGCGCTAAATTCACAGACCTCGGAAATTTTACGAAGACTGCGCACATGTGCAGAGGACCGTAAGACTCTTGTTGACGAAACGCTTAAAGGGGTGCTTCAATGCCGTGATCCGGATCGCCTTGTAGCCCTCTCTGACCGCTTCGTTGATTACACTGTCCAGTGCCCCGAACTTGCTCTAGAGTGGCTACCATCCATGGCTGCTCTCGTCAATCCTTCTCTTCGTGGTGGCGGTGTTGGAATCTCGTCTTCTGTTACCTCTCCAGGCGTCCAGAATTTCAATTCCGAGATGAGTAGTCAGTTGGATGATCCAGTGGAATGGGATAACCTTGCTTCGTTGATCGGAACCCTCCTGGCACATCACTGCATCGACACGGAAAAACTCTTTGATAAACTTATCAATCCCTCCCTCGCCTTTGGTCTCGATCAGAGCTCCGCACCCATAGATTCACGCTCCGAGCCTACCGTCCGTCTGGCCTGTCACATCCTTCATCGATTTTTCACAGTGGAGACGGTCACTCAGGATGCACAGCCTTTTTCCTTCCGAGTATCCGAACCCTCTCTTCTCTCCAGTGCGCTTCGTCGTGTGAATTATGCACTTTTTATTGACACTCTAAAGATGCTCATGATCCACAGTAACAAGGGAAAACCACTGGAGTTGATAGATGAGGCTGGGGAAGATGGCAGTGCTGCTGGTTCGGACGATAACTCCTCGGACAATGATAGGGACTCGGAACGCGAGACAGATGACGGTCCCGCAGACAGCTCTCTTGACCCCACCGACGGGTTTGATTTGACGGATGGTCCACCGGTCTCAAAAAACAAGCGCAAACGGCGTCGAGTGCACTTAGCACCGTCAAAAAATAAGCGTAAGCGTGGAGTGAATGCACGACGTAGCACTTCTGGTGGGAGCTTACTGAATATGCGACGCAAGAATCGTCTCGCTAGTTGCATCCACCAAAGTACCTGCGCCTTCCTCTCCACTGGTCAGCCTCCTAGCGATGCTGATTTGAGGGAGATGTCTCTCCGCGACTTTGCACATCTCGTGCTCCGTGAGATTTGTGTTACACCATGGGTGCGAGAGTACTTCTACCTTATATCGACACGCCTACTGCAAAAAAACGTCTTAATTGATAAGATGATTTCGAGTAACCAGACCCGCTTTCTCCTACACATCATCTACCATCCGCATGATGTGAAGTGGATTGATTTGGCCGCCACTTCGGACAACGTGGCTGAAGCGATGCTCTCGCTCATCTCTAGCGTCAACGTTTGGTCGTTGCATGCCACTCTGATGGAACTGCACCTCCTCTGCCACCAAATCTCTGTCACTTCTTCCAAGGAGGTCTTGGACCAGGTTGCCAATCGGATTGTTACCAGTTTTAATGAGCAGGCGATAGCCTATTTAAAATCCACTCCAATGGGCGCATTTTCAGCCTCCACTTATGGTGAGCAGTTGCCTGAAGCTCTGCCGGATATTGAGATTCCTGAAAACGACAATAGTTGGCTTCTTCCCTCCCTCATCGCCAAGTTACCACCTGAACTCAAAACGCAAATTGTCACCAAGACTTGTGATGTAAGTTGGCCTTCCCTTTAACTTGTTTAGAGTAACCCTAGTGCCTGTAAATGGGCCTTGTAGTGGTATCGACAGCATCGTGTTAAACTTCTAATTTGGTTTAGATACTCAATGGGATCAAACTATTTTGGCGGCACAAGAACGACGAAGATCAGGAGCGTATTGTAATGCAGCACTCCATCCTCCTGGCCCATCCCGTCTTCTCCTCTATCCTCCACGTCTGCATGGAGACCGTGGACCCGCTAGAGCGTCTCTACGAGCAACTGGAGTACTTTGTTTCGGGCGTCAAGGAGACGCGTGATCGGATGCCCGAGAACCTACGTACACGGCACATCCTCCAGGAGTGTCTGGCACTCCGTCTTTCTCTTCTAGGCATCTGTCTCTCCTCTATGAACCTCACCACAGATCGTTTGATCAGCGGGGCCCTGATTCTGGCTCAGCTCATTGGATTCGGGGTCACGGAACCCCATTCCAACCAGACCCTCTTCTTCACCTGTCTTGACATGCTTCATAGTTTGGTGCACAATTTGGCAGCTCAGGTGGGTCCTGACAATCCCCAGTACCAGAATCTGGCCAAGAAGGTGCGAAAAAAACTGGCTGAGCGCCATTTTACTGTGGGGATAGAGTACATCCGGCCACTTCTCTTCATTGGTCGCACCGGCTATCCCTTTGTGGCTGTGACACCCCTTGATGGCACTGCAGGGTCGGGTAATCGTGGCGATGGCGGAGGTGGAGCAGGCAAACTTGGTGGGTCTTCGAAATTTGCCTCTGTCAAGTCGAGTGGAAAGTCAGGTGGAGCAAACGCGTCCAGGTACAGTGGAGGTGGGGGAGGTGGCGGCGGAGGTGGATCCGCTTCAGCTACCACCAATTCTGGAAATAATAATGGGAATCCATCCTCAGGAGGTGGTGGTGTAAAAACCTTTACTCGCAAACGGGGTTATGCTTTTGTGAGTCGTGATCGCTTTGCACCATGGGAGATCTACGATGTCAATCGACGACCCGCCTTTCTTGCCATGTGTGGGGCTGTTCAAGTACCCGCGACACAGTCGCAAAATGAGGAACAGGCCAACATTCTGCTAAGTCACGAGCACCCAATCACTCACCGAAGGTCCGAGGAATTCTACATCCAGTCTCTCTTCCACGAAGCGGAACCGTCGGCCTCTTCCACATCCGCAACAGCCGTATCCTCTCCTTCCTCCTCGATCGACTCCTCATCAAAGCAATTCATTCTCGGGTCAGTCCCGTCGGTGAAGCGCCATCCAGGCGTCGAGGGCATGCCTCGACGTATAGCCCAACAAACTCAACGTCTGTCGAAGCCTGAAGACATAATCTACCGCCAACAGCAGCAACAACAAGCGCCACCACTGTCAATGCCTCCAGCACAAATGCGTATGCAAGCACCGTCCCAACAGCCGACAAAACGCAAGCGAAGTCGAGCAGCAGCGCAACAACCAGAGGAGATGTTGTTGCCTCCTCCTCCGCCACCACAGATGTACCACCAAGGCATGTACCCACCTCCGCAGACGTCTTCAGCGATGGCTGCAGCTCAGGCGGCTGAATCAATGGCTGCAGCTACTACTACGACGGCACCTACAACAGTGACAGGAAAGAGGAAGCGCATGGGTGGAATGGTGGGTGGTGGCGGTGGTACGGCGGCTGCAGCGGCGGTTACAGCAGCGCCGGCCCCATCGATGCGACGAGGTGTGGCACCGCCTCCAAGGAGCTACGATAACGGTGCAGTTCCTATGCCATCGCAGCAGCAGACCTGGGGTGGGGGCAGGGCACCCTCTGCTGCCGGTGGTAGTGGTCGGGTGCCCAATCAGCGCCAAAATTTGTCAGAGTTTGTACAGAATCAAACCAAAGCTCAGCACAAGGCAGCTCAACAGCAGCAAATGGCTGCTGCGTTCGCAGCTGGAGTTATGCCCATGGAGGAGCAGTTTTCGCAGCAGCAACAGCAACAAGATCCCAGGCAAGTGGTCTTTACTAATTTCCCTTTATTTGCTTTTTAACTGAGCGCCGTGGTGTTCCGGATTGAAACATTGTTTTAAAGACGTCCTACAATCGATTTCGGGGCTAGTAAAGGCTTGTCAGAGCGAGAGAGATAAGCGGCAGGTGTGCGCGTGTTTTTGTTAAACAAAGATGTGGTACCGCTAGCTGCTTCTGCCCCTACTCTACCAGCTGCATTCTTCTTGTCTAGCCTCTCGCTTGACGCTCCTTCTACGTATACGTGCGCTCTCCTTCTGCCGCACGCGTACACATCACAAATTATCACATGTTTCACTATCGCTGTACTCTTTGTGTAAACAACTGAAAATTACAATAATCCGCCTCACACTCATTCTCCATAGCCGTCGCTTTATTGTCAGCATGGAACCTGGTTCCATGATGTTATACGGTTTTCTTGTCTGGAGGCAGATTTACTCTCGGCACAGCTTCATGCCACTGGCTCAAATGCAACATTTAGCATTATTTCGGCACAACCCCCTGATCGTTTTCTGCTTCGGCCATCTCGGTGGTGGTCAGGTATGCCAAAATCACGCGCAGAACAGGAAGGAGAGGCATAGCACTTTCTTTCCGCTGTCGTAAAAAGACTTGTGGTGATCCGCCTGAAAATTGAGTTGTTTCACGTAACCATTTTCTGAATTCCTTCCTTCTTTTCACACTGTTGGCGCCTTAATGTTGTCTAGCCACACATCTTGGTTATTATTCCCTTCTTGAAATGCGCGGAAGTACAGAGTTGGTGCATTTGGTGCAATCCAAATACCGGCCATTATGCAGAACTCGTGATTGCTGTGGTTGTCAAAATCGCACCGGGATGTCTCCGCAGGTTTATTTATCCACGGTTAGCAGGAAGCGGGCTCCCATCGTTACCGCCAATCCGGCGATCGAGTTATTTAGCAAGACGCAATTAGCCGATGCCATTCTGGAAGTCACTGTTGTTGGCGGACAAAAGGGTTGGGAGACTGGGAATGCAGAAGATGTGGACGTAGCTTCAGCTGAAAGTTTGGTAGCCAAATCGCGTGGGTAAGCGTCCTTCTGTTGAAATGCTGTCACACTTCACTCGGGTTTGGCGTCTTCAGCATATGCAGCTTTCTGAAATAAGTCGACACAAAAGCTGAAAATGTAGATTACCCTTATCCAACACGTCTCTTCCTTTCGGTTGGATGTACTGGCCGGTTGCATTGACACATGGTAGAAGGTATTACAATGTTATTGTTTTGCGAGATTTGGAGCTTGGTGGGAGCCCCGTTTTTCTTGAAAATAATGTAGGATTAGGTCGGGAATGATTATTGTGTTTCGAATTCAGATTCAGAGGAGGAGGCGGCGGCGGCGATCCAAACTACGGTTTCGCCGAGATGATGCCACCTCAATCCTGCGCTAGTGGACCTTTTGTTCCCGACTTTGCCGCCATGGATTCCCAGCTGCGACATCACCGTCAGCAGCAGCATCAGCAGCGGTACATAGGGGGTGGCGGGGCCGGGAGCAGCAACCAATCACAGCAGGTTGTACCTGATCCCCCACCCTACCCTGGTCGTTCCCAACCAACCAAAGCCCTTCCACCCCAGCCACCTCCATCACAGATGATGATGCAGATGATGGGCCCGTCGACATCCGCTCCTGCTCTATCCATGCCGACCCCAGCGGTAATGGGAGGGGCGATGACACAGGCTCAGCATCGAGCCTATATGATGTCCTCCGCGCAGTCCTCCAACTCTGTGTTTATGGGCGAAGCGCCTCGTGCTGCTCCGGCCCCGCCTCCACCCCATTTCTCCCGTCTCTATGACACCACTGGTGGTGGAGGTGGTGACTACCGCTGAACATTCCACTTCCCGCTCTCCCCTGTGTACAAAAGTGTATGTAATTGGAAGAAGAGAAAAAAAATGAGAATGCTTGTGGTCAAATCGCCTCTCACATCCCCCTTCCAGTGTACAGTGCTACCTCCCTCTTTGACCCCCCCTCCCCCCTCTCCTCTCCATTTTGTGACCGGTGAGGCTGAAACAATGTTCTTCTGACTGTCTGATTGCTTGTCTGTAAGCATGCTGCGTATACATATACTTTTTGCTCCTCCTCTTTGGTTACTTCCCTTCCCTTAACCTAGGCGAACAAGAGGCACACGCGTCCATGTACCCTCCACTCAAACCAATAAATATGCCTATCCATGTGCACAACGCGGATACGCACATAGCTGATTGGCAACAGCCACGCGGTTAGATGTGAGGGTAGGGTTTGAAATGGCCAGAGCGGATGGTCTAGCCAGGTGTCAGTCTGTCTAGAAGTGGGGCTACTGCTAGGCCTCTGCCGAATTGTTGGAAGTGCATTCATGCGAAGGATGATGGAAGGAGTGTCTTTTTTGCAAAAGGCTATCGTCGGCTCAGTTATTGATGACAACGATTTCGACACACAGTAAGTCGACTTAAAATGACACCTCGCTTTACACAAGCATGGTCATATTTGTGAGGTCAAGGTCTTGTAGTTTGATTTTGCCGTCACAACCGTGCGACATGTGCTCTTTGTCTGCTTTTGGATGGCTGGGGTCACTAGATCGTGGTGTAAACAAATTGGTTGAGCAGATGTGGGATGTTTGTTTTGTTACTTTGGCAGCCAATTCGGTAGAATAATAAAACATCGGGAGAGGTTTAACCCTAACCCTCCCGGTGTTAGTTGAACCCAGTCATGAAGGCACTAACCCCCTAGCAAAGATTGACAACTCACTTCACTCCACGATTTACATCAAAATATTATTTGTTGGGTCATTGTTTTGACTAGGACTACTGAAGTGATCAAATCCCTTTGATATTCAAATCCACCCAATGGAGGTTTGATTGTTGGGCGAGGAGTTGCGGAAAGCAATAGTTATGAAATCGTAGGCTATTGATTGTAAAATTGCGCCCCTTCTGACACTTCAAGGGAGAAGATACAGTACCCGAATCAGCCGCTCCATCGTTAGGACATCATTCCTGCGCCGGTTTGGTGGAAATGAGGACAGAGGGATCTCCGGTCTAGCATGTAAATAAAACTAGATTTAAAGATGCTATTATATGGGGCGGGGTTTCCTGGAGGTTGATCAAGACGAGCGTCAGGGAATGCATAATACTCTGCATGTTTGTTTAACTCTTATTTTTGGTAGCGGCCTACTTAGGGCTCCGCTATTATTCCTCCGCTGGGTGGCCTGGCCTTCGGGCCATACCGGTGGCTCCGCAAGCCCTTCTCTAGGTCGACATTACACTATTCTCCCCGAGTCTTATGTCTCCTTAGGTCTTCAGGGTAGTCTTGGGAGGCTGCATAGTAATGCTACTGGCCTTCTCTCCATGTCAATAGCCTGTCAGACTTTCTATGCATTAACCACAAACCTTTCCCAGGACTGACAGGCCTTATTACGAATTTCGGGAGGACCAAGCGGACCAAAAGTTGTACACAAATGCATCATTTGGCCAGTCAGTTCTAAATCGTGGATGACATTACGGGGTTTGGTGAATCAAACCGCCTTCAAGGAACGGCTATTATCAGCTGCTTGAGTAGACCCCTATGTAGAGGAGGCGGGGATAGAAGGACGGTGATCGAATCTTCCCCGATTTTAGTATCGCCTTATTGAAGAAGAGCAACCGACGGCTTTACAAATGTCTTATGTGACTTCTTCCAAATTTCTAACACATTTTTCTTGTTATATTGAAGAATAAAGGGTTTTTTGCCTGTCAGCCGATCAAATCACGATTTACTTGACCTTGACCAATTTCACATAAATCAACCCCAAGACTGTATTGCCACTATCCCAGAGGGAGAAGAAATTGTGATAATGCACATTTTTCCAGTGTAAGAAGGATACTTTTCTCTCTCAAATTGTTGGCTGCGTTGTTTGCCCCAAATGGGAATGTATGATTAGCCGACATACATGTTTAACCCTTGATTGCTAGAGGTAAATCACCTCTCAAGATGTTGGCAAATGTGCAGAAAACTCACACAAGCACACACGCATCTACTCGTTATCCCTATAAAGTGCACAATTGTCGCATAAATTGCTGCGCCGAATTTTGAAAATGCTTACTGATTCCCTGCCTCTTCCTAACGCAATGAGGGAAGAGGCACTCGGAACAGCTCCACATTTCTCAGATTCCCATAAATGTAAATGCCGTTTTTTTCACAGGCATACAATGTTTTTGGTGTTCATTTTCTTCTTCATGATGAGCATCAATTCCAAAAGGTGATGCCCTACAAAAATGAATGCGATACTGAAGTGCGTGGAGGATGAAGTAACTGCGTAGTTGGTGAAGCAGTAGCAGGAGTGCGACTACGTTGCGCTGCGTCACGTTGGTTCCGGTGCTCTCCATTGCCTTGAAGTTCTTCACCTTATCAAATGGTCGTATAGCTATTTTTACTCGATAATATGGAAATAAAGGAAAGGATTTGTGCATGGCGTTGTTGGTAAGGATGATAATTTACTAATAGACTTTAGTAAGCCAGCTTTGAAGAAAAAAGATCTTCGAACATTACCGCTGTGTTGAACTGAGATGGAACCGATGCTTGCACACCTATCTGTCTAGGTTTTTACCTTTTGCTTGGTTTTTAATTAACCTAGCTTGGTATTCCAGCTTTCTGTCTCTGCCAGTTCGGTTGGAAGTCCATCAGTCCTTTCGTATATTCACACCATGGCTCTAAAATTCTCTAATTATTTGTTTAACTCTTCATTCTGGTTTTAAGGACACTTAAGGCTCTGCTTCTGTACTTCCGCTGAGTGGTATGACCCAGAGCCCATGCCCGTGGCCATCCCCGCCCTTAACCCTTCCGTACGTCGGCAATACACATTCTGTCCTAGTATTATGTCCTCTGTAGTCTTCAGGGAAGACTGGGGATGCTACATCGGTGGCAGTGGAAAGCGAGCTTGATCCAAAAGGACAACTAGCCTGATTTCCACACCTGAATGCTAAACATTAACTGGACGGAAGAAGGGTATATGCTGCGGATGGGAGAGTCTGTGACTGCCCTAAAACAAAAGGGTTGAGAACTGCGCCTACCTTCACTGACTACTACCACAATTTCGTGTTCTGCCATAAGCCATATAAAAAAGTTTGTTATCGAGTTGTCTAAGGTATCAATTATTCAAACACGAGTTACCTCCTCCACATCTCTGTTAACTGGATAGAACCCTGACAGATGTATATGGCACCGAAGTGAGAACAACACGGCAATGAGGAGCAGACGCAAGACCTATCCTTATGAAACCCTTTTTAACCTCCGCCCTTTGTTATATGGCTCTGCGTTTGGGCCAGTGTTCTTGCTACTAGCGAAGGACACACGAGGTGGCCAGCACATTCTCCCTTCCCTCAATACAGCTCCTAAACAGGATGGAACTCCAAATTTAACGGAATTATGAGGAAGAATTACTAAGGTATCTGTCAGATATCTTTGCAGTTGTAGGCAAATTTGATGATTGGCCGGGTCACGTGGCTCGCGGGTGTTTTCCCTTACAGCACTGACCGCGATGTGATGGTTAGCACGAGAGGTAAACCGAGGGGACTGCCAGCGACGACGCTCAAAAGGAGAGAGGGACTATGTAATAGCTTGCTTGTTTGCTTCTCTTTGTTTGGGTTCCGCTGCCACTTAAGACTCCGGTACTTTATTCCCGCTTCGCAGCATTGCTCCTGGGCCATGATAGTAGCACCCCTAGCCCTTCTCCACATCGGCAGTACACATTGTGCCTCAGTATTATGCCTTCTTTTGCCTTCACTGAAGTATCGCGACGCTACAATGCCGTCCAGACTCACGCACTTTCCACCCTTCAAGGAGAAAACACACGCTAAAGTAGGAATTTTACAGTAAAATCACAAGTAAATTTCTACAAATTTAGCTTTGAAAAGTCCCAGGTGGCAAAAAAAGCTCGTATCACTTTAATTATTTATCAACATGCCGAAGATGTTTGCCTTATATTTTCGGGATTGTAATGACTACCAATCGAAACAGATACTAACTTCGGAATTTTTAGCCAGGATCTTTCTTTTCACGTTTTATCGTGCAAAACTAAAGAGTACCTTCCATGAAATTTAATATCTCCGATCATTTAATGCTCAGGACTACCGTCATTGGAATTACTTGACGATGGTGTTTCAACATGTCGAAAAGGGGGAAGTAGAAAACGGCACCGTCTTTTCCCATTTTGCGCAATCTTATTTAATTTCGAATAACCGAAACAATGAAACTTCCCCCTCTTTTTCAACTTGCATGCATGCGGAGATCGTCGGTAATACTACACCAACACCAGGACGCGTTCACAAGCCATGGACAAACCGTCAACCGGGAGGTATTGGATTTTTCCATCGTATAGGTGAAAGCCTTTAAGAATCTTATCAGAGAGTTGGCCCTGAGGAAGAGCAAACCCTTCCACGGCTTGGACCTGATAGTCTCAAGTACAAGCCAGCAGATGTGAGGAGGAGGAGAAAGAGGAGGAGGATGCGTGGTTCCCTCAAGGCCAAAATGGCATATTTGCATTCCCCCTGTGCCTGCAATATATCTTGCACGCAGTTCAGGCCTGTCCGCTTCAGTGACCTAAAATATCTCAATCACTTTGGCAGTTTTCTTCCCTCTTTGGATAGACGGGGTTGAGCTTTCAGAGAGGACCAACGATAATGATAAGTCTCTCATTCTAACCGCTCACTTTCTAACAGCTTAATTGGCAAGAAGAAGAGGTGAAAGTTCTTTAATAATAATTCTTGATAATAGTTTATTTACTTGTATGACTTCTGGGTAAAAGCTCCTGGAGATTTAACAGCAGTGCCTGTGTAAATTGATGGCTTGTTACAGTCAATTGATTGGTTCGCCTGTACTTCACGAGATCACCTGTTGACAAGTCAAGGTCATTTGTGTTCAAGCCCTCTCCATAAATTGTCAAATTTTCATTGTTTTTTTCCTTTTTGGTAAAAATATAAATAATAAACTCATTTCATTAGTTTCCTTTTCGTGTGTCAACTGGCGCCTTACGGTACTCCTAAACGCGGTGGAAGCCATTTAAATCCATCACCATTAAATGTTCCTACCTGTCAATTTATGGGGTGATAAATGTGTGAGGCAACAGATTGCTTCTGACGGGAAAAAATCTGCTAGTTTTGCTCGTTGATGGACATAATTCAGAAGATACTAAACAGATGAAGACTTTGAAGGATGGCTCAAGAGATCCAGGGCAAGCCTGCAGTTCTATCCCAACGATAAGGATGCCAACAGATATTACGTTCCACTCACCAGAGTCTATTCTCGGCTGCGTTGGAAGACAGAATAACCCTGAAAACAGACTTGGAATAAAACTGCAAAAAAACTTGCTCCTCTTGCCATCTCCCAGGTAGAGTAAGGTTTATTCGTAAACCAATAGGAATACGAAGAACCTCCAGGACCTGGAAAAGCTGGTCTTCCACAGCTTATCAGCACTAAGGGTCAAAAGACATAGTCAGCTGGTTTAGGTGCGGCATGATCGACAAAAATTTTGCTCCAGACACTAGTTAGTGAAGTTGATAGTGAACAGGCGCAATGGAATGGTTACGACATCTCATTAGCACCTATGGGCCAACCAAACACACTGCCATGGTAAAGAGGGAATTCGCATCCTGATCCAGTTTTAGGCTAGCTCCCAATTGTTACTCTATTGTGCCTCTTTCCCAGGGGATTTAAAAATTTCCCATCAGCCCTACACAAACTGAAAAGTCGTTTTACGCATCTTTCTCTTAAGTTCAGGTACTGTCAGGCCGAAAGTTAAGACTAGCAGGTTATGCTCAGCAGAAATGCGCGACACTAGACCAGACAACATCTTCCATTATATTCAGTATCGGATCTTTCTTCACCAGTGCCTAGTAATAGAGATATCCGTGGCATCCTCTTCGAAACCGGAGTATTGTCTACCAGAATTTAGACTACCTCTCTTCAAAATCCACTTGTACTACCGACGGCGAGAGGACAGAACTTCAACAGCTGCTAAGTATGCCAAAATCTTCGCATGGCGCGATTCTAAGCTTGAAAGGACAAGCATAATCAAATTTGCGACAAATTGTGGGGCGGCCAGACTGGCCTAACAAACGCAAAGACGCTAGAAGGAGTAAACAGTGTGATTGATGAGATGCTCAAAGAGGCAGTAATAAAACCCTCTAAGTCATCATGTTCCTCTCCCAATCGGACTAGTATAAAAGACAAAAAACTTGGGTTGTGTTTGATCTACAGAAAATTAAATCCAGTGATAAAAAGGACGGTTTTCACTCGCCCCTGTCCGCAAGTATGGAGGCCCAAAAGGAGGGAAGAAGAGATAGCATACATGCTATCCAATGGGCTTAATGAACTTCAAACAATGTAGTTGAATTTGAAATGATTATGTCTAAAAGTAGAGTTGGATTATTCCGGAAGTATGGAGTAATATATCTAGACGACATACTGATTTTCAGTTAAGGCACACTGAATCATAATTGCAATCTCAAATTAGCTTTGATCGTCTGCAAAAGTTGAGTATTACACTGAACTCTCAAAAATGCCACTTTTTGCAATGTCCTGAAATTTTCCAGACATGCTGTTTCGGCAACTGAGCCGGCAATGGCAGAAGACCGCACACAACAAGTCAGGACATGGTTGACCCTCAACTGGCTAAACAGGACTATACAATCTTCGGGGCGTAGGTTACTACGGGCGTTTCGTTAACTCCTTCTCCACTACATAGGCTAATGGAAAAGCATGCTACGAAGTGTTCAACTAGAAAAGCGTGTTGAAGTGCGTTAAAAAGTGAAGCAGCGGATGTTCAACCATTTGTAATGACGACATAGATGCTATACCGAAAAAGCCGAGAACACGTTACCGTTTATGCGAATACAAAACTCAGCAAGCAGATGAAATAGGGAAGCGGTAATTAGCAAGGCCTGTCAAGCCCCTCAGGCCCCATCACATGGTAAGGCGATTCATAGGGGGAACAGACAAGTAAGTGTTGACTTTGGTCGAAAACAACGAATCTTATATTACCCCTCATTGATCTCTTTGCAGGATGAATTGCCTGATCTTGCAAACCAGGCCCCTAGAACTCTTAAGGCCTTTAGGTGAGCACTGCTTTAAACAAATTCACGATTGGATAAGCACGTGTGACATAAGTAGCATAAGTGACTCCCGGGAGTAAAAATAAATTACAGCACTGTCAAAATAATGTTCTCAAACACCAAATAATCACAAGTTCGTTAGTATAAGCAGTCATCCAAGAATTGTACCAGTAGTTAGACCATAGACGACAATTGATTTCTGTCAAACCTGTGTTACCCGCAAAAGCTCCAAAAGGCTTTAGCTCACGGTGATGGCACCACCTCAATTTATACTTTATGGGGTCTTCAGGAAAAAGAACATACATCGAAGTTGTTGGCCCTGCATTGATTACCAAGAGCAAAAACGTGTATGTGAACGTACTGATAAGTTACTTCCCCAACATTGCTAAGCTGGATATATCAAATCCTCAAAGTACCAAAGAGGTCGCTTTTACCTTCTTCAATTATAGCTTTTAAAGAAAAACTAACTAAGGATAGGCTTTGAAGCAGCCCTTAAAGCAATGAGAAGACGAAGAAGAATATGCTTGGTCTGCCATAGATCATTAAGTTACACGATAAAGAGCTTAACAAGTCTTATTATTTCGTCTACGTTCTCTATCCCATAAAAAGATATCAGCCTGATTCCCCATAAGGCCCATTCATCGCAATCTGAGTGACCGTTTTAACAGCAGTAGACGCCTTTTACAAATCATTTTTAAGTATTCAAGATTTGATTAGGGAGTCAATAGGGAAGTGACTAGAGTGACGATGGGCACAGCCGACGGATATAACTCAGTAATTTTCTAAATTGCACTCTTCAACGTTGCTGAAAGTTGGGGCCCAAATGTTTCAATAAGAAATGATTGCCGGCAAAGAACGAAAACAAATCTTAAACAACTCTTAGCGAAATATTCCAGCCTTTTTAAAAGCATTGGGTACCAAATAACTGGGTATACCGAGCGTGCTTGTTTTAAATATCGGACCCTTTCAAGTCTACGCTACGGAAGTCTTATTCAGGCTGATTGTAATCCCTGACCAATAAAAATCTAGTTTTTTAAATAAAAAGGTGGAGTCTCTTGGGTGGCTCACCACAATCTTTACTCAGTCAGAAAATGGAGCCAGTCCACAGCTTTTATTTTTTCGAAACGAAGGGATAAATGCAAATCCCTACGTTATAGTTCCGAAGAGGCACTTTGTTTATGTAATATTAACCAATAAGCAACGAGGAAATAGAATAAGCTATCAGCCGGCACAGCGGCTGCGCTTTCGTTCTCATTAGGATGGCTTGTCGAGGTGTCTTCGGGCTTTCAAAGTTTCTTAAGATTCCCATCAAAACAGCTTCCTTTAGTAAAATTACAACCGCTTCTGCCCTCACTAACAAAAGTAATGCTTGAATTATCTAGCTTTCAATGCGCTAATTTAGGATGGTTTGCGACTGAGACGAAACCTGCTCCTTCCGCCTCCACCAACCCCAGAGGCCGCATTGTCGCCGTCATCGGTGCCGTTGTCGACGTCCAATTTGATGACAAGCTTCCTCCTATCCTTAATGCCCTGGAAGTGCAAGGTCGCTCCTCTCGTCTCATTCTCGAGGTTGCTCAGCATCTTGGTGAGAGCACCGTACGTACCATCGCCATGGATGGTACCGAGGGTCTTGTTCGTGGTCAAGAATGTGTCGATACCGGTGCTTCCATCACCATTCCTGTCGGTCCTGAAACCCTTGGTCGTATCATGAATGTCATCGGTGAGGCCATTGATGAGCGTGGTCCTATCAAGTCCAAGATGACTGCGTCTATTCATCAGGATGCACCTGAATTCGTTGAAATGAGTACAAGTCAGGAGATATTGGAGACTGGAATTAAGGTTGTTGACTTGCTGGCTCCTTACGCTAGAGGTGGTAAGATTGGTTTGTTCGGTGGAGCTGGTGTCGGTAAAACTGTCATTATTATGGAGTTGATCAATAACATTGCACGAGCCCATGGTGGTTACTCCGTCTTTGCTGGTGTTGGTGAGCGCACTCGTGAGGGCAACGATCTCTACCACGAAATGATCACTACCGGTGTCATTGATCTCAAAGGAAGTAACTCAAAGGTTGGCCACCAATAATCTAACCCTAAATTTCACATAGGTGTCTCTGGTCTATGGTCAAATGAACGAGCCTCCGGGTGCTCGTGCTCGTGTCGCCCTGTCTGGTCTCACCGTTGCCGAGTACTTCCGCGATCAGGAAGGCCAGGATGTGTTGCTTTTCATCGACAACATTTTCCGTTTCACGCAAGCTGGATCCGAGGTGTCTGCTCTACTGGGTCGTATCCCTAGCGCTGTGGGTTACCAACCCACTTTGGCGACTGATATGGGTACCATGCAGGAGCGGATCACCACCACGAAGAAGGGTTCGATTACATCTGTTCAGGCCATCTACGTGCCTGCTGACGATTTGACTGATCCTGCTCCGGCTACAACATTTGCTCACTTGGACGCTACCACCGTATTGAGCCGTGGCATTGCCGGTCTCGGTATTTATCCTGCCGTCGATCCTCTTGATTCTGTTAGTCGTATCCTGGATCCAAACATTGTTGGCGAGGAGCACTACACGGTTGCTCGTGGTGTGCAGAAGATTCTTCAGGTATTTTGCATTTTCTGCGGTGTAATTTTGCCACTTTCAGGACTACCGTTCGCTGCAAGACATCATCGCCATTCTGGGTATGGACGAGTTGTCTGAGGAGGATAAACTGACCGTGGCGCGTGCTCGTAAGATCCAGAAGTTCCTCTCTCAGCCCTTCCAGGTGGCCGAGGTCTTCACTGGCATGGAGGGCAAGCTGGTCAGTCTGCAAGACACGATTAAGAGCTTCAAAAAGATTCTCTCCGGTGAGATGGACCAGTACCCTGAAGCTGCTTTCTACATGGTCGGTGGCATCGACGACGTGGTTGAGAAGGCCAAGAAACTCGTCGCTGAGCACTCGTAGATAGACTAGTAGGCGCGCCTCACCTCCCTCTACTCTGATGGAAGTAGGGGCGTTTGTAAATTTTCTACCGTGATCTAAGAATAGCATTTTATTTCTGCGTCGTAGGACTTATTTTTCATTGGTATCGTTTGAATCGCCTTTATCTAAGCATATGGTAGTGCTCCGAAGTACCATCACGTAAGCCAACACTGCCATAGTGATTTGCGTTTACCTCTTTTGATAGCATAATTTTATACTGTTCAGTGTTTGGATGAGCATAATTCCGCCTTATTATGTCGCGTCAGGGCCCCAATTCTGCATCGTTGTAGTCATGTGACGTCAATCGCTCACGTGCGTTGAGGCGGGGTCCATGATAGGCAGGTACCAGGGGGCGCGCTTCATATCGGCCGGTCGGGGGAGGAGGCGGGACCAGGTTAGTGTTCTTGATGGTGCAGATTAAAAAGGGATGTGGGCGGCTACGGTGTTTCATTCGGGGGTTGTGTGCACTAAAATGGCGCCTGCCAGGAGCGCGGGTGAAACGTTTTACTGGAGTGGACCCGCCATCAGTGTCGTGCTGCTCGGGCAGTGGGAAGTAGGGGGACAGGACGGGAAAGTAATTAACGTGTTGTGGGCTTGTGCATCCGCCATGCGGCAGTGATGAGCCAAGTCATACGGTGTAGAAGGAATGTTACGACTTCAGATTTCAAAACAATGCTACAGTTCAAAGACTTGGGCATACCGACTTGATGGACGTGTTTTTTTTAAACGCACGTGCTTTGTGTAAATGCTACACAAATGCCTCTGGGAAGATTATAAGTTCACTTCTAAAATATAGCTACTATTTATACGAAACTAAAGGTCTATAAAAGACCAAATACCTGACATCAACCTTAAACAAACAAAAAATCAATGATATTTAGTCAGTGAGGAAGTAATTCATTGCATTGTTAACAGTGATAAAATGCAGACAGAATTGTCTGAAGTTCCTACCAGGCTCCAGAATAATTTATTCCTCTACCTATAAATTTAAATGTAAATTCTTTGCTTAAAAATCAGAGACCATTACCAAGCAGAATATTCTATCTTTTTTTCTAATTACTCAGAACAATAACGGATTCAATTAACCTACATTATTAGGGTTTTATGCCTTGCCATGTAATGGTGCACTACAACCAATTCTAATTGGTGCTGAACACCTAAATAACCTTAGCTAGTTCTAATCCAAATAGTAAAATTTCGTTTTAATGAATAACTTGGCTCAATCATGGGCAAAGGAGCAATCGAATTCGCAGTTCAAAGAGGTGCTGGTGTTGCGTTATCAAAATGGAATGGTTCAAACTTCACAAGATAACTTTTTCTCCTTTTTTCGTGCAAAATTCTGGAAATGTTTTTTTAATCGCGGTCGGGCACGATGCACTCTAATCCGAATCTCATGGCTGTAGAATATCATTCAGGTTTCAGATTTGTGCTTGTAGTTGAAATGGAATCAGCAACCAATATTTTCCAAAAATTTGAAGTAACCACACATGAGGTGAATAAATACGGGCATCGAAATGATGTCAGCAGTAGTGTTTATTCCGAGTAGTGTTTGGCCATAGCAACATTTTCCATTTGTTGTTTTAGGATGCCCGACATCACATTTGTGGTTCTGCTTTGCCTTCCCCTCATCGCTGTGTCAGAAGAGCACAATCGCCTGTTATATGTAGATACTGTTGACAAGTACCTGGATATGTGTCCAGATTCTGGTGAATTGAAAGATCATCCTTCCCCAGAACCCGATTTAAAGGAATGTAGTGAATGGAAGAGTCGCACTTGTTGTTCTCCTGAAACAGCAGAGCAGATAGCGAATGCAACGCTACACGGCTTCTCTTTCGACTTCTGTGGTAATATGAGTGAACAGTGTCGCAATTATTTCCACTATGACTACTGCATGATAAAGTGCTCTCCTGATTTAGGTCCCTGGATTGTTAAAGTGCGTTGATCTAGTGTTTATTCCTCTTTACTGCAAACTGTTTACATATTCGTTGTCTCTTACGACAGATGACAAGTTCCCGATTTAAGGAGAGAGCGTTCAGAGTACCGCTCTGTGAAAGCGACTGCTACGCTTGGTACGAAGCCTGTAAATGGGATAAGGCGTGTTCCACCAACTGGAGGTCGGGAGGATTTGACTGGTCAGAAGGTGAGAGGCTCTTTAAATTGGCTTGTTTATATTTTTGGAAGATGGCACACACATTGTCGTTCCTAGGTACGAACAAGTGTCGAAAAGGCTTCGAGTGTCTGAACATCTCCATGGTCTATGGTTCACCGATAGCCTTCTGTGAGCACGTGTGGGATCACGCCTATCGAGTTGTGCCTGTGGAATCCGTTGCTGTTTGGGGCAGCAGCGATAAGCACTGCATGCACATACCGAATGGCAAGAGTGACCCGAATGCTACGCGAATAATTCAACACAACCACGAGGTGGCACGACTCTTCGCTACGGCCATTATCAGGCGGGTCTACGGTGGTGGAAATTAGAGTTCTCCATTAACCAATTCGGTGTGTGTGTGTGTGTGTGTGTCCAAGCCCTGTGTGCCGTTGATGTACACCGTAGGTGACTGTGATTTTGTTCCGATTTGACATCTTCCTATTTGTTACAAGGAATCAAAGTGCAGAGCTGTGCATCGTTAGTGGAATTGCGTATTTGTCAGCATTGTTGAAAGCGTTAAATATGGGTGGGAAAGGACGGCGTCTGAGTCCTCATTGAAGATGTTTTGAGGTGAATGAGTTTTGAACAGAAGTGACTTGCGTCTAGCTACTCCTGGAAAGTGAAGTAACTTGGTAACTGTTTGTGCCCCAAACAACCGCTTGTTCTCAGGTAGTTTAGTGACACTGCACAGTTGGTGTTTTAGTTGACAACTGTAGCATGCCAGGTTTCAGACCTTTTTACCTTGTAAGATCTCCATGTGGTTGCAGCGTCACTACAATAGTCCAAGTTATCTCCACCCTCTCCTTGTGATACAAGTATTGCTTAGGTAAATTGTTGGATAATCACCCTCACAATGTTCCATCATTCCCCACGCTTTAGTAAAAGGCATGTGTCCTTGAAGGCAGCAAAAGCCCTACCTCTGATCCCCTCCTTTTCTATAACCCCTTTTTCTCGACTGTCGGTTTTTGTAGTGTCTGTTTGATTTATTCAAATCTGAATTTGTATCTCTTTTATTACCGTTCCGAAGGACTGAAGAGACTAGTGAGGCTGTATGATTAGCCGCGCTGCAAGACAATTAGCAATTAACACTTTTTTCAAGTCAAAGTCAGAGTTAATGGGTAGTGGGTTTACGTCTCATTTCACCTTACGCGTTGGTTATAATTATTTGTGATTATCAGTTCTTCAATCGCCCTTGTTCGCCACAAAGGCGGTTGTGCTACTCTTGCATGAAATATTGTTGCCTTGTCGTGCCTGTCACACTGCCAAATCTGCTGTCTGACTACGCACACGCTGAATGAGCCTGATCGCAAAGATCACATGTGTGGTTTGACGTAGTCTCAGTCCTGACACCCAATTGAGATGCCCTGGACTACGGCCGACTCACGCCCACCTCACAAAGTGATTTGAGTACAGTCACCGAGGCGACACGAGCCAACCACATGTTAGTCACCCAGACCTGGGTATGAGTTCCCCATCGTCATCTCCACATGCCACACAGGATGCGGCCCCTCCGAGTGGACTGCTTCCTACGGCGAACTGTCCACCAGCATCCTCAGCATTACTATTGCTGTCCCCTTCATGTATGAATGGGTGCTGACATTGTCTCAAGCTTTCCGATTGTGTATTCCTTGTGCGTAGATTTGGAACACGGCGCACACAAAGCTTGATAAACAATATTACATTCATGGTATGCCTCTTTGTGCTACTCCGCAGTCTCTCCTCATTGCGCTTTTTGGTTCGCACGACTAAATGGCTGCTCTAGCGGAGCCAGCGCTAATCTGTGGAGATCCCGCTAAAGAGAGTGCATTTCACTCTCACCCAGCAAACCCCTCCATCACATCATAGGATGGCTATGATGCCACCTCTAGCCTCGAAGACCCTATAACGCCTAGAGGGCCAGCTTAAGCGATGCCACAAGAGAAACCGTTCATAGGAAACTTGACACCACGCCGCAGTGTCCAGAGAGCGCGGCATCTGTTGTGAATGGCTAAATAAGCCGCGACTCATTGCGAACAGAGGCACCAAGGTCGAAGTGCCTTTCGTCCACTAACCCACCCATAACGGCGGACGTCGAAGTGTGTCGAATCGAGGTGGCCCTTAAAGGACTTGTAATGCTGATTTTTACAATCGACCCAGATGCACGACTAGAGGGCATTGAAAAGGCGAGAATGCTGAAGGAGATTTTGAAATGTCAAACATTGTCTTACCGTTGAGGCGGGCATTTCTGTTGGAAGGCGTGAGCGACCAGAAGACGTTCGCTACAACGCGTCACTTGAACCTGAGTAATACCATCCATGAAGAGGCTTCCACTTTAATGTGTGCCGTGATATAGATCTGGTTTTTTGGTTCTTCTACACAATAATGCCTCTATCAAGACCCATCTGCCTCCTGGTCTATTCAGAGGTAACTGGAAATCCACCATTTCCACGTACCAACATTATCTCAGCACAATAAATGTTGGGGAAAAAGGGAAGCCGAAGACCGCAAGCTGAGACAAATGGAAGAAACTTAAATACGGTTGTCAAAAACACAAACGCAAGTCAGTAGACAAATATATGGACATGGATTAAGTTGGCAGGAGAAAAGAAAGATGTGGTTTCAAGGGGTGAGGTCGATTTCAACGAATTTCGAGTCCTCAGTGGGACGAGAATTGTCGGCTATCCCACTGGTGACTTGGTTATTGGCACCATCCATGCATTGGCTATGGAGCGAGACGGTGGAAGGTGCGGGTGAGGGGTTGAAGAGTGGCGTCTGCGATGGCGGATCTGACGGAACAGGAGAGAAGAGAAGAGGATGAACAAAGATGGAATACGATTTTATGTGGAAAAAGAAGCGCAACCAAAAATTGGGCATTTGTGACCGATTCAAGGTGTCTAATTCAAGAAGTACTCACATAGATGTTGGATAACCTGCGGAGGTAAGGCTGATGATGCAGTGGGGACGTTCGGGAGGACGGGAATGGAAGCAGAGTGTTGCATCAGATTGGTTGTCTTAGTGGTGGAGGTGAAATCGTGAGTGGTGGATCCCTTTGGGGTCAGCACAGACGGAGTTACCGAGGTGGTGGAGGTTTCAGTCTCAACACCGGCGTTGTTGAAAATTTGGTTGAGCATGAAGAGCAGACAATCCTGAGAGTCCCAGTAGACAGCGTGGCTGGACAGAGCGAAGAGGTAGTCATTGAGGCTCTCCAGCGGACCCTCCTAAATCGAGAAGAATAGGATTCCGTTCGAAAAATTGCTGCCGTAAACATCGAGGTTAAAACTGGTGGAAGTAGATGGAACAGAGGCAACGTAATAGCGTGCATTCATTCCAAAGGGGGTTTATGTTAATTCTTATAAAGGGGGAATGGACAGAATCACTCGAAGTATTATGAGTACGTGAGACTGGTTGCCATGTTGAACCTCCGGCAATCAACCCGGTAGGCGTGTTTCCACACACTCAGCTGCTCACATATCCCACACAAAAAGCGTAGCCTTTCAAAAATATTAACTTTTATTTATACCAACATTTACCTATTTAGTTGTTGTGTTCACAAATGGATGTAACATCACAACAAAATTGAAGTAACGAACCTGCAGCACGTAGTCTAGACGTCGGCCCTGATTCAATTGACTCGGGAAGGTGTCCTTATCAGCGTCATCGTCATCATCAGCATAGTCGTCGTACTCATTGCCACTGTGAGGGAGTGAGTTCCCTCCAATGCCATCAGTAAGACGGGAGAGGGCACGTTTAATTGCCTCTGACTCCTCTTCTTCCTCCTTTTCCTCCTCATGTTCATTTTTCGTGGTTCCAGAGCTAAAAAAGCGGGTTTTTAACCATCAAATAGCAATACACTTAAAGATTTACACATAAAACCAAATCGAAACCTAAAGTTCCGGGCATCTAAATTCCCATTTAGGCTGATGGAATTGGGCAAATGGATACTGAGAACCAACCAGAACACAATCCCAACCGCGCCACACAGCCATTGGCTAGAATGGTGCATGTTGACAGCTACCCAGAAATCTGGCCTAACTGAACCTTAAGACAACTGACAAAGTGATTTTAAAATCGAGGGCAAATAAATACACTAGTGACGACTTACGCAGTGTGCGCAGCTGCAAACTCCTGAAGGGTGCGCCAAGTGGACCGCAAGGATTGGTAGACACGCGTGGTGATGTCAGCACCCACACGAGCGATATTGTCCTTCAATTCGAGGTGAAGCCGCTTTCTTCCCTTGTGGTGTGGCATTAACACGGCACAGGGCTGCAAATGGAAACACCCTCATTTTGGTAAGCAAATAAATCTTGCGTAGCTAGAGCGACAAAAGCTTTGACATTTGATACAATGCGTGATCGGATTTCTAATTGGAAAGCGGAGACAAAGGAACGCCCCTACCTCTTGCCTTATGGCATTTATCTCTCCAACGTCTTAATTTCAGCACCCATATGCATTACTTACAAGCTTCCATTCGAACTATGCAAGTATAAAGAGTGGAATTAAGCACAAACCCTGTAATCCGGCAGGATCATATTTTCCAAACGATAGGCCACAGGATCGAAAGGATGAAAGATGTTGACACAGGCTTGACAAGTTGGCAATCGAAACTCCGAGGGCAGACGTTCCACCCCTCGCGCCACGAGGAAGATGGACAATGGGGAGCCGAGAAGGAAACAGGTGTTAAGCGGAAAGCCGAGCTGAGGATAGTTGATCACTGGCAGACCCACGCCGTTTGAATGATTTGCTGTTGGAAGAGCAACACTACCACCACCACCACTAGTGGTAGTGGTGAGAATGCTGAGAACCTGGCGAACCTGAGCCTCAGTCAGATCGGTAGCCGAGGTGAGTTGGGCAGCAAGATCTGTAGTGTCGGCGCAGAAGGGAGGAACAGCAACTGAGGTTGAAGAAGCGGCAGCAGCGTCAAGGAGTGACCAGTCGTCCTCGTCTTCGGGACCCCCTCCTCCGCCGCCGGAATTGAGTGAGGGTGTGCCGGAGGGAGTGCGTCGTTGGTGCGAGAGTAGGTCAAAGACTATGACGGAGCCCAGGCTATGCCCCGCAATCGAGAAGTCCCCCTTGAGGAATTAAACGATCAGAAAGTTGGCCTCTTCAATCTGACGTCATTTCCAGTCTACCATATTCTACCGATCTTGCCTCTTGGGAATAATGCCGCTAGGGGAACAAGTGCAGTTAAATTCACCCCGGAAGCACGAAATAAGCCCAATTCAATTAGCTAAAGTTCTCCTCAGTCATTTGCCTATTACTGGAATCGGTACAGTAGAAACTTACCCTAAAGTCCGGATTCCGCTGAAGAAACAGTTGACGTAGGTGTTTAATGGTGGTCGCCACAGTGTCAATGATGTGTTGGCAGTACTTGGGGCTGGTGTAGAAGAGAATGTCGGTAAGGGTTTCGTTAGTGTAGCTGCGCATCTTAGGAATGCTGCGTAGAGTCACACGCTTCAGTCGATTGTTAATGCCCGTAGACTCGGAGTGGAGGGAGGAGTGCCATCGAACAGGCAGGAATTCCACTCGTCCTTTTCCTCGTAAGTCTTTGAAATGCGTCGACAAGAGAGCCGTCGCTGTTTTTCTGAAAACGCATAAAAGCGATTAGCTAATTCAGCACATTTATTTAGATTTTCATCCAATTACCAGCGTCATGCCATTAGGCATTTTCCAACCTCTTCTGGCGGAGGCACTCTACTACCGTGTGCCTCAAACCTCAGACGAAATGGAGGAGTTTAAACCTACAAAGTAGGAAGCCTCAAATCACACTCATCCAATTTAAACGTCTTTTTATGCAAGAGGGTTAAAAATGGGATAAAATTGGTACAAAGCAGAATGACGATACCACAAATCCAGGTTTGAAAGTGAGTGCAAGTCACCCGCACTTGACCAGTCCCTGACACATTGTAGCAAGTCATTCCAAAGAGGTACATTGAAGAACCTTGGAGCCTTTTGATCACGTGATACAAGGAGCATTGTGTTGCTAAAGGCCTTCAGATTAAATTTCTAGATCAGGGGTGCAATATTCCTTGAAATGCTGTTTATTTTCAAACTGGGTCCTCACCCACAATTGACATTTCAACATCAAAGACATGATGGCATGAAAAGCGCATTTAAGTTACAAAATTTTGAGTGACTCACCGCATATCATTGACACAGCTGATAAGACCCTCGCCACGCATATTGTAGATAGGTCCAATGCCGTGAACAACGAAGACTACATGCTCAACTGGGCGATCGTCGCCCTGAGGAAGCTGAGCTGCCAGATCCTCACGCAGACCCCGATGGAGATAGGTGCATTCCGCAAAATTGGTGGGGCACTTACCACCGCCACCATGGTACTGAAGCATCGCCTGAAGGGCAAAAAGCGGAATTCTTGCAGTAGTTTTGCAATAAGGCGGAGGAAAAGAGTCATTTTGTGCCCTAATGTTGAACGCATTTGTCTCCGACCGATCAACGATGATGGAATGAATAAGGGCTAAACAAAAGTAGTCGTAGTTTTGCTAAAATCGTCAAATCTCATCCGAAATTACCTGAAGAAGGAAAAAAAGGCGAATTGAACCTCCTTTCGTAACTCTAGCATGGGAATGTACGCTTCAGTCCCCCCGCCTTAGCATATACCCATCGTAGCAATTCTGCGACGACAATCCATCCTAGGTTTCAACCGATTTATTTAAGACAAAACATATATGCATTCATCGACGTTGATTTTGTATGGATCCTCCCCTACCCTGCCTCGCCGTCCGATGCGGGCCTCGTAGTCGTGAGAAATGGGTATCATGTCCTCTTACAATGCAGTAGCCTGAATTCAGTCATTAAAGAATTGTCGTCAGGACCTCGGCAATAGTAGTTGCTCGTATGTTTCAGTAGGACTGCTTATACATGTTGGAAGATTTGGGAGTGGGTAGAGTCTACCACGCCTAATTTGGCCTCCTGAGCTATCACCTTGGTGACATCGATGAGAGGATTGTCGATAAAGCATGCCTACAACACCCGGGAGGACTAGGTTGTGCCAACAATTGAAGGAGGATTTGCATGAATGTAGGCGGCTATACCAAACTAAAATTCTAAATTCCCGGATTCTGTGAAAAAAAAAAGAAAACGTACGAACGTTTACCAATGCTCCTATTCGACTTATTTCTTACAGGTTTGGCAATAAAAGTGAAAGAGACCTCGTTTTGTCTTTGGTGGCATTCCGATTTTCGTTACGCACCTCCGTTGCAACGAAATGCTAACCCACTGTTTCACAATCTCACCAGACAGAGCTTCACAGCTAACTACATCACCAAACACATTTTTGTAAGGAAGTTCACAAGTAATCACAAGTGTGAAAAAAAGTTTTGTCGAAGGCGTATGAAGTCAACGTTTCAACGCCAAGTCGGGGAGAAAGGCTAAACGTAAACAGAGGGCAAAAAGCGTTAATTTCGGTACCTTTTTGTTTCTCACAAAAAGTATACACCTCCAAGCATGAGAAATGCTGTCCGATCGTAATGTTCAAAACTAATTAATCACATTCAGAAACTTATTCCAGAGAGATATAAAAGGGAATTTAAGGGTGGAAAAAAAAACATTTTGCCGAGTGACGGGACGTCAATACTAAAAAATACTAAGAATACTTTACATACCATTTTAGCCGCGGGCATCCATAGAAAAAGGTGAATGAATAAATACACCTCTTTCCCTAATTTTTGTGACAAGAATCATTCCCTCTTAACTTTGTTCAGTTTTTTTTTTAAACTATGAGGTAGTGAAGGCTTCGTAGAGTGGTCGTTGAAATAATTACCGTTTTAATCTTCCATCCTCTCTCAACGAGATATGAGCTTTGCTGCTAATTCCACTCACATAAAACGTTTTACCTCTGGAATCAACAGCCCATACCTACACTCACCTCCTTCTCTACCTCGCTTTTATTTCCCAACTGTTCATTCGGTGTAGTAAGTCCTATTGGCATTTAATTGTCTAACGAACCCCAAACAAAGGCGAAAATTGCCGCTTGAAGAACTACCGTGAGGCGAATAGGGAGGACGAGGATGAGGTAAGATGGGGCAGTACATCTTTCTCATCCTACAGTACAAATCCCCTTGGACAGGGCAGTTTTGTGGCGATATGGAGGATTGTGGAAGGTGTAGTCTAGTGGGAACATAACCTTCTTCCTACCGATTTATTTATTACCCCCATCTACTTCGGCTGTTACTCAAGAAGAAGCTTTTTCCACACCTTCGAGTAGTATCCACTTGTGCCCTATAGGAAGGTCGCGGCCCTAATTGTTGGTTGACCTTTGGAAGGTAAACAATTCCGGCTGTGATCAATTACACAAGGATGTAAAGTTGATGCACAGACCATTTAAACAGGCCAACTCATATAAACAACCAGTTTCTAAGAACTGAAAACTAGCTATAATGAAAGTAGACAAATTAGCCCACTCATCCATAAATGCTTCAACGATCATTTGGATAATCAAAACAGATAAAGTAGAAAATGAACTCCACCACAGGAGTCTCCCAAGATTCGAACACCTTGCTGATGGTACGAAGTTATACTTCCAAGGAGACATACCTCATTAGAGGAATTAGGATGGCCCAGAGAATATAGTAGTAATACCACAGACTAACCCTCTCTAAAAGAACGATCTTCCATTTCGCTGACTGGAACTTAAAGAACACTCACCACAGACTTGCCATAGCAGGAGTGATGAGTGAAAATAGATTTCAACGTAACAATCACGGCCTTGCATTGCTTCAAGGGCAAGATTTTCACTAAAATGCGAATGGCATACGGAGACTGGTTGCAGACCTTTAGTACTAGCCCCCTACCAATGCCTCCCTTATGCAATTCACCTATCAAAGGATGATGTGTTTGGATATCTCATCCACGTCGACGATATGCACCACCACTAATGAAATGTGCAGCGCTCTCCTTATCATGCTCTTTTTGCTTCTACCTCGAGTTGGATCACGATCCACCGGAAGACCTGCGAGGACCGAAGTAAAGGAGCAATCGCATTCAACACATGGGGACTATGCAGTAAAATTAGTTGATTGCTACGTCAGAGGTACGAAGCCTCGCCTCCCAGACCCATAAGGCTTTGGAAATAAAATGGAAGCCAGTCATCGCCTGACGGAAAGTCACCTGATAAAGGACAGTGGAATCCAGTTCAACTCACCTTCTCGTTGTGAAAGATGTAGGTGTCGGTTTCATGAGGCAAGTCCTCAGAAGACAGGGAGAAGTGTTCGCCCCAGGTATTAGTTTCCAGAGTGCGTCGGTAGCGCTCCTCCAGAGCCTTGGACAGGGCCTCAGAGAAGGGTAGCACTCGTTGCTCATTTTGGGGTCTGAGGAAGAGATATTAAGGCAGGAAAATACCAGCCGTTTTCACTTTGCATAGTATTTCAGTCAAATCAGGCAAAACTTAGACTTATAGTAATCGTGGTATCGCATCAACAGATTGATGGTGATACGGAAAGGCGAAAATTCCATCCCAATTTTAGTTTTAGGTGAAAGCATACACACTTGATACGGCGCGGACTCTTTGGTCGCACTTCCGGTATAAAAAATGATCCACTGAACATGTCTGTGATCTCTCGTCCCTTCTGTGCGTTAAATAATGGCTCTTCTTCCCTACTGATACGACTTTAGGGAAGACCTGAGTCGCTACACTACGATGGTAATAAGACAACAGATACAAAGCTTGCATGTGCTTATTTAGGATGAAAATATACGTTTAACAGCGTCACGTATAAATGATACCCCGATTCTCTTATTGGAGCTGCCATGTCACGCGCATAAGACGTGTTTTCCGTCAAGAAATGATAACTGGAGCCGCCTAACTAAATCGTGTTTTAAATAGATGGTTGAGGTAACAACGACAGTCGTGCTAGTCAGCTAGGAGTTCCAGTGATGGCCGATATTACCTCGGAGACAGATTTGGTAGACAATGCGATTTGACACAGATGATATTCAACGAAGAAAAAACTGGTCAGAATGATTCTCACAATAAGCGTTGAGGTAACAGCGACAAGGAAGCAAAAAACGTCTAGTCCGCATGTCAACCCGGCGCAAAACCAGACATGCTTAACCCCCCCGCCCCCAACTTATGGTGATTTGGAAGAATGATATTAAAGGAAGTCTTTCGTTATAAGCCATGGCACTAACACTTATGGGAACAACAAGGGTACAAAGACGCCTAAAACACCCACTTTCCCGACATGGGTATTAGAAATAGAAATAAAGGCGTTTAGCGCGCTCACCTTCATGAAATGGTGACACCAACTGTCAGACACAGAAAAATTCAAAGTGAAAAGTGCTATGATAATGAGATGGCACCGGTTTTTTCACAGACTAATGCAGATACAAAAGGCGACACAGAAATCACCCTTGCATTTCACCACTACTGTGGCTGGAAAAGGTCTACACCCACCTCTGCAAATATTCGTGATGATATTGTAAATAAGGACGTCTGGGAAGAAATTAATTTAAAGCATTGGTGTCTTGCCAAGTTTAGACAATTAACTAATGAAAAGCCGCCTTTATTCGTGCCAATTTGGCACGAATAAATCACATTAACTAACCTGTGCCATGAGGTAACGCACATAGGAGGTAAGATTGCCAAGAAAGATCGTGCAGACTTTTATAACTTCCAGGGAGTTGTAAAATCCATGCGATTGTTTAGATTCATCTACTAATATGACAAGAATTTACACTTTATCACAAAACGTCAGAATTTCTAGAAGCATTCGAGAGGTGAGGTAGTGAAACACACCATCAAGAAACGATTTTAGTACTTTGAGTGATGTTGAACATGAATCGCTCAAAGATGGATGCTCCGCGAGTAGGAAGATCTTCCCTATAATAAACGAGCTTAACGTATGTGAATGGGAAGCCGCAGTGGAAGGTAAGTTAATGGACCTCAAATGCCATGCATTGTCAGATGACAATGAGCTCCCAAGACAGTCAACCCATTCATCCCTTACCTCACCTATGTTTGAAAAATGTGCAATCCACTCCCGATTGCTTGCTTACTGATGGAATGATTAATGATGGGAAATACTTTTGGGCATTCCAATGTTAAGCCCTCGATTGCTCTAGGACACATCACTTCAAGGCCGGAAGACAGTACTCACTTTATGTGTGCATATGGTTGGTTGCCTGCAGAAAGAATTGTTTGCATTTCGAAGGCCAACCAACATCCATGATTGACACCTTCCTACCGGGTACCAATAGAGACTACTCAAAGGTATAGACGAAAACTGCTCATTGAGAAACACCTAGGACGGGTAGAAGTAGTGAATCAGTCGTTAGAACGAAGGTTTCGTTCTCACAAGGCAACCACTTCCACAACGGCCCGTACCACCACAAAACTGACCTGTGGGAGGGGAGTGGTACTTTACAATGAGGAGGAGGTACTGCCTCATCTCGCCCCGCCTCACCCTCGTCCTCCTTATTCGCTTCACGATATTTCTTTGAGTAGCAAATGGCACCTTTGTCTAGGGTTGGACACTTAAATGTCAAAAGCTGAATGGACAATTGGTAGATAAAAATGTGGCAAAAAAAGGAGATAAGACATTTTATATGAGTGGAATCCGCAGCAAAGTATGCACCTCGTTGGGAGGGGATGACAGTTTAATGCAGTGATTATTACAACCACTACTTTTAGAAGCATTGTGTAATAATTACGTATGGCATCGACAACTTGTGGAGCCAAAAAGAGATTAAGATCAGCCTGTTGAGTCAGTAATGATCGTCTGTCTAGCTTACCGAGTGCAAGAGTCCTCAAAGCTCCTACCTTCTACATGCTCAAATAATACAAAAAAGCATGTTGAAATACGCTTCCTTACGACGCATCACACCATCCTACATCATTTCATTGACAGAGGAGCCTTCTCCACTGTCAATGCTATGCTGACAACAGCATTCTGGAAAACAGATCTAAGATGGATCTTTGAGTAGGATTTGTGGCACTGGAATGGCAGGCAGATGAAAGTACGGCAACACACATGTCACGTGGGCATATGCTTTTCATTCACTACTGACCATGAATGACAGAACAGAAATAGCTTTGCAAGAAGATGGATCCAGAATGGACGCATGAAAATCCCTCCCCTCCTCCAGTGCTTTCTTTCATGCGGAGAGAAAAAAAGAACGGTATGATTTACTCGATTAAACGGAGGAAAGATAAAGATTGATCACCGCCCAAATCATTCTGGGAAATATTCGGCAACCGACTAAAAACCATATTAGTAACTAAAAAAGGTAGCTTATGCTTATTAAATTTGGTATCCACATTTTCGTGTTAATAAAACTTCAACTACTCCCCCTCCATACGACCTCTGAGAAGGCATAAACGACTGCTTTATTTCGTAAGCATACTTATCAGTAACCCTTTCGACAATGCTTCGACTCGAAAGCAAAGGAGTCAGAGGACCATACCGTGAAAATATTGCGATCAGGAAAATGTTCCGCCATCCAAATCGGGATAGTGCGGGTTGTATGAGATGGAACAGTAGATTGCTGAAGTACACGAGCATCTCTCCCGATTTAAAAGTTGAAAATCATCACAAAAATGAATTTTAAGCAACAGCAGAAAAAAGCTCATGACTAAAAAGTCCGCCACGAATTAAGCAGATTCTGCAAAATTCAACTTTTCCGATAATATCAAGTGGACAAGAGTGATTTTAGGTGCTTCCAACAGAAATCGAAACCCCCCTTAAATCGGAATCAATTAAACTACTGCAACTGACAACAATGAGGATAGGAAAATGCCATACCTACAGCCATCCATAGTCAAAGTGAAATAACACAAAACCGGGCCCATCGGTACCCGGTCCCACTAGTTTACTTTGTAAGCCAATAAGCTTCGCTTAACGTTTTTCACGCAAAAATTCGATAAACCAACACGTTTTTAGTTAAAATTCACGACTTGAAACACCGTGATTCACATCGTAACATTTCAGCTTCAAAATAAACGAAGATATACGTATATCATAGTTTGGCGGTGATTCCCGTACTATTTTGCAAGTGGAAAGGTACAACACAGGTAAATCCAGCACTTATCACCAAACTCCCCAAAAGGCATCATTCAACATTTGTGTCAAAAGCGAGAAAATCATAGATGACAAAGTTCAATTCTTGGCTATTTAGGGTATGAGTCGAAATTCTACCGAGATGAAGGGTAAAGCGGATAAACTAAAGATATCAGGAGAGATGATATGGGTCGTTGCCACGACCACGACCACCAACAGTCAAGATGATACCAGTTGGCACCACTTCAAATGTTCCTCGAAAACCAAAAAGCGTGATTATCCTCGGGCCAAGAACATCCCAGGTCTACCTTACTGTTTGAAACTCAAGCCAACCGCCTTGACACAGAATTTGATGCAATCATTTAATTTGAATTGATAAAGAGATACACCATCCATTTGTGAAATCAAGCTCCAGTAAAAAATTGGGGTGCTACACATATGCAAATTCGGGTATCCGATACGAAAGCGTAGGACGCAAACTCTGCACTGACGTAAGTGATTAGGACGAGTCTAGACCAGAAGACCCAATCAGGCTACCCATAGCTAGGCTAAATAAACTCAAGTATTTTTCCAAAAAGAAACAATAGGATGGTTTTTACATCTAAATAAAGGTAATGAAATTTTTAAGAGCGGTAGAGGCGGAGCCCACGCAGAGGGGGACAGGAACAGTCCCGTGGGAAGATTGTTTTGCCAACTCCAGAGAACTACTGCTGCAGTGATGTAAACAAACTGCTGGCACAGTCTGCGATCCCAGAGAACTATCCTGTTTAACTTTCTAGAAGTTTAGAATTGAAAGCTATTCCCCAAGCATTCTAAAGGGTCGAGCACTCGTTCGCTTCCTTCTGAGTGGCTCACACCGCGCATAGATTTACTCCAGATGCACTGATAATCACTAGAAGGTCGAGGTCAACCAGTTAATATAAATGCGTATAACTGAAACCACGGCGACAGTTGAGCAATCACAGGCATCTACCTGCCGAGTGCGTACAAACCAGCCGTACTCTGCTTACGGCAGTCGACAAAGACATCTGCTGAAGTATTGTTACCGACTTCACGGTTGGGTGCTCAAAAAGACTAGAAGTCAAGCACATAAACCCCAATTTACAACTGAAATGCCGAATAAGTAGACATCAGCAGAATGTTAAACTCTTTTTTTTCCATAAAATCAACAATGCACACCTAAAGTGAAGCCAGCGAATAATGACGTCTGGAAAAAGGTTACGATGACGGATGACAAAAAGGGGTTCATTCTTCACTTACCACTAAATAGCCTCTTGAACTTTGTCAGCAACTTCAGTAAGTAAACGCATAAACTGAGACAAAAGGTTCAGAATGAATGTTGAAAAACAAATATGGGACCATAAACAAAAACTGAAATTTACTAGAGAGAGGATGGGAAACCTCAACTAGTGCGTAAGCATTAGACGCCTAAAGCGAGGCGGCGTAGTGCTGCAAACAATGCGTAGGAAACCAGAACTTAGTGGAAATGCTTTTTGCAAAATCAAGGTAACTCTGGTTTGGGCGAATGTCTAAAAGCAAGCTAAACTACAAAAAGGTAAAAGTTGATACCTGAAGAATTCGAGAATTAACAAACCAACAGAAATTTAACGCTATAAATAGTGTTGGAGTAGGACTTCATTTGAGAAACAGAAAAATGTGGGATTCAAAACATCCATTAGATGGCGAGCCTAGGGCACTAATAAAAGGACAAACTCATGACCTTCCAAAAAGGACCATAACCCAACGCACTTTCGTTGGGAGCGCTTTGGGGTCAGGTTTACGGATGCATAAAAACAAACGTGCATATGAGGAAACTTCGCTCAAATAGAAGGTGGAGAGCAATACCCTTATCTGCATCTTTCCTTCGCTTGCCAAAACTTCAAAAGAAATACTGGACCCAAAAGCCGTTAAATTTAACTTTATACTTGACAGCATGGAACTTCCCAGTTCCCTGTGTAATTCAATTACCAAGACCGACAAAAAACTCTTTCACCAGTCCCCAAGCCCTTCTGTATGCGTTCAACCTCTTCAGGAGTAACCCAAACGGTGGACAACTAATATTAATCCGTATGAAACAACCCACCAATGTCAAGAAGCCAGTTGGATGGTTTCTAATTCCGCACATCTTAAGATGTCTCGAGAGATAAGTGATGGTACAAGATTAGTTACCTGGTCTCCATTATCAGTGCAGGGCCATGGTCACGCTACAAATTAAGCTTTTCCACTATGCTTCTATCGAAGCTACTTTCAGATCCGCGTGTCCCATATTGTGTCCAGAGATAACCAGAACAAATTAAAATTAAACAAGGTAGCAAATCAGTTGGGGATGAGATAATGTTCCGTCCTCCATACTATACCTACTACGATGATGGGATGAAACTCTACTAAAGCAATCTAAGCTACTAGTCTCCAGCCGCTCTGTGTAGTCTGGTACACTCTACAACGTTCTCAAGGATGAATCAGATTTCACAGTTATCAATTTGAGAGACACATGTAAAGGGGAAGACCTACCGATAAAACCACATAACTCTCCGAACCTCTCCCGACTCCTCCTCATCCGCTAGCCAATAGACGGGTTTGTAGATACGTTCTCGTAGCAGGGCGTCGTAGAGGCCGCCTCGAACTGGCACAGCTGTATCCGGTGCGTCGGGTGGAAGTGCATCTACATAGAGGAGGTTTGCCGAGGTCGCCGCAGCCTCAAGTCGTTGTGCATCGACACGATCAAAAGGCCACCAAATAACGCCATGAGCGACGGTTTTAGTAGAGTAGAACCAGTGAGCTTTCACAGGTTCGTAGGGAACTTTTGGAATAGTAACTAGAAGATGCGGAAAACATCAATGATTAGAACAGAGACCGGGTGGGAATTCGGAGGGTAATCTTGGACTAACTTCCTGTTGAAAGTTGTTTTTCCTGCTGATTTTGAGCTGATGATGAACAGTCGAAGTAAGAGGGAGTTGGAAGAACTGTCGTGGTGGAAAATGTGGGCTCTGATTGCGGTGTCGGTGTAGCCGGCTCTGTTAAATTTTCCGCCGCCGCTAGTGGAGAAGCAGACACAGAAGTCTGCGAAAGCTGAGGTGGGAGGACGTACCGCGAGCGAAGCTGACCTGTTGGACGCTACAAATTCAGCAGCAGAAAATAATAACGCTGGTATTTCCTAACAGAGAACTTACGCTACTAGAGACGGTAATTTGAGACGGTACTGGCATTGGAGGTGGCAACATAATACCAGAAAGGGAATTTTCAAACGAGTTTTTTGGTTCTTCCCTTTCCAAAAGCTGGTCATCAGAAGTTGTGGTGTTAGTGGCCACAGGTGGAGGAACCAAACTTGGACCGGAAAGCAAATTTGCTGCATTAAAGTTTACCGTAAGACGCGAATTTGAGTCCACGTTATGCAATGAAGATGGAACACGTGTGTTCGGTGGTGTATACATCCTCGAAGCAGAAATACGCGAGGACACAACCGCCCAAATACGTGGGCCGTTCCTCAGCTTAAATTTACCGCTTTTGTCGGCTCGGTCCGACGCAGGTAAATCACACACAATCGACAAATAGCTACCCTAATCATAACTATGGTGCTTGCTTAGTTACGTTTTTGTTTGTCTTTTAAAGTGGTAAATGACACGAAAATTCAATACACTAATTTTGCTTATCGAGTAATGATCTTGGTTTGGCGGTGAAATCGTCTCCGCCAATTATCTTCAAGGCCGCGTTAGCCTCTCTGATGGCCTCGAATGATTTCGTATTATCCTGCCAATGGCTCCGCTGCGAGGCCATTCTAAATATTTATCCCGATTTTCGTCAGCATCTTCTGGAGCATTTACAGGTGAGTTGACCTAAACCGCCAGTTATGCATAATGAACATCGCAAATGTGAACTCATTTCTAGTTTGCAGCCTAATGAAATATACTCTCTGAAATTTTTGCAGATGGAATGGAATTCTCCTTCTAATATCTTTTGTGGAGTTTGTGGTGACCTGTTGGGTCGAGATGAAAGCGCTTATAGACACATCTACTTTCATGCCTGGTTGGTGTATCTGTCTGCTAGAGGTAGTTTTTATCAGACCTCCGAGAAATTGCCGCCTTGTAAGCTTCCCGAGGACTTCAGCTCCATCCCTGATTTTCCCACACCTTTTTGCTGTGCCTGGAAAAATTGTTGCTTTCAAACAAATGATGTGGCTAGTCTCTATTCGCATGTCTCCAAGCACCCACAGGTTCGTCATTAATTTTTTTTTCAAAATAGCGGAATTTTGTCTTTTGGACAACTTTTTGAGTTTTTCTACGTGAATATTTGGTGCTAAATATTGGTATAACTGTTTCTCTCCTGTTGTTTGCTATTATGATTTTGATGACGGAGTGGCTTTACGAAAACAGAAATTCCTACTGTTTAAGCCCCGTGAAATTAGTTTTGTAAAATCATTAGGTTTTGCGGTATGCATCGCCTTGTGGAAAGAGGTTTTCCTTCACAGATTTCGGCTCTCTTTGAGGATTTTATTTTGCACAGGTTCGAGTTGCGTCGACTTGTATCCCGTTAAGGTCTCAGGCGTAGTTGTTTAGGGCCGAAGTGGTATATGGAATGGGTAGTGAGTAGGACTTTTGGAGATAACTCTCCGTACGTATGGTGTTTTTATTTGTCAGTCAATCAGTTACCAACCGAAAATGTGCAGTGCGTTCTTTGTAGCCTTTGAAACTTATTGTTACCTATTAGTGCATGCTGTGCAAGACCCATTGGCTTACCTTCTACTCTGGATTTCCATTTCGAGTTGATCCAAGTGCAGACGAATTTTTTCGTCAACGTGCCCTATAAACACGACATCAAGTTGTTTCTGACACGTTAATCCCAAATTATTTTATAGTGACATGTTTTCTCATCATTATCAAGCATGGCGATTAATCACTGGGATCACTCGAATTACTTAAACCCTCTCCAAATACTGTACAATGAATGCGATGAGAAACTTTTGCAGCCTTGGAACTCGGTTCAAATTCATAAAGGCATAAGCCTCCAGCCACGTCCATGAGGTCCGACCAACATCTATGTATGAGGGTTCACAATAGAGGACTAGACTGATTGGCCAAATCAATGCCTTAATCAGTATAGGGTCCCAGTTAACTCTGGAGGTATGTTTGTCATCATCGTTTTGGATTTTTGTAACACTGATAATCGAGTTGTGAAATTTGCAGGGACTCGAGGACCCTCGTAATGACCCTTTTGTGTCGACGAAATAAAATAGTTTGCGGTTTTGCGCAGTAACGTTACATCCACAAAGCAATCACCATTTCACATCATCTTCGCTAGATATATATGCTAGGCGGCAGTGATGATGACAAAGACCAACAGTACGCCTGCCTTTGGGATGGTTGCTCCTTTTCCTGCTCCCGCCTTGGCAACCTCGTCGCTCACCTGCGCTCGCATACCCAAGAAAAGGTCGTCGCGTGTCCGCAATGCGGCCTCCTCTTCACCGCACGCACCAAACTCCGCGATCACCTCGTTCGCCAGCACCAGGTAAAACACTCAACTCCTCACTCCCCCTTCCAGTAGACTGAGGATCCCACCTCCTCAACTGCTACCTACCAATGCGCCTACTGCCTACGCTGCTTTGGCAACAAATCTCTTCTGCAAGCGCATGCCAACCGGCATATTAATAAGCATATCTGCCCGCTGTGCAACCTGACTTTGCATAGCAAAAGTGGTAGGCGGTTATGACCGTTTTGCATGCAATGACTTCAAATTGCTCTTTTAAGGAGTTTGTTTCTATTCTCACTTTTTGCTGCTTAAACGTATCTTTGTGATTCTTTTATACGACATCAACGATCTTTAATTTCCAATTCATTCATCACATTGAATTCAAAACTTTGTATCCTCAGTATCCTAACAGCACAATCCCTCCCATTGAAGCAATCTGTCCTTTTCCGATATGCAGCCGTCAAACGTCACATGCTTTTTCGTCACACGAACAAGGCTAGTGTATCCTGTCCCCACTGCTCGGCTAGTGTCAAAGATGCGCATTCCTTGGACTCGCATATCTCTCGGTGTCATCAACAGTCCAACTCCTCGAATTCGGTTTCGGCTGTGGAAGGAAAACGCTCTCCTGGTGAGTTATTGTCGCCTACATAGCTGCCTTTTGGAGTCTTCGCTCACCTCCAAATAGGACGCCTCTACGAAACTACTACTTAGTGAATAGCTAAGTTCAAATTCATCTGTCGAAGTTACTTTCATTCACCTGCTATTTTTACTTCTCTGTATGCTGAATTCTCTCCATCGAAACGATCCTTTGAGAGTGTGCTTGAATTCAGCTCCACACACTGGACCACGCATCCACTCGCCACGCAGATTGGTAGAGGTTTTATCCTACGTTTTTACTTTGGCATTTCCAGGCGTTGGGTCACAGCGCTCCACCACAGTCACCCCAATCGGTCCACTAGCCATCGCCGGGTCTCCCAGTCTCGGCGGAGGTCACCTCTTCCCTCTACAGACGTCCACACCCACTGCCACTGCATCGGTCAAGACGACTGTCTTTCGGTGCTCCGTAGAGGGCTGCAAGTTCTACTCCGCTACACGACCCGGTCTCTGTGTCCACATGACTAGAAAGCACCCGCCCGAGGAGCCACAGGGTAACTACGCCTGCCACCTTTGTCCCATGCGAACCACAAAAGGTGAATAGGTGGTCGTTGATGACCTCGTGTCGCTCATACCTTTTAAATTGCATTTCCTCCTGGAGCTGGGCCCAACCCAACCCCTTACTGTTTGTTAGGCTTCCTACTCTCACGCCATCTCATTAGCAAGCACAATCATCAGCGTCCCTTGGGACACTTTCGTTTCAATTACATCCTCTGCCCCGAGGACGGTCTCTATCGTCTGCAGACCACACGGCTGGACTCCATGGAAGTGGCCACAGCCCTTCTTGGTCCCCAGACAGTCGACCAACTGCTCATGGGTGGTGTCACCGAGCAAGTGGGCGGAGAGACCGAAGAATCGGCTTGTCATCCATCACTGTAGGTGAAGCGACCTCATTACCTTAATGCCATTTTCATTGCTGCAAGAGCACGAGCCGACTCCCTCTAGCCGAATTGTTCTCATTTCCAAGAGATATTACTCAATTTTGAATGTCGTACATTTCATTGCAATGTATTCAAATGAAATGCACAATGGTGATTGATAGTTATCCTTGTGAATTAGGCAATTTATTTGTCAGGCAGACGTGTTTTCGATAATGACGGTTTAGTGGTAAGAATGACTACTTATTTTATTTAAGTAAAGCTCGTTTAATCGCAGCTCGGCTGGAAATGCTTCCCAATGCAAATGTGTATGCCTGCCCCTCTAGGCGGGTGGGAAGTCTGAGATAATGGGATTTTTGCTTTCGCCAAAACTTCATCCACACTTTCTTCAACTGTGTGAACACCCATAATTCATCTTTTTCATAGTATCTACAATGTATCGTTACTTTCCAGCTTTTTTTTTCATTATTTAGAATTTCGTCCATGCATGATCGATCCAGCGTTTTATACTGAATTCTTGAATTTACATACCTGTATTTGCTCCCAATAAAGAACCATTTTTATGCGTCTTTCAACTTTTCCCTTGGTGGTAACAATTCAGCTACCAGAAATTTAAATTTTCTCCGAAAAATCCTTCATAGAATAAGTGTGTTTTAAGCCAGAACTGTTGCTTTTTGTTGTTTTTGGTTCCAACTTCTAATATCATTGCGGCTCACATTGAAGCTCTCCGTTGTTATTGAAGAATGTGTGGTGACTTATCAACTTTAACCTCATTGAATTAGTTCCAATTGTCTGGAATGTGCGATAACGTTAGTTTCCCTTGTCCTACCCTATCTAATAATTCATTTATATACGTTATGTGTGTGGCTAGCCATTTTAAAGTGGTGAATTAAATTTGATGACGAATTTGTTTGTGCACACAATGTTGTTAATGCCTCCCATGTGGAATTGAAGTGGCAGAAAAGCGTTCTCGTCGGGCTCCTCGTGTGGCATTCGGAGGCGTGGTAGCAAAACGTATTACCGAAAAGTGGTTTTAACAGGCTAAATGATCCCAGTGATGAGTCACTCGCGACCGGTACGTAGTCCTGTCGACACGCCAAAATGAATCGAGATGAGCGCGTCAATGAAAACTTTTAGCTGACCCTATCTCCACCTCCCACGGCATGCACCACTTCAGCGCCAAAGGCTATGCTCGCTCTGTACCTTTATTGTGGACTGCAGATAGAACTGTTCACGAAGAATTACTTGTTGAAGGTCATACGATAATTAACGCTTACTGTCTATCTTCTGGGTTCCAATCGACGATGCAGGGGGAAAGCATAACAATCATTCCCCTTCTTGACGAGTCACCTGGGTAGAATCAACTTTCCTCACCGCTAGGTCAATCGTACCGCATAGCCACTCCAACCAAGATTATACTTTATTCCAACAAATATACCAAATTCATAAGTAAAGCTACCGCTGTGTGGTGTGGTGCGTGACGCAAGATATGGCACTGAAGAAGGGTGTAAATGGAACAACGAAAGCAGAAGTAAGCACGTCGTACACTACAATGTGCAATTTTCCTATGATGGGGGAATGCCTCTACAACGGAAGTTGATGTCGATGCAATGACTGTCCAATTTCCACTCAGGGATTGTAGTTGGGGTTCTGGATGGGTACGACATAATTGGATGGCAGCATGCCGAATTGACCGGTTCGTCGAACTGTGCCGAACATCCAGCCCTCATCGATCGGTTCGCCGTGAAGGATCTCATCGCCCTCTACAAAGCTCACCTCATCATCCTCGGCTGCCTCGTAGCTGTACACAGCTTGGAAGTGCTGCAATTAGTTTCATCATTTGTGACGCCAATAACACGGGATACTGTGATGGCAAAAACAAAAGTAAATGAGGAGTACTTACCAATCCGCTGCCAGTCACCTTCATGCCGCCGATCATCACCAGGTCGGGTCGATAAATTGGAATGGCATCACCCTCTTCTTCAACGCTGAGGAGTACAATGAAGCAGAACACGTGCAGAAATGGAATGGGAGCATAGTAACCTGATTACAATCGGTTTCTGTTGTCAAGCTCTAGATGTGTCAGGCGTTTCTAGCTGATAAATTGAGTAATAAATGACCTTGCATTTTCAAATTATGGAAAAAAAGTCAATAGATGGCTTCACTTTATGGGGCTCCCACTGATTTACGGGTGTCTGTCCCATCTTTATTGCATTGAATTAAAACTTTGCTAGTTGCATAAGGGCAGCGTCTTCCTTACACTCTTATGGTCTGTAATTGACGCACTGATTATCCCCATGATTGATTGAAGTACACTGAACCCCTACAAGGATAACCGTATAGGTGGTTCGGTTTATCTAAGGACGCTGACTCCATCGGCAGAAGCTTTAGTCAATCTACTCGTTAGTATTCTTGAATTTCTGAAAGCAATTAAATAGTTAGGAGAAAAGTTACGAGTTTTATGTTTTTGTCTCCGACAAACTAATACTGATTCAACTTCCTATTGGGGAAAAATGTGGATTTAAATGCGGAAAATGAAATTGCTCAATAAAGCACCAAATGATTGGCTAATACAGAGAACCAATCAAATCGGTGTAGCGCCTGTAGGCCAATCAGGACTCACCTCTCCCTACTTTTTCCCACGTTATCGTTTTTCAACACTGAAAGGTAAATAGGAGGTGGAAGACCATTTATCGAGCTTGTCTAGGAAATGGCAACAAAAGCAACTCATTCAAGCACTCAGCCTGCTCACAAGCACGCACTTCTGCACGCTCACCCACCATGCACCAATTAGAGGGCTTGGCAAGAAATGAGTGTTTTGACTTCTGGGTGAATGCTACCACCTAATTTTCACATGGGCGTTTCTGACTTGTGGCCCTGTTTCTTGATTGTGGTGATTACCTGGGATTCCTCAACTCGATGAAAATGGAGCGCCACGTTTTGCTGAGTTAATTGCTGACTCAAACATCAACTATCATGCTGACTTTTTGCCCCAGTCTTGAGGAGCACATGAAATGAATTCAATTGTGTGGATTAGTTATTTGAGGTCACGCCAATATTGGTCTCACTTGAAGGATAATTGCTTTTTTAATTCGACGAATCGGTAGCTTAACCACCACAATACAGATGTTCCGCTTTTCAAGCAGGACACCGACACAGCCTACTGAACTGATCCAAGATGCAATTGTTGCTAGATCAAGAGCAGCCCAAACCTCTTTTATTGTTTCATTCTAAACCAATCTGTTTGAGATACATGATTTGTTGCAATATTTTACTGTCACATATTTGTGACGGTGACGTCAGATGCGAAAATCGCTTAAAGCTGGTCTCCGAAAGATTATTACTTTTCGAGGTTGAGGTTATGCTGGTTACTTTACCCACATTGAATGGGGTGTTTAGAAATCTCGCACACTAGCAATTAAAATAGGTGTAAGTCTCCACCCGTGCGTCATTATTAAATAAATGTGAGGTGGCTGCAATAGCTTGTGGTAAAAAGGGAGATCAAGAAAGCAGACACCACTTACCTGATGCTGTTTGAGTATTGGTCTTGGCATAATTGTCTCGAGCGTTGCCATTGGTGACATTCATCGGTGGATGTGAGAACGAGTAAGACTCTGGGCTCAAAGGAACCTGTTTTACTTGTTCACCTACAAAGGCAGTGTGTAAGTAGAGTGTTTACTTTGAATTATCTCATAAGCCGAAAGAAAAGTCGAACCGATATTTATCTAAATGCTAAATAAATACGGCAATTTCGCCTTTTACGGTGCAGAGAATGACATCTGGAGGGTAGACCAGGACTCCCTCATGACTAGACCACCATAAATGCCAATGAGTCTCTCTTTGCAAATCAAAGTGCGAAATATCCTTTGTATTATCCAGAAACATTGACAAATATCTCTTCAGATATACTGACAGGGTTTTTAAAGAACCACCACAAAAAGTAGCGGCGCGCTTATTTGCACCACCCCCTTCACTTTCCGCGTTTTCCGTCACCACCTAGGGTGTCTTGACGCTTCAGCCGTATCCGGGGTCTTTCAGCCATTTTTGCGTTGGAAAAGGGTCATTTACACCGATAATGTCCTGCTGTGGCTCAAGAAAGCAGCTTGAGCATTACAACTGAAAATAAACGAGGAGGCACCTTCTGACTTAGTCATTCTCTACCTCCAAGGCCCAATTTTGATTGGATGAATAAAATCTAGTTTGAGCAAATTAACTAAGCCCTTGCCAATAATACTTTTTTGAAGAAATACTTCCTACGAGAAAAATTTATAGGTACTTAAGCAGGTAAAAACGATCACAAGGTGCGAGCACATGGGGGAATAACTAAATAAAAGAAAGACCTAGGGGAACACGTGAGCACTCAAAGAGACTCTTTTGCAGATTTATGATAGGAAAGTGATTCAGCTAAATATGAGTTAGAAGGTAGTACCTATTCTAGCTTTTTTCGAAAGAAGCTAAAGTTTGGATAAACTTGGTGCTTTGAAAATCCGGAATATAGAATATCCGCGCTGTGATTGGTGGATTACATCCCTACTAATAAAAAAATAAAACTTTTAAGAAGAAACCTCCAGATTCAAAAATAATTTAAGGAAAACATATTTTTAGGCAAAAAAAATTATTAACAAACTGATGGCATTGAAAAATAAGACGAGGAAGGCGCAAGTGGTTCCCGTCATTTTTGTCTCGCTAACAGTTCATTAGTTGAACTTCTCACATTTTAAATTTACTTTAAACAACTTTTTTTCCGCCACGAATCACTGCGTTTACTTTTCTGACTTAATAGTAAAGTTGAATAAGAGATGATTATCCTTTTCTTTGTTGAAGATACCACCAAAATCAAATGGGTTTTTACACCAGGCTCAGCACTTCCGAAAGGTGCAGTGCCAGCGCCATGTAGGCGGCTCAAAGAAGATGGATTTCACTTCTAAGTTCTAGGTAGCATTTGACGCGTACAAAGTGGGGATGACATAACAACCTTTTTTTCTCGTGTGTTGTAGGCCATTCGCATCGTCATCGCCTCTGATGGTGTTTTTTGGCACTGGAGACAACTTATCTTGAGAGTGGAGGAGAGAGGCTAATTTAGTGACATTTATGACTGCCATCTGATGTTAGGGTGTGGATGTGCGAATGCCTCTGATCACGACTGACTGTAAAACGCGCCATCATTAGGCAACACTATGTTTCAGTCTAGTGGAGCTTGAGACTGATCAAAGTATTGGGTAGCAGCACATCCTATCCACTGATTATGATGAGGGCTGACATCCAGCAGAAGTACGGCATTAAACCTTGAACGAGGGTAGAGGACTGGAGAACTTCACAAAACTTATCCAAAATTGGATTGGATCTATAGGGTAGGATAAATGGGGAATAAAATTTGGGCAGATTTCTCCTCATGCTGAAATAAGTAAAGACTACACTCTAAACATCACATTTTTGCCATTATGTGAACAGGCTATTTGGTCATAATTTTGGTGCCAACAGTCAGCAGTCTCCCAGACCATCCGTAACAAAGGTGTGGAAGAGAGCTGGGGAGGAAGAGGTTGAATAGGATTGGAATTACACCACCTAACAGGATAGTGGAAAGAAGAAAGAAAATAATTGAGTGACAAATTTGCTGCCTACTAACCTGTACTTGACCGGCTGTAGCTCTGTTGTTGCATCGGTGGTGTCTCGACAGTTCTACTGAATTCGTTCTGCGTAAGAAAAATCTTGGTAAAAGAACCGACTTACTCACCGTATAAACACTTTATTTTGAATGCAAAATATAATCCAACTTGAATTATCAAAAGAAAGCACAATGCATCGTCTTTCAGTTCCAAAATGGACTTCATCGGGCAAACTAAAAATTTAAATGCCATTTTGAATCTTTTGCCTGAGATCGGCAAAGCTTTTGAAATATCACAAAGCCTTTTACTTGAAAATAGATTAACTCAAGCTGCTACAGTTTCTTGGAGAAGGGGGGCTGCCACTTACACCATAGTCGAAGGACGCTTGACTCTCAGGAAGGGATGCCTGTCGGCCTCTTGAAAGCTCGTAGTCTCTGTGGTATTGTATCTAATACAACAAAATAAAACCATGAATTTTCTGCGAAAATTATGAACATTTTACCTAGACAAGCAAAAATTTCCTTAGGCATTATTAAATGAAGTTATCATTCGACAACTACGGTCCATCAAAGAAGTGACTATTTCCCCTATCTTTTTAAAAAAAACCAAAATTTGCTTCTAAGTGACCAAAAAATACTTTTTATAGTATAATTTGCTAAGGAATGGAATTTGTTTTATTACACAAAGGGAAAAAATCGAATAAACCAAAGGCGGTCTTAAAGGTCTGGCGCATTATTCAAACAGCTGGAGGAAACTATCAAACTTAAGGCGATCAAATAATTTATTGTGTACTGCAAAGTGAGATAGGAGGAGCTTAAAGATGCCTCTTTGAATGCGTGAAGTGGCAATAAAGTTGCTCTCTCCTCTACGGCAGGTCGCAAGGTCAAATAGCTTTGCCCGGAGGAGGAGGAGTCGGTCTTGGTGAAATGTGTCGACAGCTGGGAATAACTGCGTCTTACTAATGCACCTTTTTGTCAGTTCTCTTGTTTAGAGCTATCAAAAAAACGAACATTTTCCACTTCACAGCCCCTTGATAAGCACATATTTTACCGCCCCAGATGTTAAATAAGATATAATACGACCGGAGACTCAAAAACAAATGTTTGTCTGTTTGGGAATTCTCCTCCATTTCTCTACATTTGGACACAAGGCCGATACCTAAGCCATTCTCATCAGCATGCCTTACCACTGCCCCTTCTGACTGGGTAGATCACCCACAGACCGGCACAACATCCTTGGGTACAAGATGCTACAATCAAGTCTTCTCGGCTTTCCATCCCTGCGAATGAACGAAGGATGGAATGCGCAATTAACACGCACCATGGAGATGTGTGTTTCGGTGTGTGCCTATTTGAGTCACTTTGTACGCCCCGTTTGGCGTACGACTTCAGATGAAATGAGTGGACGGATAGTTAGGTGGACGACCAGATCGTGTCCAGGAACTAGGTGGAAGTTTTCTCGGTCCTGTGAGCATTTTTGCTTAGCCAGCGCTTTCCTTGCAAATACATGGCTTTATGTTATGCATAGTCGTTGGGTTTACCTGACCAGCTCAATAACCGTTCCAAATTAGACCATCAATATTGTAAGGCAAAATAAATAAAAACCAAAAATAATGATTGTTTGATAATTTCTACCCCACACAGCAAGAGGGATTAACTGCTCGAGGTTTCGTAGGGACAGGCACACCTGCCGAAGCATGACATCACCAGGGGCTAATATTTTGGTCGTGGGAGTAGAAACTTGACAAATTTAGATGAGGGTGAGAATTATATTCTTCTTAAAGAAAGTCTATCGAAGTAATTTGCAACTTTGTTTAACAGCCTCCGTAGGTCGTACTTCGGCTTTGCTTCATGGTTTTCTGGCCATGCTGCAGAGCCTCCCAGCTCCTCGTCTTACGTCGGTAGTACAGGTTCCCCATTACTATCATGGCTTATCTCGACCTCAGGGAAGACTCGAGACCCTACACACATTTGGGGAATATGGAATTAATATACGATGACCTGATAGTTTGTTTAAATTTGTGCTTAACCACGCGGCCAAATTGCTCTCGGAAGGCAGTACCTCCGCTCCGCCCTTCCGCACGGTAGTGAGTGATATATTCTTCTATACAATGTCAGCTGATCACGAATTCAGCTAATATTCGTATTCATTAATTTCATAATCTTTGATTATTTCAGAGTCATTATTTTATCATCTACTTTCGAAATTCACTGGATGGTTTACTGAGTGAAATGGATGGAGAAATAATGCGTTTGTTATGTTATCAAGACGGATAACTTCGTCTATGCATTTTCGCGAAACATGACACCTTTCAGAAGTCTAATATTTTAGCCCTTTTTTGAACAATCCATGCAACTTAATACGCTGTTTTTGGTTGGCTAATATGCGGAAATCTTACCTAAAATAAAGCGGAAATGAATTTCTTGGGAAAAAACAAACTCAAAAAATACATTTTTCAAACTTTAACCGCATTTAAAAATCCCTTTCCCACGCACTATTGAAGCGCGCCAGATTATTCAACTAACTACGACGTATTAGCACACACCTTTACACACACATGATCAAAATCTGCATCACACAACATCGCTTGAGAAGTTTTCCCACCCAGGTGGGAACTCACCTTACTCATATTCTTGGTGTTTATTGCAACCTGTTGCATCTCGGGAGTGTCGCTGACCTGGGTGAAGGACTTCGACAGTGGGTAGTGGCTAAAAAGCAAAGCAAGTACTTACAAGAGTCAGAGGGGAATTACATTGTCTGGATCTAAAATACCTACTAGCTTAACGGTCTGGTATTCTGGCCAGACTTGCTGGAAGTATAGGAGAGTGCTGAAATATGTAGAACAATTTTTATCTAGGCTACACCATAGTTAGAAGCTAAGTGGATGACGGTAAGAACATACAGGTGTGTTAGACAGGAACTCATTCTCTAGCAGCGTGATCAGCTGGTTGTGTGTGTGTGGGTGTAGAAGATGAAGTATCAAACTTACACATTACAGTAGGGTTTTCCACCATGACCTTTAAAGTTGTGGATTCCAAGAATTTTCCTGCATTCCTGACATCGAAAACACGATTTGTGCCACAACTAAGCGACGATAAAAAGCAATGTTAGATGTACGCATGCATATTGCACCTCATTTAGCCGAAGTTAAAGAATTCCTATTTTCTTCCTTTCTACCGACGCTCAAAATCCCCTACATGCATAGTTGGGCAACATATATACTGGCCACACCTCAGTCTTGTATCTACGGATTTTATAGTAAAAAAATCACCCAGTTTAAAGAATATTTCCCAGAAATACTTATAAAACCCACACGTTTTTCCTGTCAAAAGAGGTGCTTTAATCGATCGGACTTTGCACCAAAAAGGGTGCTTAACATTTAGAATTTAGAACATGTTAGCATAAAATTAGAAAGCTTCATCTAATGGGAAATACAAAAAATCAGAAACCATATTTTGCAACAAAATAATGCATTAAGCATCAAAATGTACCACAGTATGTAAAGAAGATGTGTAGTGTAAGACTTTCTTATTTTAATACAGAATGAGCTATATAGCTGTCAGACTAAAAACAAATTTTTTTATTGTCTCTGCTATATTAATAAACGTTATTTCACAGTGCACAAATTAGCCAACTCTGGTCAATGTTGATTTTATTAATTATGTGAAAATTGAAACCTGGTCATGTAGAACTTAAACACAACTAACTATAGCAGAAAGTTGACAAATTAAAGAATTATCAAATTCATTACTAAAAACAAATTGTCTCAATTGCACAATTTTATAGAAAGTACGCGTCCTTCGCTAAATTTTGCTTATTTTATAATGGAGGCTTTTCTAAGCTGTAGAAATTAGTGGGGGACAAGGGCATATATAAGTGAAGATGCATTGAAAACTCTAAACCTACTTTATCTAGGCACCTTAGTTCCTCTGTGGGATACACAGTTTTGCCGCAAGCACCGCAGCTTCGCTCCATGTGCATTCGCCGAGGTCAATTGAAAAGTGGTCAAACCAAACTCATATACTTTCAAGCATGGTTTGTGGATAATTTGAACAAAAGAGGTCGCATAAGGCTGTTATTTGGCATTTGCAGCTTTTTGGCAAAAAATGATAAGGTTCTTGCAAAACGATTTAATATTTACAAAATTCCGACATTATGGGTATGCAACCAGTGAAAAATCTTGAAGTGTCATAACATACGAAAAACATATAATCCACCAATTGTAAGTTGTTTGAAATACAAAAAACTCAAAAGCAAAAAAACTAGTGTGTTTTATATGAAGTTGGCTTTGGCGTTGTAAAAAATCTCTTAATATGCGAGGATTTATACCAATCGTTTCCCATGACCGTGGGACCGTTTCTGGAGTATCCCTGTAGCAATCTAAGCCTACCTTTGGACAAAAGAAGACATAACACTTAAAAAGAACTTGTATGTTTAACAAGTGGTAGAGCCTAGGGATACTGGCATGGCCTAGAGTCCAAATCACTCACCGGAGTTGCAAGAGACAAGCCACAAACTGACCCTTTAACACGACCGGAAGTTAAACAACCAATGTATTACATGGTTTCTTTTTTTTGCGCATTGCCTTCGGCACCCCCCTTGATTAAGCTCCAGAGTCAGCCTTCACATCGTAATCGAATTTCTACGAAGCCGTGGAGATAACAGATCGCAACGTCACTGGTTCCTCTTGGCATTTCAACTTAATACGTAGTTTCGTCCAGTATTAGAACTGTCCACAACGTATGTCTATAGCTAGGCATAGGAGCACTGGCTTCAAAGCAGATTTATGTAAGATAGGACGGGATTTAACGCAGTTCCTTAAGATACTGTTTCAGGTCTGTTTCTCCTTGCTGCTTTTTTCCTACTTCGGCGTCACTTAGTCCTTTCTGTCTAGGTTCTATCCGGCTAATATAAAAGTAGAGGGTGCATAGCAAATTCACTTTACTGACGCTTTCATGCAGGTGTGACAAAAGAACTCCGTAATTAAGCGTTCTAGTGTAGCATCAGTTGTAAATAGTTTTCCTGCAGTACGCGGAACTACGGTGATTTCTATACGTAGAATGCAATTTCAGCCGTTTACACTGAACCTCCTATCTGTAGCATATGCACTTAGTCTGCCTCGTTAAAGATTATCGCTGTATAGTAGAAATTAGGGCAAGTGTTCTTTAGGATTGGATTCGCATTCCAGTGTCAACAATATAGTACCCTGAGACATTACCGTAAACGAAATGATGCAGAATACTGAGGCGGAATATGCATATTCGAATTACAGTTAAGCCTGAGTGTACTAACATGGTCCAGAGGCCAGCCCACGCGGTAGGGTTACAATGGTCAAGAAACGAAGTAGCCATCTACTAAAATCTGAAATTAAAAATCCAACGCACTGCATAATTTGCATCCTGTTTGGTAATAACAAATACCCTTTATTGCAAGAGAATAGCGTGATCCCGGGAAAGACTAAGAAACCCATTATTTCTGCAATGGACGAAGGGTTAGTTCTTGAAGGAGAGTTGCAACGACCACTTCAACTGATTAAAAAGGCTTTATTTGAGGGATAAACAACAGGTCTTTATTTAGCTTACAATAATGATAATCTCTAGCCGCTGATGAATGGTGGTAAAGTTTTGACTAATTAACGCTGGCTTATAAAGCAGTCTACTCGCGGTTTTTCGAGATGATATGTTCATATCATAGACTGTGCAAGAGGCTGTACGACCTGGTGTAAATTTTAGGGTTAATTTATAACACTTGTACTTTCAGTAGAAAGCTACACAATACTAATAAATGATCTGAGTCATGGTAGTTTTAGAAAAGACTCGGAGGCGGTGTGCTAAGACTTAGTTATTTTCAGCCCTGCGCCTACATTCCACTAATGTACTTCTGCTTGCCGATACGGCCTTTAACCATGCCGGTAGCCTCAACTGTAATACGATAGTGGTTTATCCCTCGGTTCTGGTGAGGCGCCACTTTTGGACTTTGAATTAGCTCCCTTGTACCCCGCTGGGTGGACTGGCCTTTTGGGCCATGCCAGTAGCCCAGACACCTTCTCCGTGCTGAATGTATATATTCTGCCCGAGTATTTTGTCTTCTTTCGTCTTCAGGGAGTCTCGGGACGCTACACAACTCCTGTGTGCACAATTATTACATCTTTCGGCATACTCCTATAACCACTTTTAAACTTAGAGGAAGCATGGAAGGTTACATGCAAGATTTTTTGGAATGTTAGTCGCAAGTCACCAACTCATTGTCTAAAAACTTGTTTTGATTACGCGGGCAACAAATTATCTGCGATTGCACTCCCTCTATGAGGCATGCCTTTCATGCCATGCTAACAACCTCCCAGCCAATCAACGCACCGAAGATTAATTTTCTGCTTTAGTTTTAGGCCCTTCCGATTTCGGAGTAGACTTAGAATACTCTATTTGTATGTTCTAATGGTAGTTTATTTTAATTTACATGGACCGCGTCTGAGTATAGTGCCTAACTATTATAAACGTGTATTCTCAATTCAGGATTCTCTTTGTCATCTTTCATACCTTCTTCAATTATTCGCGAAAACTAAAATTTTAAAGGTTTTAGGAACAGTGCATGTACCTTGTGACCTACTACCTAAAATAGCATGTTCCCGCCCTCAAAAAGCATTCTTTTCGTCCTTTTTGTCTAGTTTGATTGTCCTCTTATCCGTGCCAATAATATGTTTTAATTCTTATTGACGGTGAGCAAGACATTTGGTAGCGTTCTTGTTGACCTTGATGATGGGCTTGTCTTCATCGCCTAAGCCCCTTTTAATCGGTGTAAGTGGAGGTGCTGCTTCAGGGAAGGTAATTCGTATTTACCACACTTGCCTTTAAGAATGAAACGTGTGCAAAAATTATACAAGAACTTAACAAGAAAGCCAAGGGAAAACGGTCAATAGTGCTATCCCTTTACTCGTTTTATCATGACTTGTCAGAAGAAGATATTAAGCTGGCAGAATGCGGAAAATTGGATCTTGACCATCCCAGTACGTGCCCGTTTTGTTTGACTTTTAGATGCTTTTGATTTCGATGCACTTGCAGATGTTTTGCGAAAGATTGTTAGAGGCGAATCCGTTGTTCTAAATTCCTATGATCCAGAGGCCTTTTCTAAGTTAAGTCGTCGTCGCTGTTGATTCCTTTTATAGTTCTCCTCAAAAAATTGAAATACCAGCCGACATTGACGTCGTCATAGTTGAGGGCATCCTTACCTTTTACCAAAAGGAGATACGGGACATGTTCCACTTAAAAATTTTCGTGCAGGCTGATGCGGACACCCGACTTTCGCGTAAAGGTAATCCTTCATTCTCAATAGAGTTCAATTTCTTTAGTCATCCGAGATGTTGTCCAACGCAAACGCAACCTGGACGCAGTTTTGGACAACTACTTTAAATTCGTCAAACCTGCATTTGAGCAGTTCTGCCTTCCTGTACGTCCTGATTACAACTGCTATTTCTCTATTAAAATGAGGCATAACCGTATGATCGTTTTCATCAACTTTTAGACAAAAAAATATGCCGACGTTATTCTCCCACGTGCTCCCGAAAATCAAATAGCTGCGGATTTGATAATCGAGCACCTTTTACAATTAATTTCGTCCTCTCCGAACTCCTGTTCATCCTCCCCTCCAGGAAACTTCCCCATCCTTCGCCTGCGTAATCAGTCGGAACCAGGCGTAGCCGCGACGTCTATCCGTCCTCACTGAATTTTACTCCTTACCTAGTTTGCATTGAAGCTTTATCATCAATAATCATTGTATAATCGTTTACCCTTCTTGTTATTTTTACCAATTCCTGATCACCTCTTCCTCCTTGGTCTGTTTGTTGTGGTCACTCCTCCCTACTCCACCCTGCCTCCTGTTAGATCGGCTATTTTATTTATTTTTTTTGCTGCCCGCATATCTGTATGCGTCTCGGCTATTTTCACTTAGACACTTTGCATAAAAGAGTATGTGGGATTTTTCTCACAAGTTAGCTTACCTTATGGCCGTTTGCTTTATACAGTGAATGTGAGAACTTTAATTATGGAAATTTTGTTTTGTCGCCCTGGTGCTCATTGTACATGTTTGGATTTGATGGAGGATTTGATTGTTTGCAAGTGGCAGGTGAGTCACATGACGAGTCTGTACTTGAACCATTTTGAATCGGCGAAATTGGATTATCACATTTAGTGCTGGGTTTAACCAGCACCATGCGGGTGTTTCGCTACTCCGGTGTAGCACCGATTCTTGTCAGTTTTTCACCAACTTAAAAGTGACTGATCAAAAAAAACTTAAGCAACCTCGAACCGAGAAATTCTACATCTATTTTGTCATCTCGACCTCAACCTGTCTGTTTGCAGCATGAATCAGTTGTCATGACCCGGCGGAGAGCTGGCGTTACCGGAGTATATCAGATTGTTGTATATGCGTCAAGGCGAGCGTCTAGCCAGATTTCTGGAGGGGATTTCTACAGGGTACAGCTGTACGTTTGAGCGAGTCTTTTAAGTCTCCTTTGATTTAGTCACTGCACCAGTGGTATGGAGTCACGTTGGCGGTCTCCCAGTCCCTTCGTAGGCTCATAGTAAGACCATTTTGGAGATCGCAAACTGCCCTTGGCAATATTTATCCATTTCTGTTCCTTTTTTGCCCTCACCTAGGTTCCCTAATTTTAAATTTTGCGACTCATGTTGTAAGCAGCACTTAGCGGTTCCCCATTGCTCACACTCTGAGTCATCAAGAGGCACTTGCTTGCTTCGCCAGCGTTCCTTTTACCGTTGTCTCTCTGTAAAATCACTTGATGGTCTTGCTGTAGCTTTTCCGCCTCCCTGTAAATTCTGGGCACATAGGACCACAATACAACACTCGATGGAAGCGCCTCTCTACTCGACTTGTTTCACTCATCAGTTCCATGGGTTTACGGGGAACCAAGGAGTCTCACAAGCCTTAGAGGAGTGCCTTGGCCAGCTTTCACCCCCCAACTTTCAGCGTATTACATTTGAAAGAGTGTAAACTTTTCAAATAACCAAATTTGGTGTTTTTCTTCTCAAGAAGCGTAAGCCATTTGGCAGTTTGTCGTTGAGAGCACAGCGATTACGGCAACGCTTCTGCCCCTCTCCAATTGTTTCCAGAAAAGCACTTCAAAACACGCTTAAATGTAAGCCTTTAAATAGTTCTTCTGCAGTTGAGCCAAGATAATGGCTGCCGCCATTTGGCCAACAAATTTGCGACTGAAAACCAACCCACCATCTGTAGATTGGTGCAATAAACAAGATTTTATCAAGTGTTGCAATAAAATTCATGTTTCTTGCCAACTTAAAGCAACAAATTTGATTCCATTGAAGTGTTTTAATCCCTCGTACGGTAGTTGTGTCCGGTTGTCCGACTTGCATTTGGCACCTGACAAGTGCACTTCAAGCACTGATTGGTTGTTCCCACGTTTCCAATGCAAGGGTTGTCAAACCAACTGGTTGTATGCAATTTCAAACATGTGAACGTACTTTGGAGGTAAGATTACATGGATTTTTCCCTCACGTGGTATCGTAATGTATGGGTTTGGTGGGGCCCTACTACTCGTACACTTATAAGTAGTATTGATGCGGTGGATACTTCAAAAATCGCTTACTCAGTAAATTGGGTGCATTTTTGATTAAAGAGTAATGCTTTTAACCTTTTTGTAATGATGTGACAATGCAACCTGCGTATGTCTGTGTCAAATGTCACCTGTTGAGGTTAACCTAGAAGATTCACCTCATTCACCAAGGCAGGGGCCGACATCTTTGGGACTGGGCAGTGCGAAAAACTTTTTTCGGCTGATTGACTGACTTGCGCTGCGAAACAGCCTTGGTAGGTCTTGCGTCGTCAACCGCTCACGCTTCCAAGCACACATCTGATTCATCCCTTCATGTCCTAGGCTGCTTTGTTTATGTACCTATGTGGGTGTGTGGGCGTATAGTGCGGTGGTCCTCCGACGGAATTGGTCACCAGTTAACTGTCAAACACCGCTGGGTGCAAGAATGAGTTGTCTGACGCAAATTCGTGCACCTTGAAGATGGCTGGCGAATGCTTCTTCAGAAGTAGTCAGGACTAGTCAATCGGTCAACAGGCGGTCCTATCGCCCCTCAGACAAAGCGCACCGCAACTCCACACACTGCAGAACTGACCCGCTATGTGTGCACCTCGAAATGGAATGGATGGAGATACTGCCTCACCCCATCTCCCTTCAGACTTTCTTTTGTGCCACTTCGCCGTTGTGTCATCTGTTTGACTTGGGCAATGATCAAGAGAATAGGCTGCATTAGCTACCCAAATTAGGGTGATAATTGTGATGCCTAATTTTCACAGCTTGTCTGATGGAATATTGTGTTGAGGCTCACAAAGTAATCCCAACATTTATTTAAAGCCGCCGAAATTTTGCTAAACTGGAGTACAGGCCATGGGCTGCAACAATTTGAGATAGAATCACCTTTCTAGAGGACATTTTGACTATTAAATCAAGTCCTCCTCCCAGGTGGATCAGCATTTGGCTCGCTGTCAATTGCATCCTTCCAGAAGCCCGATTGCCAACCCTTTTCTCTCACGTGGGATACAAATGCGGTGCAGTAGATTGAGGACAGGACTGTCTCGCCGCAACGAATCCGATCACTGGATGCAATAAATCAAACGGAGTCGGTGGTGAGGTAACCAAAACTGTGCAACCGTTTTATTTTTGTTCCAATTTCCAAATTTTCATTGACTTTATAAAAAGGGGGCAACTACTTATTAAGCACAGTAGTATAAGCGAAGCCCTGAATTCTGCCTCGACGTGTGGAATGAGTGTGTGACCTACTTTAGCCATTCCAGAGAAAAAAGAAGCGCTGCCTGCTCTACTGGCACACCAATTGCATTTAACACGTTTATCAGGCCGAACACACTTGCGCTAGGCATAGATGGCAGGGCAATAGCGTGCGCCGTTGTTAAAACTCTGAAAAAGATTGAAAAATTGACCACTCCTTTTGAAACAATTTTGGAAAGAATAAATTATTCTGGATGTGGTAAACGCACATCTAAACAAAGGAATACCTAATCATGATGATCTTGGCACGCTGATTTCATTGGTCGAGGGTTGGCACTACCACTTGTCTTGTGAGTAGGCAAAAAAGGCATCAAAATTGTTTAACAAAGGTAAAGAGTTTGGTCCGTAATACTTAAAATCACGTTAAACTATGGGTTTTATGCTAAATAAATGCTACACTCTTATATGAGTATTTTTAGCAATGACCTTGACCTAGGATTGTGGTTGGTCAAACGGATCATAAACAGATTGGCCTATTTTAGGCGAAGGAAGTGGTAATGCTGCTGCGAGACGTGCCAGTCTTACATGAGAATGAAGAACTTAATGCCGTCCAGTTGGACGTTTTCAAGTTGAGCAATGAAGAGCGAAGCACTGGTCATAAAAATAGCCGAGCCGTCAGCTTTTAGCATCAAGGACAACGGCAGAACGAAACGGGACACTGATTCTGGCAGTCCATAGTCGTCACAGGTTTGGTAGAAATGCGGCATTCCAACCATTCTAGAGGGGAAAATGAAGCACACTCGACAGCATAAAGGGATTATAAAAGGAGGGTTATTTTCCTCTTCACTGACGCCTTTAATCTGGAATATTAAACTTAGCAGTTTGTGTTTGCGTTTTAACTTGTCTCTTCTGCCAAATACAAATTTTACTCTAAGGTTTATTTAAAGTGATGAAGGGCTGCATTTAAAGGACTAACAATGCTTTAGAATTTTCTTGTGCTAGAGACTTATCTCCCCGTCAGGAACACCAACTGCACGACAATGCGGTTAAATGCGAGTGGTTCATGAAGTAGATGAGGGATTGTTAAAGTCCACCTCCCACGAGGGTAGGAAGTCACGTGCTACCATAGCGTATCAGTACTTTGGCATAGAAGTCAGTGATTCCGGAGGTGAGGCACTTTTGCAGTTCAATTCGTCCGACCTACCTGCTTCCAGTTGCCACGGCAATGAGCCAGGAGGAAAGGCAGTGTTTGAGTAGATGGAAGGGGTTTTCACGGACCAGTACAAAGGAAAAATTGATTAGGAGGAAGTGGACGAATTGGGCTGCCAGATGGGTGGCAAGGAAGAGAGCGAGTCGCTCAAATGTGCCCTCCATGTCACGCACATCTGCCACCGCGCTCATCACCATGAAAAACACTCCAACTGGTGTTGCACTAAAGTACACAAAATAAATCTGTCACAGCCTAAGTGGATAAACAAATCACACTGATTGTTCAATGGATGGGAATTTCATCATCGCATTAGCAGGGGGGGGGGGGTATGAGGAGGGTAAAATAGATCACTCAGTGATCTTGCTTCGTCACGTCGCATCAACATTTTTGACAGGGCTAGGTTTATTTTTAAAATTTGACAACCCCAGACAATGCACTTTAGTCGGGAGACCCGAGCTGTGTTAACGTCGGACAGCTAATCGATCACAAGTGCACACACCGTACACCGTTAGCGGAGCTCAGTCGGTGTTCGATTATCGATCGGCGGTGCACAGGTGTGGACTGAAAGAGGGGGGTTGCTGGCATTCCGACAATAAAAATGGCATGCTATGACTTGATCAAGAGTTTTCTTTTTTAAATAAATGCCTTGGCAAAGTATGGTCGCGCCAAAATGTTGGTTAAATAATCTGGACATAAAAAGGACAATTCTCGAATTGCAATTCTTAGAAAATCTCGAAATAATAATTCAAAAGATTTTAAAATTGATAGACTTCCTTTTCATATAAGTAATATAGAAATTTACCATTTATAGACTATTGGCAATTTATTACCTATTCCGAAGTTTGGTGTTTAACATGCTACTGATTGTAAAAAATAAGTAGACTCTTTATAGATATGGAATTAAATACGAAATGGCGAAATAATGAATTTTGTTAATTATGACATTAATTAATACAAGGCACAGCTTTTAAGGTAAAATCTTGAATATGTGAATGAAATGGTCAAAGGAATGCCTTTAGATGAACTCACAGAATGAATTTCCGCATCAGAATCAAAACAACCTCGTAGAGAGCTAAAGAGAACTGTTTCAGGGGTTGCGCCTCCTCATTCACCGCATTAGCAGCAAGTCCAAAAGCGACTGAACAAAAGAGGATGCCTATACGTGGGAGGCAATACGTCAGGCGAACTCTGCAAGCAGTTTATTCTGCTGTTTTATCCAAAATTGATAGCTTTTTAAACCTGCTTTAGCATTTTAGAAGATAGCTTTCCAAAATGAGTTTTGAGGTCCACATCTTATTTTTCACAGATTTAGAAGTGATTGCATCGCTTTTGTCTACTAGCCAGCCCATCTGACTTTGATCCCCTAGTTAACCAATCAAATGGTCAGGCGTAATACATATGAGGTTGGACGCTATTCCAAATGGGATCAGAGGGATTATTTTAATGTACAAGCATAAAATACTTGCCTTATTATGTTTTGTTTTGATGTTTTATAAGATCCTACTATATTTTTTTGGCTAGAAGAGCAAGTTTGAGTGCTATTTGATGACAGGGACCTTACCAAGCATATTGACTCCATCAATGTTGATTTTACGGTAGACTGTCTCGTTGTAGGCGTTTTTTTCTGGATGTTCAAAGTCTGTACCTACCTAGTCGATAAAGTTTGACCACCTGTTCGAACTCGTGAGAAGCGAATGAGGCTTAGTTTCCTTACATGAGCAATAGACAGCTTCATCAGATCAGCGGGAAAGGCGTTTCTAGGGCGGGAAATATGAACAATAGTTCATTTACAGCTTCATCTTTATCGTAGTCATATGGGTGGGGTTCAGTATTTCTAGCATCAATAGGAGCAACAAATGATCACAAACTGAGATGCATTAGCAATACCTACACTCCAATGATCCTTACTTACCAATGGCTTTCAAACTTACAGCAGGAGATCTTGAAAGATGTAGGGAATTTGATGTCCATATTCCTCTTGAATTGTGCCATTGTAAGTTGCAGGACTATCCGATTCTACAAAAACAAAACAGCACCAGGAGACACGAGACCACAGGTTAATTGGTGATTGCCCAAAAATTTGATTTGTATGCAATAAGAAACGCTTGTTTTTGTTCATGGTAAGGGGGTATCGAACAAACCTACTCGTCTTAATTGGTAGAACCGACACGAAACCGAGAATTGAGGAGATAATGTTAGCCGAAAGGATGAATGCTGCAGCGGCCACTCCAAGTCTCTTCTCCTTGCTTAAGTTCATGTCAGCGACTACTGAAGTAAACAAAAGTAGCCTGTAATTTTCGTTTTTTTATGCGTACGCTAAATGTTTTGCTCAGAATGTAAGAAAATCGTTATAACTGAGGAATTCACCAACCTTGTTAATTCTCATTTAAAAGAAATTAAAAGTGACATGGTTGGGAAAATATCGGTTCCCCTTGGAATATCCGAACAATTATTCTCGTAGAAATCGTCCTCACGCATTGCAAAAGATATACGATTGGGGATAGGGCATTGACGATGCTTAATGAAAGTCGTCATGAAAATGTCCTATAAATAGGTAACTGAACATGGAAAATACGATCAGGGCCATTGGCTATCATCTTTCGGCTGTCCCTCAAGGTAATAAGTAAAGCAACTTTTACCTTCGGAAGTGTCTGCTCTATTAGGTTACTCGAAGGGTCATTAAATGAATAAAAATAAGACATAACCTTCTCAACAGTGTTAAGCATCAAGGGGGAACTTGCCGTTGAAAATGCTTGTCGCAAGCACTGGAACAATAGTGAGTTGGAGGACTCGTATGTACAAGACACCCGGCATTGCTAAGTGTTAAGGGGACACACGAACATTATACTACTCCATCGTGGTAAAACAATGGCATGACCACACATTTAGAAACACACCAATCCACAGTTTTTGTGCAGCCGAGAGATGAATTTGTTGGAGCACCAGCCCGAATGCAAGTCCAGTAGAGATGCCCACGAAGGTGGCGAAGAAAAACCAGTGCTTGCGCAGCCATGCCCCCATTCTTGCAGACATTATGCCGCCTGCAGTAGCAGGTGGCTCTGCGACTGGTGTGGCGCCCTCCTCACGAGCCAACATTGTGACCCGTCCACGAGATCCGATCGACCGCCAATCAATAGCGAGCTTTAGAATTTTTTATGTATTTGACCTACTGAAATGGTATAAGTACACCTTATTGTAGGCTTAATTTCCAACCACTTACTAAATTTAAGCGCACAAATTATTTTATTTGAATGGCTTTTTACCGTAATAGATGTATAAATAAGGCTATACTCCGCACTTTGATTGGCGAATTCTGATCAAAATAGTCATCAGGCGTTATCTAAAAGTATCCTTACAAACTATCTCAGTCTGAATGTAAATCACCTCGAAATACGTGCTTTAATCAAGAGCAGGGACATGAACAGTGTCGGACCTTGCATAAGAAGTATTGAGATTTTCCACGCATAAGGTAGAGCAGAAACTTTGGTTAGCACTGTTTGCCTGATTCGTACAGAGAAGGAAGATTAGTGCAGTTTTACACCCCATCCTGCGTTTCAGAAGTCGTGAAAAATTTAACTACTTTTGGGGCAAAGCTGCATTTCACCTGATAAGGCTTCTTTCTCACTTCATTGTAAATGATAAGGACAGCATAAAAGAAGGGTCCAAAGGGCACACAACGACCAAAAACTCACATCAAATTAAGGTGAAGTTCCACTGAATAATTTCTGACTACACAGCAAGACGTCACCTGACAAAACTATTTTTGGCACACTGGAAAATTTGAAGGGAGTGAACATCCTGAGGCTGTCATAGCAACGTAGGCTTGTTTAAAACCATGCCTCGCTTTTCCCTGAATTATCATCCTTGTCAAGCTTCTAATTCGACAGTCATGAAGTATCCTGTTGGGCGTGCCGAGCTGCTAGGAAGGATTAGAGCCGCGGCTTATGCGCTATCCACGTGCTGAAAATTTGAGTATCACTGCACTAAGGCAGGTTTTGTGTAAAAAATAGTGCTGAAGAGCAGCTATTTACCAGTAACATTTGCTAATTGAGGGGCAATAATGCCCCTTAAATATAGCACACAAATAGCTGGGTCCAGGACATTGTGAAGAACCAGAAAATGAAGATTTACCTCTAGGCAAACCCGTCCTTTGTGAGATATCCTCTACTCCGACATTTGGACTTGTTAACTAGTTGCTGAAATTAGGATAGTTGGTTATTTGGAAAAAATTTGGTGAAGGCTAATAGCATGAACAAAGCACCATGATAGTGGAAAGATGGCTAAAGCTGCGGAGTAAATTAAAAAGTTAAAGCAGATTGCCTTTTATAGCGCTTGAAGGAATACATTGAGGAGAGCGCTAAAAACATTCGGATCTTCTAAAAGCAAGGTGAAAGGCATTCCACGATCAAATTCAAGCCAGCCAAATAAACCTTTTAAAAGGTTTTACTTCTAAACCTTACTCTGTAAAATTGGGAATAATTTTCTTGATTATTTATTCAGAATGATCACTTTATTTTTTTAGACCACGTGGGTCCCTCAGTCTCCACAGGCTATGCATCGACTCGGCGGCATAGGTTTCTGGCCGTGCCTAAAGCCTCTCAAACCCACCATGTGTTGATAATAAATAATCTTTCTTACTCTAAATTCGTAATAGGCCTTCTTGAAGTCTAAGCGCGCTCTACTACATTTTGATGGACCTCAGTTTAAAATACAATACCTTCTACTAATTTAACAAAGAGTAGTATAGGAAGACGTATCAGGCAAAATATTTTCTTTATGTAAATGCCACTTTTACACATTGTTTAGTCTTTAGAAACCAAAAAAGTATTTCTGACCACCTTTCCTTCTGTCTTACTTTTTTCAACACCAACCATTTGGCATGTGCTTGTCTGATGGTCATGGCAAGAAAAGGTGGCAGTTGTCACTTGGCGAAAGATCATCAGGGTATATACAGGTGGATGCGAGACAGTATAACCCAACCCCTGAAAAACTAACTAGAGTGAGGTTAGGGACCATCTCATTGTCCAACTGATTTGCGTTATGCTAGGACGGAATTTTCGTCACGCTGACGGGCGCCTTAGTCTTGGTTACTGCCTACACACACGAACTCTATCATATCAAGCAGGGAAATGCAATTCGCAGTTTCTTTTTCGACCTTTAGCAAGTATACGATTCTCATTGCAGTGTATCACGCACAATTTAACAAATTTTCCGGTTGATGGAGACTTAAATCAAGTGTTTCAATGCCCTATTTAAACACTACTGAAGGTTCTCAGCACCCTAATCTCGAATTAACACTTAAACTAATAGCAACAGGGAAAGTTTAATTATTTTAAAATAAAGAGGGTCTTTCTGAACATGTAATATTACCAGGTGGTAAAGGATCGTCCAAGTTGCTCAAATCCTTTTACTCATTTGAGTCAGGACGTTACTTTCTGCCACAGCATACCATAGGCTATTCATCAACCTAGACGATGAGCTTCTACAGCTTTACTTCCAACTTAATCTCGGTTCGTAGTGTAGACAAGCTCAAGTCACATCCCACGTGGGTTCGAAATGGAGAAAAACAGGCGAGGGCACAAATAGAGACTACTGCGCCAGTAGATTGACACGTATCCATGCCTTTTAATGCACGCATGTAGCAGAAAGTCATTTTAGAGAGTTATGCCAAGTAACACTTTGATTTTCTAACCATTCGAGTCCCCTCCTTCTCAAACCATCCCACATTAGTTTTGTTTTCATAACAAATGTAAAACCAACTTTTCCACAGCAGATAATTATTGAGTCTTTTAAAAATTGCGTTCACATACAGTCCAGTGTAGTCATCTTGGAAACCGGAATTGGCCTTGTCATTTCAATTCCGATGGGGTAACGGAAATGCTGGAAACGGAACAATTCCTTTGTCCTACTGAAATTTTTCTTTTCTCTTTAAATCACTTTCGCTCCCACATATTGTTGCTAATTCCTCAAATAATTTTCTGTGCCTCAACAAAACTAATGCAAACTGTTCATTTCAGATGGTGCTTTGTAAGTAGGAGTGATTAAAATGGAGCCCAAATGAAGAAGCATTGCAGTATGAACATAAAATTTTGCCTCACTGTAATACTGACTATTTGTTTAACTCTTCGTTTTTGTTACGTGAGAACTTAAGACTCCGCCTTTGTACTTCCGATGGGCGTCATGATCTCCGGGCCGCGCCCACAGGGCCCCCTCTCAGGCCTTAGTTACGTCGGCAATGCGTTTTCTGTCCAAGCATTACGCCTTTTTTCATCTTTAGGAAAATCTCGGAACGCTACGAATGCATTTAACCTTAGCGTTTTCTAATTAAAGGTTGACTTGGTCGCTCTCCTTAAGGAAAGGGAAAGGAATTTGTGGTTTGATGGAAAAGTTTGCAGTAAAAAATCAGGAAAATGATCAGATTTATCGGATAAGTAAAATGGGGGGTTAATCAATTTTTTATCAATTAATGTCATCTTTGTGTCTTGACGCCTAATCAATGTCATCTGTACTTATGACAGCTTTATATAATACATGATCAAAGGCTCCCAACGCAGCATAAATAAGTGGTATTCTTTATAAAACCAACAAAAGAGAAGTAGATAGCTAGTTCAGCAACCTTCATGTGGGGATCTACATGATTCCATTACAAGTTAAAATAAAAGTGTGCTTTCGAAGAAGCATTAAACGTCGGTAAAGGATCCACAAGTTCGACAATTCTGGGGTCCAATCCCTTCCCCAGAAAGGACGAATCTAAAATTGCAATAGGGCTGAGGCATGCGGTGTGGCATCGGCTGTGCTTCCTACCACCTAAGACAACTTCACAACTGTTTAAAATTCACACTCGCTAAAGTTTCATGCATGCAAGTTTGTACGGGGCATATAAACACCATCACCCCGTAAATAGTGTGATCAGTGTACCGCAGTCTAGAGGACAGGGAGATGGTAATCTAGTGTGCGTTTGGGCTCTCTTTTGGAATTTTGTGCCAAACAATAGGGCATGATCATCTGCGGAGGCATAAAATTTTCGCATGAAAAGAATAGAAAGTAGTATTTTTTGAACAAACCATAAAATTAGTGCTATCTAGATTAATAAAATTTTGGGGGTTTGCCTCAAAAAAGCTGTGCCAAACCCGAGTAATTCTTGCGGACTCACAATGCATTTGCTTAATACCTCTTTTGAACATTTCAAATTTTAAAAAGAAAAGTTTTAAATTAGTGGACAAGAAGGACATAGTTAATTGTTGCGATGGCGCGTGATTTGGCGGTTTCATGTTGCCTCATTCTAATAATAACTCAGCCGTTAAGTTAATAACTATCCACGAGGTGAGCAAGTTTGTACAAGCGTCCTATTTATTGAACTTGACTCGCTGAACAACAGAGACAAATTTGAGTCAAGTGACGAAGGGGCGGAATTAGGGGGAGGGTCCAGCGCAGCACTGTAAGGTGTTATCGTGGTTACGTGCGTATGTGCGTGCGCATGCAGGCTGACATCGCTCACCTAATCAGTGGTTATTTCATCCACCTACTAGCCAATCATAGTCACCTTTGCTTTGACGTTGCCATAGCATTGCTACGCGCGCTCACATGTATGTGCGTGTGAGTAGGTACAACGAGTCAAACCCGCGCCTCTACGGACGCACAAAGGAGTAGGCCTCATGCGTGCATGCAAGCACGCATCAACGCACGCACGCATGCATGTACGCACGTTAAACACGGCAACCAGGATACCCTCCACCACCGCAGTCAGTGTCACCGTCACCACCACCACCACCGCTGCCGTTAGACTCACTTGTCTCCCTGCACACACACACCCACACCCACACAAACACGCACACACGTATAAATACATAAACACACGCGCGCATACACATTTAAATTCACGTAAGGAGGGAGTATATTTGTCATCACCTCTCAGCAGGAGAGATGTCAATAGCTCCAATGCTTATCCCACCGTCGGTGAAGCCAGATTTGCCACCTGACTATCGGGGCGCCGAGTGCCCGCAGCAACAGCAACAACAGAACTGCGAGATACCCACCGACTGTTCGGCATTTCGACCGAAATCACCAAGAAAATCGGCATCAGAGGGCTTCTCAACCCCACCAGGACCGCCGAGTTCGGGATTTCTGAGCGCCTTCAAAGCGCCCCACTCCGTACCACCTTCAATGGGCCTCGGTGGCGTGTCGGCTGATGACCTGGCCTGTCTGCAGAGCGGCCGAGCCCATTACTATGGCTCGCCGGAAACGCCTGAGGTTGAAGATGTAAGTCCGCCCAATTTTTTCGCTATTCTTTAAAGCGGACTGAAGTGGTTCCGCCTACTGCTTTTTTCAAACTGTGGGCGAAGCAAGACACATTTACTGACGTTTTTGTCTGAAGTAGGACCATACCTTCTTCCGTGCTTTAAAGATACCAGTATTTCTTAAACGGCTTTGTTTTTCATTTCCATCCTATTGTCATTCGTCCAGAGCCTGATTTAATAAAGTAATTCACCTCTCCATCGTTGGCTGATTGTTTACGAGGATATTTAGAGTTTTCAGTTGTCCGAATTCATATCATTAAATAGGGCTGTCAAACTAGCCATTTCTTCATTTATTACGTCTTAAGCTAGTTCCTGGGATCTGAAAGGAGGGTTCCTCATTTTCGGTGTCGCTAGATAGTTAAGCAATTGACATTCTCTCACGGCTCGATTTAAATTTGCAGAACAATTCGAAGTTTCATGGAAAGCATCCAAGCAGTATAGGCCTGGATTACTTTAGATCATACTCCAAAGAGTACTTATCATTTTCTTTGAGTGCCTGATCGGCTTTCATACTTCCCTTTTCGGTTTGATTTTCTAAGTGCCGGCGGTACGTAGGTGTAGGCACCAAACAGCTGTCCAAAGGGCACGTCTATTTATCCTACCTGGTAAGACGTAGAATTACACCTCCCAATCAAATTGTATGTAGGCTCAACTCATTCTATGGCATTTCTTTCTCTTCTTTTGCGCTTCAGTAGGTGCAAAATTTGTATGTACACTCTCCAGCTTTAGTCATTTTCGAAAGGCACCTCCTCTGTGGTCGGTCGAGCGAGAGCGCGCGCGTAAATGCGAGTATCGATTTTTTCCCTCCGAGTAAGCGCCGACTACTTGGCGCTGTCAATTATCTATTGTCACAGGCTTAAGAACATGCGGTCTAACCGGAAGACGCAGCCTACTGATTATTCTCAGTGTAGGCTCCACTTCCTTCCTTCCCTCGCCTCCTTTACTGTCATTGAGATGGAAACGGTGGGGTGGGGGGGGGGGAAGTGGGAAGGGGCAAGAATACTACAACACTCCGAAACAATGCCCACATAGGCAGGTTTGAGAGAGTAGGTAGATGGGGGGCGGATGGGTGGATGCGATGGCTGGTACGCACACATACGCACTCATAAAAAACACGGAAGCATGGAGGGGAAAGGGCGTTAACGGAAGTCCGTAAAAAGCCAGGGTGGGGGGGGGGGGGAGAGCAACAAACACAATGTGTGTGTGCCCGTGCGGAAAGCCACAACGGAAACATGCCGTGCAGTAGTGTGTGTGTGTGTGTGTGACGATACATGTCTGGGGATGAGGTTATATTGCCCATTAAAACTAAATGAAGTGCTTGAGGTGCTTCTTAGACGAGGCAAAAGACAACACTGGCCATTGCTACTGAATATTCTGCCCTCCTCCTCCCATCGATCCCTGGAAGCCGTAAGGGCCGAACTTTCATTCTCGAATTTCTGTTACGCGAGGAGCTAAGAAAGAGCGAGATCATTTCCTCATTAATGTGTAGAATACTCATAAGTGCCGAAGTTTTATTTGAGGAAGAGGAAGAAAAAAAAATTACAGAGTTACGCTAATTAAACGTGTATGCAACTAAGCCTTATTAAGCTGAAGATTGCTTTCTCCGTTAGGCGCGTGACAGATGACACGGCCCCCTTCTGTAATTACATGACCGCGCCGACAATGGTATATATGTGTGTGTGCGTACTGAGGATATACGCAAAATCGGACGTCCCTTTCTCCTCAATGTGGCTAAGTTAGCTGCAGACAGGGATGGTGGGATGGCTGAGGAGAGGGGGTGGAGTTGAACAAGGTGCGCATTCATGGAAAACAAAGGAATTGCTAATTAGCGGTCAAGTTAGCCCTCTCCCTATCCCATGCCTCCCCTCCCTCCTACTCTCCCTTGCCCCCTTCTCACCTTTTCTGTCGCCTGCTAGCCTGTACGCCTTGAGCATTCACCTCTCATCTGAATAATTCATCTGCGGATACATTGTGCACGGAAAATCTTCGACCATACTTGGCGTCAATGGCATTCTTGGTGTATTTTCATGTGAGAAAGTGTTACTGTCACCACTACTACCACTACCACCACCACCACCATCTCAAAACACCCTGGCTGGAACAAAGTGAGTCGGCTTTGCATGCGAAATGAGGAGGAGGCTCAGGTAGGAAATTTTTGAGGATTTATTTGCGTTAATCAATTGTGAGGCTGAATTAACATTACCCAGCTAAATGTGGACCGTTTTTTGTCTTCTCCGGGGGGCAACTTTCTCCTTCCTAGACTAACACTTCCGTTTCGTGTTTCATCCGCCCCTCAGTGGAGCTTTGAACTTTCTAGCCCTCTTAAGATGCGCTGAAAGGTGTCATCGTTTATGACTCCTCATCACTAGGTGGTGAGGCGGTTGTGCTGTCTTTCAAGTGACGGGTATGGAGAGTTTAGTCTCAACTCTGCGCGTATATCTGACTGACCGACTGACCGAGTGGATACGAGTTCCACAAATGGTAAGGCAGTTAATACTCTTCCTATTACGTTTTTCTTTTCTATCTTTTTCAACATTTCGTCCTCTTGTGTCACCCACCGAGCCAACACTGGCGCCAGGACTAATTGTGACTCCCCACCGCCCACCATCCCACCTCCTCTCGCTCATCTTTCTTAAGCACTTTATTCTTCAGCATTTCAATTTGAGTGCCACGCATTTCCTGTGGCCACCCACACTCTCCATCTCCAAGTCGTTAAGGTTAAGTAATTAAATAGTTTTACCCCCTTTCCCTGTGTGGATGAAACGGCAGAGGCAATTCGATAATTGTGGCAAAATATTACGATTGGAATTATTTTTCCTTTATTGAAGAACTAATTGAAATTCCTTTCCGTCTTTGTTGATAGGTGAAAAAATATTTTGGTAGTACCTGGAAAGAAGCTAGTCGGTGGTTGGGACTCGAGGAATGCCTCCGTAGCTCCTACTACCCATCCAAAATTTAGCTTGATAATTTCAGTTGATCTCGACTGTAAAGATTGCTCCTTAAAAGTCGCTCCTTCAAGAACATTGAGTTCCTTATTTTGGTAAAATTTGTCCTTAAACTTACTTTTCGTATGTTTAATTTTAGCTGGAGTTTGACACAACAAAGGGGAAGGTTACCCTATGGCAATTTCTCCTACAACTTCTGCTGGATCCACGCTACTGTGACATCATTCGGTGGACAAACAATGCTGGGGAGTTTGTTCTACTTCGAGCTGAAGAAGTTGCACGTTTGTGGGGTCTTCGAAAAGACAACAATCATCGAATGAATTATGATAAGCTTTCTCGTGCTCTGCGCTACTACTATCAGAAGAACATCATTCGTAAGGTTCAAGGACACAAGTTTGTCTACCAATTTATTGGTCTGCATCGATTGAAAGGTCTCATTCGAACGCAGAGTGTAGAGGAGGGGGGTGTCGAGTCAATCTTCCCCGTGGAACTAATTAAACCTCAACGACGACAGTCGACCTCAAACAAGCCACTAGTCGGCATTTCGTCGGACGGTTGTTTCAACGGTTTCCCGTCATTTTACAAACAGACGACTTCGCCATTTATGGACCCCTTCAATAACTCGCAAATTTCTAAGTCACCGCAGGTGCTTTCTTCCTGTCAAGATGTACCAAAATTAAGCCCCAGCCACTTTCAACCTCCCTTCTCCTCCAATTTGAGCCAATCTTTCAACTTTGGGGTGCCAAGTACCTCTTCCGCATCTTTCTCCTTCCCTCCAATCCAATCTAGCCCTTCCTCGGATTTCCCAAAACGCTATTCCAACCTTCCAAAAAATCGTGAAAACTCCACAATGGAAAACTTTGGAACCATGGCTTCCCTTGTGTGTAAGGACGTGTTTCAAGCCCTTCTACCACCAAATCGACCCTCCAAACGTTCTTCTTCACCTGACTGTCATTGCAGTTGTCATGGTTCATTGGCCTTGTCTCCAAGAGCCGGCGAGAATCGATCTCTGCATTTTAACTCCAACCCTCCCCATTCTTCTCATCCATCAGTTCCGATGTCAGTACATCGAAAGCCTCGATCACTGGATTGCTGGTCTCCAATAAGTGGAAGTCAACATGACGAACCTCTCCCACCTCCGCCTCATGCACCCGATCATCGGTCATTCCTCCATTGGCAACGCCATATGATTAATATGACTCGACTGAAAGAGCAGATTCAACGAGTTTCTGGGCGTACCGAGGATGGAAAGCCTCCTTTGCAACCGCTGCCACTACATCATCAGTCCCAGTCGATTTTTCGACCTTTTGACGTGCCACGGAATGAAAGCAGAAAGTCAGAGGAGATGGACATTGAAACAAAATCCTGTCAAAAGGTGATTGGAGGTTTGTCGAGTGCTTCTGCTTCCGGTACCAACGGGAACAACACTGGCAATAACAGTAGCAACAACTCCAATGATAATGGAAATTACATTTGGATGCCAATTCAAGTGGATCTGGTGGAGCACTTTATGTCGATGCTCTCGCAGACCCTGCAAGATCGAAAGCCCAGAGAGCCACCATTGGCACACTCCTCGCCACATTGTTGAACCCCCAAAAAAAACATGGTGTCATGACTACTAATATTTATATACAGTGTGAGAAAAATAAGAATACATACTTCCTTCCCCTACCCTCTTCCTTTTCCACTTCCTTATGTGAATAAGAGCTGCTTTGTAGTTCTTTATCTCCTCGGTTCAATTTAATTTTTTCTGCGACTTTATTTCGACCTCCTCTCTATCTCTTGCTGTTTTATTTCATGCCTGGCCTCTTCCCTTCCCCTTCTAATCATTCCTTATTTTATATATATAAATATACTATATATATAAAGGCAATTATTGTATATTTTGCGAAGATGCAGTACATCTTATTTAAACCGCTGATAAGAAGTCCAACTGGATGAAACAGCAAGAAGCACAGGAACAATCAGTCCAGAGGTTATAGCCTTGGCAGTAGTAGTCGCTAACTGAAGGGGATGAGGAAATCACTATGAAATTTGTCGCTAAGTCCCAATTATCCTGTTCTAAGTTGGTGATTAGAATATGCTTCTGTTTTTAAGGTTCGTTTAAAAGATGAGTAAATTATATTCTGGGTAGTCTCCTCCTCCACGTTCATAGCTGAGTCTTGATGTCGGGTCAGGCACCAGATCCCTCCTTCATGCAGGCAGGTATTGTGTATGCACGCCCGTTGCAATCCATCTGACTGATCAGGAATAAATGTCTGGTATTTAGAAGTATATTTAGATTTATCAATTTTATTATTCTAACCACTCACAAATGATACAGAATTAGTCCCACTTTCTACGGTCCCAAGTCTTAATGCCTTATTGCCTGCCCCTGTGAGCCTAACGCTACCGTGGTGGATTTTCTTGATTGACAAGTGATGTTAATTAGGGGAAAAAAGACCTTCCTTTCTGACGATTTGGTGCTTTGCAATACCTGTCTGCGGTACATCCATAACTTTGTGCAACCGCTAAGTGGTGAGTGTTGCCCCTGTTTTAATGAGTGAACCTAGTTGCTCTTTCAGTTTAAATGAGGGAAAGTGACAATTTTATCCCCTATTCCTGTCACTTATTGTCAACAGGAGGTTGTTAACTTAACGCCTAAAATAAAATTAATGTTGTTATTTATTTGGTGAATATGGAAATGATGTTGAGGTTGTACTGTGTAACATTCAGCCGGTGTTGGTAACATGGTAGTGACCAAAGGAAAGCTGATCGGGTATTGAATATCTTTGAATTCAGACACCTTTCGGGCTTATAAGTGTATAATACTTTAGCAGAAGCTCCAAATATGTGATATAACCATTGTCATGGTTTTGGTATCATAATAGCGGTAGTAATGAGACCATTGAAATCTTGAAGTACAGTTCCAGAGACAGCAAGAGGAGTTCAAACTGATGTCCGGAAGGTGCAGTCTTTGGTGAGCGGAATATCCTGTAAAAACGAAGTGGAAACCACACCTGGTCTCTGAGTCTATGCCCCGCCTGTAACTTGTTAGTTTATTTGCTTTCTTGTAAGATGAATGGCAGTCTCTGTCTACAAACCAATCACAGAGTTCGATTAATCACAAGGTTTATTTAATCTTTGGTGGATAGACAATTACCCGCACATATCGGATCATCACATGAAAATCTGGTGGATTACTTCTGTGCTAAATTGCCAACACCCGTCCTTCGTAAACCGCTGCTTCACCACTAGCGTCACGTGTATGTGACGAAGCAGTATTTTAATTTAGCCCCTCACATCACTCATCTGCTACAAAATTAATCAAGAGGAGATGATTTAGATTGGACAGGCAGAACAAATAAAACAGGTAATGGCATACTACTCGTCATATTTTGGACGCGATGATCGGTGATGATGATGCCCTAATATACAAGGCTGGACTTAATGACGCAAAAGGATGGAAAATTGAACACTGGCACAAATTCTCATGTATAAGAAAATTTGATACCATCGCAAGATTCTGCTACTGATTTTAGATCTAGTTTCGTTTCGCCTAACATCCATCTTGTCGATTTAGATCTTAATGTAATCGTTCCAACTTATTGGGAAGCAAACTCCTCCACAGCCTCCGTTAGCCATTCCTTCAGCCAACCGGAGTGCGTCAAATATTGTGCACAAAATAGCCACATCCTTCCGAATTCAACTTCTCCTAATTTTCATTAAGGGGAAAAGCAGTGGACAGAGAGAGAGAGAGCACATGCAATGTAAAGAGTAGAGAGGGTAAAAAATGGGTGAAGCAAGTCGACGCCCTTATTGTTAGCGGAGTGGGTAAAAAGACTGAGTCTGCAGTGCTGACATCCACAGTTGGTTGGGCAGTTGGTTAGTTAAGTGGTTTTACGTGAGGAGGCATCCTGATTAGGTGGAGGTGCTTTCGGCCGAAGCGCACACGTATCGATTTTTTTTGGCGATTGGTCACTTTGCCAGCGCGGATATTTGAGTTTCACCTGTTTCACCTTAAGCTTCATTTCGCAAGTAATCTTAAAATATTTAGGCAAATAAATAAAATGAATTAGCAAAGTAGTTAAAAAATGACTTGCAAAAAAGTGAAAACATTAGTTAACATCCAGTTACGCTTTTTCGATACATTTAATAAATGTCAATTCGAAAGTTTCTCCTTAGGCATAAAAGCTAGGTCAGATGGCAAATTTAGTATTTTATGCATTTAAAATAGGAAGAAAAATAGCAGTCATGCTTTTTATCAACTTTTAGTTCAAGTTTACTGTGGAGTTTTAACCCATTTTATTTTCAAAAAGGAGCTTTTATAAACGAAGTTTATTTTAAGTCGGAAGTTAGTATGTTTTTCAATCTTAATATCTTGTCTTTTTGATTAGCATGACACTTTGCTGCTTCCCATACTTTCGCTACGACTCGTTGGGAGTAGGAAATTGAGCATTATTTGGCTTCATTCGTCGACTGACATGTCTGACGTGTCATTGCAAGAGCTAGCAGCCAGCGAGTCCAAAGTACTGTGGGCTACTTGTTTATGACCTTATGATTGACATGGGTGAAACTACCAGGGAAACATTACTAGAGACGGAATTAAGCAATCTTTCGGGAGTGCAGTTTTTCCTTAGCTCAAAAAAAGTACTTTTTTGATAGTAATTACTAGGTAGCCAAAGAGAAGAACAGTGACGCTCGCATGTGGTGTGATGGATGTACCGTCTCATAAAAATAGAAAAACCATCTATTCTATTAAAGCATCTGGAAATATCAAATTCTGCACCATCTTTCGATTGCTTGACAGGCGATTCCTCCTCCGGATTTTTAGTATGCAAACCTGTAAAATTCATAATTCATTTCAATGCGTTGTGCAATTTTGTGCAAGGTACTGGGAATCATGGCTGCATTGCTAACAGTCAAGTACATCAACATGGTGAAGGGCGTTGGTTCCGTAGGCGCCGCCATACAGCTCTTTGGTGAGGAATTCGGATAACAAAAATATTTGACTTGATTCACCATGCCGCCGGCATTACGTCTGTGAAATGTTGATCATCCACTTAGATGGCCCTACTTAAGAGGAGAAGGTGAGTAGGAAGCAGCGACAGTAGAATATAATGAACCCACACATCAAACTAAGTGTGAGGCACCAGAAGGCTTGATATAAAATAAATTAAGGAAAATTCATCTTAAAGCCAGTCTTTCTTTGTGGCTACGTCCTGAAGCCTGACCAGCTCACATCGACAGATAGTCTGGATGAGGTGTTGCAATATCTAACGTGTCTGTGGAATGGTTTCACAGGTCGATTCTATCAATGCAATTGGATAAGTAATCGGAAGTGCTTAGATAAGACCGTCACGAGGACTCCTGCATTACTTTGGCTATGGAGGTGGTCAGAAGGTACTGTTCATCATTCATCTAAGCCAACGGCGGATTATACAAAGGAGGTCCTTCTAAATACTGGTAGACATGGCACTTTGGGACCACCGAATTCGATAAATCTAAACACCGACTGCCCTTTTGTCTGTGGCGCTCGTCTGACTACTTTTTACATGCGACAAAGAATGGTGTCGAGACTTTGGTGTCGGCATCGCGTTATCAGTACAACAATAGAAGTGCCACTGAGTCAAAGAGTTACTTTTGTTAACAAAACTTTCGATATGGAAAGGGACTTCCTATTAAAAACACCAAAAATTATTAGAACTGATGTGACTTTGCCAATCAGTGATGCTATCAAGGGACAAAGTGTTATTAGGACTACGAAATGGATGCGTCCACTGTCAGAAGCCGGGAGGAGACTTGGACCCCATAACTCTGACGTTTTGCTTTTCTCATATGCCATAAATTGTTATTATCTGCCACCCCTTTAAAATTGAATTGACTTCGTCTTTAACAAATGCGCCATACATGAGTGACGTGCGCGATCAGGTAAGCAAATTGGCGATGACATTAAGTGTGTCATCAACCATGTAAAATACAAAATAAAGATAACAGGAAGAGAGAAAAGCTGGTTTAAATTGAGTATTGTTACTTTGTGGTAGTAGTGAAAGTAATGTCCACCCAATCTGACCGAAATCAGCTACTTACTTACTTGCTTGTTTGCATATCCTTTCCTCCCCTCCTTTTGATCATTCCTCCCCCTCTTCGCATTGTTTGACCTCGTCTTATGAAGTGACACTTTGTGCACTTTGACTGGCCACTGCTTTCGTGGGCAGTCGGTTCAGTGATGCTTGATGGAATGAGGGAAGAGCGGGACATCCGAGTCTACAAATGCAAAGACCCAATTGTATAAGAAAAAAACTACTAAATTTTTTTGACAGTTTCCCAGTACACTTTGATACTTTTCTAGTGGTTAGTTAGTAGCTGAAAAGTTTTGAAATGATTGGGCTTCTCCTAACGACTGGAATAGAACATCTCGATCACTTCACCATCGGTGCTGGAGTTAAGCCCACTTGATACTCAGCGAGGGCGATATTCCTGACATTCCAATCATCGCATTTTGTCCATCGTCGCTGCACAAGACGATTCGTCCCTTGTGCATTTTAACCCCGGTCTTCTAGGCTGTGTTCCACCTGTTGGCTGACTACTCACAGAAATGACTGCTGCGGTTGTAGCCCGAGAACACGACCGCCACGGCCGAGATCTCCACTGAGACGTAGAGAGGTACACCCATCTCTTGAGCTACTAGTGATTCGTTGTTAAGGGTTTCATTACCATGCATACTCATTAGCTGTCAGGAAATCGGGAGAAGATTTACCAACACAACTCGGTTATCATGTTGATCCCATGTGGCACCAATCTCCAGTAATTGTCTTAGCTAATTCAATCACTGCTCAAAAACTAAAAAAATACTTAACTCTGCTCTTAGACCAGGACTATCCTGGCCGTATTTTGCGTTTTCATCGCAATCCATCCCATACAACGCCAAATTCGGTGTAAACCGCTATCAGGAGCCGATGAAAGACGGGCTCAGGTCCGAAAATCGAGTAGGGTAGGGCTGGGTCATTATGTACACGTAAAGCTAGTATAGTGATGGTATTTATGAAACTTCTATCAAGGTAGATAAGGTAATCTCACCTCTATTGCATAATTAAAAAACCTTCCTCTTATTTTACGACTAGTGATTTAAATGCTACGTGAAGTTCACCACTACTTCAACTCAAGTCAATTCAATTCACTTATAGTGAAGTTATATTAGGTATTCTTCACTTGTGTGAAGATGCAGGCTGTGAAAAACCTGTAATCAATCAGACCGCCAGGATATCTCCAGAATGGATGTCGGAATAACACCAACCGCCTAATAGGTTGCAAGCCATGAGTCAATGCCTCAACTTTCCAACTGTAAATGTAAATAATCTTTTATGAACAAAATTTAGGCGGTTTTACATATTAACAAGCATTTATGTTGTATTTTAAGGAGAAGGTAAAGCTTCTTCTTTTCGACTTTGCTACAGCAATAACCATTTAGACCTGACTGATTTTTTTTGAAAGGGAACATCGGCACTACTGAGTCAGTATTTCAGCGACCTCTCACAAAAGTGTTGCATCTACAAAAGCCATTTCAAATTATTATTTTTCTGGTTAAATATGATTAACATATCACTAAAAATCTTTTACGCTTGATCACTACAATCTTTAATTATATTTCTAATAATTTATTGTAATCTACACTTTTTTAATTAATAGCTTTTTCCTCGTTCCACGATAGTATTGTTGTACTAAAACCACACTTTAAATGCCTATCTGAGTAATCTAGTTAATGAAAGTGCCAATTTCTAGCGCTTAAACGCCTCATAAAATCCTTCCTGACTTTGGGACGCTGGACGGCTGTGTTGTTGCCCCCTCCTTCTGCAAATCTTCCCATGAATAGAAAGTAATTTGACAAATTGAGTAGTAATGTGGGGGTTTCGGTCTTACCCGATTGTGAGCCCCCCTTTATTGTTGTTGTCAATTGATTTGTCAATTAAAAGGCATTCACTGTTCGCGTAACTACTGTCTTCGTTGCGGAAATACCCCACTTTGGTGTGTTTTTTATCGCTTCAGGAAAGTGCCTGGGGATCCGCTTGTTGTTGTGTGCATGTCTCCGCGTCAGGCCCGTTGAGTGGCATGAGAAGGCAGGCATTAAGCGATTTTCTGCTTTGTTTTTTCTTGTCACATAATTCCCTTTTCATGCATGAAACTGCACGACAAGAGGATTTTAAATCTTGTGGTTTGTGGAAAAAAATCATTCGCCTTGACTTAGACGCTAATCAATGAGTAATTTGAAGACTGTGTTCTCACATAATCCACATTCAGGCTGAGTAGGTATTATTAAAAAACCGTAGAAATTGTCAGTTCACCAATGAGGAACGAGATCCGTGTCGCGCTTCTTCACGTTTTGCCGCAAGAGATTAACATCAATGTGGCGATCTACTTTCATATAGTGGAGTGGAGGATAGATCACCATCACGATCGCATCAATCCTAATATTTAGTCCTTATGCGCTCCCGGTTTGAATTCCGTGATTTATCATTGAGCCGCTTGCATCTGGATCCAATATTGGCTTCAATTAACAATTGAATGTCGTTAACGATGTCAAAAGGTGCTATACCGCTTTCAAAACCCTCATTCCTTTCAATGGGATTTAAGGTCCTTTTCAACCATGAGGTGTGTTACAATTGACACGCCTGTCAAGGCTCAGGTTTTGGAGGTGGTTACCTAGTCCCGAATCGAGAAGGGTGTTCAAAGAGGAAATCACGTGCTATGTTATGCTCCACTCCTTCTCAAACAGCCTGCTCTGCCCTATGTTGGGATGGAGGACAATACCATGATAATGTCATGCCCAATCATTCAAGCACTTGATCCCCATCATTTAAATATCTTAGAGAATGATATTTGGGGAGTCGTTTAGGAGTTATAGAGCATCAAAAAGCCAAAGAGTAATTGCATGGTAGACCATCTAAACCAGCCTACAGTTTCCATGAGAGGTTAGGCTATTTAAAACTTGGCTGTACTAGGGAGATGGAGATAACAGTTAAGGTAATCAAAATGTGTGTGTGTGTAAAGTGCGCCTCACAATGCGCAATAATATTTCCGAGATAACAACGAAAGATCAACGAGGGGATTTTTTTGACTACCTAACGTTTGATTGGGTGTTTCTCGCTCTCACTCCCTCATTCTCTCTCACTCCACAGGAAGTATGCCACGGCGAGTGAGGATATGGCGGTGGGGGAACGTGGAAAAATCCAGAAGGAACAGGAAACATTTCGTGTTTCCGTCCTCAAGCCCTCCTTTCCCATTGTCTGAGCCCCCAATAAAACTCTCCGCCTAGAAAATTTAATATACTTCCCCGCGGCTTTCTTCCCCAGATAAAAAAAAAAACAGGAGGGCATTTTTCGGCTTGATTTCTTACAACCCACTTTACTTCCACTCAGCTATTGTGGAATTGAAGAAGGAGAAAAAAAAAACTGACAGAAGATAGTAAAAATACATTGAAAGCTAGCAATTTGCCGTCTAATGCTGTGTTGAGGAATAATAGATGAAAGTAGCCTTTTGCGATAAGGCAGTGGAGAGCACGAGAGAGAGCCTGAGGGAGATAAATACCTGCATACGACACCCACATCCGGTGAAGGATATTAAAATGGTAAAAAAAATCACAATGAGAAAAAGACAAAGACTTGATACAGATAAATTTGCATGAATAATATTGGCTCTCTTCTCAGCCCTGCGTCGTATTCACATCGCACTACGTCGGATGTGATGTGTGTGCTTGTATGTACGTGGGTGTCTAGCATACCTCCAAACCTATTTTTATGAATCAGACACTGTAGTGTGTACTTTCATCCTAATATATTATTCTTTCATCGCGGTGTTGACAAAGCTCTCATTTAGGTACCACACTAAATTGGATGTTTGAAAGATGGAAAAAGAATAGTGAAAATTGACTTCTGATACAATAATTAAGGCAGATTAAAACCTCCAAATTTGGGTAGTCTCTTCACGTATGAGTTACTTTCACCAAAATGGAGGTGATGTGAGAGATTCAGTGAAGTAGGCTTAAGAAGATAAAAAGAAGAGAATAACTGTGATGTAATGGACACGGTGGTTCTTCCTTGGAATGTGGAGACGAGTTGGACGAGAATATGCCTTATTAGGGCAGTGATAATTGAAGGGGGTGCAGATGTCGAGGTTAAGGGTGTTCACGCTACATTTCCTCCTCCTCGGAGGGAGGGGTGTTGTGAACCGACGGCGTCCATTCTGTCAGGCGGTCCGTGCTTCCTAAACCATGTTGGTAAATGGTAGGAGCTACAGTTAAACGTAGTTGAAATCGTGAAAAAAACTGCAACGCTGATTAAAACAAATCAGCCATACTTCCTTGCAGGAAGTAGAACAGGAAGTGAGATTTGGGAGGCTTTTTTTTCATTTTGCCCTCATTCCCACTGCCAATACCGCTGCTTGGGCTGATGGTTTTCCGCTTCATCGGTCAGTACAGTAGCGAAGGCAAGACAACTCATCGCTAATTTTGCACCATGTTGATGGTCTTCCAGGACGGCACGATAAAGCCTCTC